AATAATTAATATATATAATATATATATATAAAAATAAATATAATAATATAAATTATTTTAAATAATATAAATATAATAATATCTTAAAATATATATATAATATAATATAATAAATATATAATATATTCGATTTATATTATTATTTAAAATATAAATATTATTTTGAAAATATATTAAATTTTAAATTTATATTATTATAATTTATATTTAATTTAATTTTTATTTAACATTTTCAATTAGAAATTTTAAAAAATAAAATATAATTAATTATGTAATTATTTTCTGTTTCTCAAATTTATGTTCGTACGGCCGGGCCAAATTGCTTAATTATGCTTAATTTTTGCATTTTAACGTATTTTATGATTTTGTGGCATGACATTGGTATTCGATTTCGCCGTCCTTTCCTGCAATTTGCGCAGGCATCTTTTTATTTCTCTTTTTGGTTGACCATCTTGATGTCACTCATCTGTCACCTCGCAGTTTATGGCCACAGCAACTTAGAATGCCAGGGCAGAAAAATAATATGTAAGAATGACGGCGAACGTCCTTTAATTGTCAAAGCAATCAATGCTACGGGATCTGCGGGTTGCATTTCCAACTCATCCTACTGATCCAACTATTCCCAGAACCGGCTACCCCTACACAATATGGCTGCTGGATGCTTATTGGGATTTCGAATCGAAAACTGGCTGAAACCGCTGTGGAGACCAACAGTGTGCTGCTGCTGTCATGCATATGTTCGGTGCAATGCCAAATTCATTCTAACATGGCCTGGTTGCTCCAATACGCGTGGGTCTTGGCCATTGCTACAGGTGCCGTCGCTACAAGATGCTACAAGGGCGTGTCTGCTATAGGCAGGTAACAGGTGTCTTCCCGTGCAATGGTGCTGCCGCTGTGGAGCTGCAACTGCCATTGGTGAATCTTTGCCCATGGGTTTTGGATTTCATAAGCTCTCCCCAAGCCACATCAGTATCAGACAGACAAAACGAATTGCCTATGGCCTATACAAGACTTCTCTTGCAGTTAGGAGTGGTCAAATCCCGAGGCGCGAGCATCCTCCCCGATGGGCTGCACATCGGCCCCTAATCCTTTCCGGCCACTTTTTCCCCACCTGCAAACGTTGCAAATTAGGGCAGCTGATAGGACGCCCTGAGCGGCAAAATGGCCACATCTTGCCAGCCCAACTTGCCCCATTAAAGGTGAATTGAACATGGCTTCCATCCATTTCCATATGCTTTCGTTCTCTCGGGCTTCTACCCCTCAACGGCTGCAGGCGTTGCGGCAAAGCAAGGGTCGGCAACCAAAGAGCTGACACGCGGAATCCACCAGCTGTTGGGCTATTCCATCACTGCCGCTCAGCAACTGGATGCCTTGCTGAAGCGCCACAGGGAACCGCTGCCGTGTGGCCTCAAGAATCAACGGGGTGGGTGGACGGTCTATGGTCTGGAGCTCTGAAGACTTTGAAGGCTTACGCGACAAATGTAATTGGAATATGGATGTGGGAGAGAAGAGCGGAGGAATTGCAGAAGTGGATTGCTATTTGCATCTATTTGCGCTTGCCCAGGCTGAAGGGGGCCCAGGAAAACCAGGCTGAGAAGCCCAGATGGAAAACGGCCCAACATATTTCGTCCCTTCCATCATTCAATTCTATCCTACTGTAAGACTTGGAACTACCATATTACGATTGATATCCGTTATTTCAACCAACCAGAAATGGACACTGAATGCTGCTGGCCACCTCGTCGTATTTGCCAATCATCCTCTGCAAGTGTGGTTCCACTTCCAGTCCTATCAGCATGGTCTCACTGTCCAGGAGATGCTCTCGAAGCCAATTTTCCAAAATGTACTGGAAGATCCTGAAAGGCGAACTAGGGCGGTGTTTAATCTGATTGCCCAGACCTGCTGGCACTCCAAAATGTCGAAGTGAAAATAACCGAAAATCAAAATCTTGTAATGAAGCGAAACCCTTTCCCAGCGGTCAGCTAGCTGTGAAACTTGCCAGGGTGAATCTTGAAGCATTGCTGATGATTGGATTGTTTTAAAAATGCGCCAAAAAATGCACCTGCATATAGTGCCAGTGAAAAATGCAATTTTCAGCAACCACTCTCCTGAGCAGGTAATCCTGAACAAAGTGGCAATCATTCAAGCAGCCGCGCTCCCAAGCACTGAGGGTGAGCAATGGAATGTGCAAAGTGACAAGGGGAGGTTTGCCCTGACGGAAATCCATAGACTGATTCCAAATTTTCACCTCAGAATCATGAAACCCATGTCCTTCACAAGCTGACAGAAAGAGCCACTCACGCCGCACTAATATACGAGGACTACAAGCAAGTTTCTTACGTGCAAAGGATGTGCATGTAAAACTGTGGCACACATGATCAAAAACGAACGCTTTCGTACTGTGCATTACTGCGCTGAAAAGTGTTCCATGGTGTTCCTAACCCTTCATATCTGAAGAAAAAAGGCCCCTATGTTTCTGCCCAAACGAACGCCAACCTTTCGGCATGGCGAGCAAAGTTGGATACAGGTGTCAGGCTGCAAAGTTGTTGGCATCATGCAGCCTAGTCACCAGCCGCATTGCAAAGAATGCATCCGGGTGTTTTTCACTGAGACCTGCAGGGGTTGGGGAGGGACAGCAATCCGACATTCCTTGTGCCATCTTGTGCCAGAAGTGGAGATCTATTCATGTTCGAGGGCCTATGTATAGGACTCAACTGCACTTTTTCCTTGTGCTGAGCCCGGTGGCTTTCAGTAACCATCTGGCGTCAGCCAGTCATGCATGAAAAACTCTGCTATGGAACATTCAGACCAACATGGCATGGTCTGAAAACTTTCTGTTTGACCAACATGGCATGGTCAAAGAAACAGCTTGCAACGTTGGAGACTGCCCAGCTGCATCTCAAACGGCATGAGATGTTCCAGGGACAGCTCATATGATCACAAAAGATCTTTTGAAATTTTTGAAACTATTCCACGGACCCTAGCACGGTCGTAAGGCCGTTAAAGGGCACTGAGCAGAGAAAACACTCAGTCTAGCTGCATCTGACTTTGAAATTCGAAGATGCGGAATTTGAGCCAGACCATCTTGGAGGTATATTCTGGCAACAGCCAAAGATTTCCATCTTCCACGAAGTAAAATAACATCCAGGGGTACCCCCTCTTGTAGTAAAAATGTAGCCCCTCCTCTGCGGAGGCTATAAGGTTTCATGCCCAGATGGCACAGCCGAAAAAATGATAAATAACTGCGAAAGCGGTCCCTAAAGGATTGTGCCGAGTGTGGCCACAGCCGTTGACCTGGACACTGCTGATGTAACTCTTGTGCCGTCCGCAACAGGTTAAGAACCAGCGGGTCTCGAATTGCCACGGCTTCCTCAGTGCCAGTGCGTAGCCCACTCTTGCTACTAAGGAGGGAACAAATACCTGTGGTGGACGACAGCTCCAAATCTTTGTATTGCAAGGCCAAAAACTCTCCTGTGCGTAACAAACAGTGAAAAGCTAGGCCAATGATGGCCGCAAAAACAACATCAGCTTTTTCAACTGCACGTGCAATGATTGCTGTGACGATTCCCCATGTCAATGGGGGAGCCCGCTGTGGGGCTTCAATCTGACGCCATGATTTGAACATTCTCCATCCTTGGCGCAAGCAACCCTTCAGGTCAGGTCTAAAGAAATGGATTCCACTAAGTGCGTCAGCGATATGGCCAACCGATTCACCTCGGCACCACTGTAACTCTATCCATTCGCAGACGACCCCATCGAGGTCAGCGAGGGATTCTTGTGCTTCTAAAAAAGGCAATATTCGTGAAACTGCTGCTTCATACCTCGCTCGAGTGCGAGCTGAAATCGTAAAGTCTTTGAGCCTTATCCCTGCTCGTTGCTTCCGTCTTTCTCTCTGAGTCTTTCCAGCCAGCACCACTCTAGGGCGGTTTCTCGGCATCAAGATCTAATCACGACTTGCAGCATCCGTGGGATTCTCGGAGGAGGAAACATGTGAATGTAACAACACTGATCCCATCGCCAATTGAACCGCCCCGATCTGATTACATAGTGGTTGAAGAAGGTGGCTTGAAGTTCTGCCTTTGGATAGAATATACAAGCAAACCATACTGTCTTCTAAATGCAACCAGCGACAATTGATTTTGGAAATGGATCGAGACTTCCACAGTAAGGTATGAAGAATCATTTTCATCTCAAGGTAATTTATATGCGATTTGAAAAGCCACTTGATTTTGAACAGGTGCTTCCACTGCCACCACCATGCTCGAGCCGAAGCATGTGACTGTGCTTTGTGAGTAAGGACTTCCCCGGTGCAGATGCGAACATCGGCCCCAGTATGGTTAATGGTCAAGCCAAGATGCCTGACAAATTCTTCCAGTGGATGTTGAAGTTCTGGATCTCCTCCATAAGAGAGCCAACGGCTCATTGGTACCTCAATGCACGGATGAATGGAAGCCCCTGGTGCTAATCCCAATCGCTTTACTATCTTGTTCGGGCTCAACCTGGGTACGAACTCCGCTGAAAAACTGCTGGCAATAACCGCAAAAGAAAGTATTGAAAAGCTATCGCTGTTGAGAGAACAGCGGATGTCCTCATAATCTGTGAGACTCCGCTTCATCTCTGATGCACTCATGCAAGTGGCTGTATGACCCGGGCCAAACCCCAGCAAAAGTTCCCGTTCACTGGAGTCCAGTACTCTAGGTGGGTGTCCAGGTGAAGAAAGAAGAAAACATTCTCTGTACTGATAAGGAGGGTATCTGAATTCATGTTGTTGCCATCTGTTACGAGTAGCTTCGTCTGTTCGAGATAAACCAGCAGGCTGTGGTGGTGGTCGTCGTCGCCGTATAGCTTTCATGAAAGTTGGGAAGCAAGTCCCTGGAGGAGCTGTCCAAGACCAACCGGGTCGAATCCATTGAGAATTGGCTACTGTGTCACCTTCCATGTATGCTCGTATGTACTCCTTTTCCTTGACAAGGCGTATTCCCTGCATTTCATACAATGGTTCAGAAGTCCAAGCAAACCTAGGTCGACTGAAGGGCAAAATGTCGCTCGGGTCAAGTTTGATTGGGCAGACCTCCAGCTCATCTGAGATGGCCTTTCTAGCTGATTCGTCCATAGAAGCTACATTTTCCACGCAAAATTTGACTTTGCAAAATGGAGAAAAAACTTCTTGGATCCACAGGAGGATTTCAAGCATCTTCCAAAAGAGCCGTGATCCCTCGCCGTCCAGGTTTTGCCTATATGCACGCACGGAAGAAAGATGAATACAAGGAAAACCTGCGTAGAAATGAAGTTCTTGTACGTGAGGATACATCTCTGCCCACCTTTGTACTTCAGCCTTGTCAATAAGCTCCACGTCATGCAATTCAAGTACATTTGGCCACGTACTACGTGTGACTCTATTCGCATGCTTGTCGATTTCGACTGAGATCCGTCCCACTGGATGGATACCAAGCACGTCATATAGACGAAAGGCCCCTCCTATACCATTAAAGAGGGAAACGATCAAAAAAGGACATTCAATGGGGAGCAGCCTCCTGTCACTCAAGCTGCCGACCAAACTGTTCCCAGACCATGTCAGAGACGTAGCCACTGCACAGGCTCCTCCAGTCTCAGATGCATCCGAGCAAGTCACTTCTCCATCATAATGTGAGGTCAGGTCAGACTGGATAAGGGGGCCCAAAAAGATAAGTTGGAGCAGCTCCTTTCGTAAAATATTAATGTCCACATAAGAGGGCCAGGGCTTCTCAATGACCTGCCACGCTCGCGATAAAACTCCCATCGCCGCTCGGCGAAATTGAAGGATAAAAATCCACCTGCCCAAGACCATTTGTGCCTCGCGCTTGCTCCATCTTCGGCATAGTATATGGTGTAGGGTAACAAAAATCGTCTTAAGAAGTCGATGTGGCGAGGCTCCCAAAAGCCCTCTGGCCCCATCAAACCGAACCCCTAACTCTGTTGCTTCTCTACTGCCCAACACTTGCTTATCTTCAGCTGTAAGAACCCCAGAGGTGCTCCAAGCCCTCATCGCAGCATCCTGCAGTTGAATACTTATCCCAGGCTCCCCGCCACGATCAACTTCCCCCGACATGAAATTGTCCAAGTACACTTGCCACCAAGCACGTTGGGGACTGTCAGCACTCGCTACCTGGGCAAACCACGGGGGAATCTTTCCACCTTTCTTTAGCTCTAACTCGGGGGGGAGCCCCTTCGCCAAAAGGATCTCCCTGGAAATTGCTTGCATTATACCAACGCTGCTTGACCATCCCATTGGTAACACTCGACATGTAGGCCTATACCAAACATCATCCTCAAGTGAACCCAGACCCAGCTTGCAACCCTGAATCTTAAAATTAAAACAAAAATAGGGTTGCCAGCACGGGGGAATGGAAAAAAGATAGAATGCTGATGCCATATCTCCCTGTGAGAGAAAAATTTCATCACCCTGGGAAATAGAAAGTGGAAGCCATTGTGTGGCATTTGGAAGGAGATGAATATCGCCTTGCAGCACCTTGAATAAAGCGTTAACAGGAACCAGGTTCATTATAACCCGCAAGACCGGTCTTCCACAAGGGGTGTATCTCCCTGGCTTAACAACACCGAAAAGCCCGGAGAGATAAGCACCCCTAGAATCGCAAAATGCTTGGTCAGCGGGAATCCAGTCAACAATCCCCCTCTCAAAAAGCAATGAAAAGATTTTTAGTTCACCTCCTTTTTCAACATGAACCTTAGCAGTTACAGAGGCAGTTCCTCTGTCGCATTCAGGCAACAAACTTTCTTCAGGATGTTCCATGAGAAATCGTGTGCGACCCTTGGGAAAAGGCGTTACTGGTATAGCTCCACCGTGGCCCACAGGGGGCAATCCTTTGATGATCTGTGCAGCTGACAATGGATGAGGTGGTTGAATTTCTTCCCCAGTATAAGAAAGCCGCTTCTCTTTAAGATCCTTGACAGCATCAAAAAAGTTGAAATCAGGAACAGACTCTCCATGCAAAAACCTACGAACCTTATCTTCCAGACCCGCCAAAACAGCTCTATGGATTTTGGTCGGCACTCTAGTCTTACCCACATTGGGGAGGCCGTACAAAGCATTGATAGCTTCGCATGCAACCGCTGTCCAGCACTGGACTGATAGCCCGGAGCGCTCGCTGCACTTTAAACCAGCAGCGTCCCATTCCAGACCACTTGGGATCAAGACTGGCAGGGGGAACAGGCCACCCTTCTCGCGAACGGTGGCCCGTGTGGGTCCAGCACGGGAATTTCCCAGCGTGACCAAATTTTTGCTATACCCCCATGCCAGTCTCATGCCCAATTCAGCCAAGGAGCAGCTCGTGGTCAGCGCCCCCAAAAGTTCCATGTAAGAACGGGGCGCGCGACCAAGGCCTGCGTCGTCCACAGCAGAAAAACAGGCTTCACCGCCAGCTGTAGACTCTGAATTCAAAAATGACTGGCCCTCAAAAGGCATAAAAGCGGGGGCCAAGGAGGCTGTTGATGAAGCCAATGTATTGCCATCACCCCCCTGCGCGGGACGGCCCGGCGCACTGGGGAGTAAACTCTCCTCCTGACCCTCAACGGGTACAAAAGCGGAGGTCAGGATGGTTGATGCAGGTGTTGCCAAACCTGCCGGTGATGCCGACCTAACATCTCCTAACCCCAGCGGGAGACGGCTCGCCGCACGGAGGAAGAGGGTCAGGTCTCTCCTTCGCCCTTCTTTGGTTTGTCTCCTGGCTTGTCCTTGCCTTCGTTGCCCCAAAAGCTCCAGTTCCCTTTGGGTCCTTTGCCTTTTCCTTTGCCTTTCTTCGACTTCCCCTTTGAGTCTTTTCCTTTTCCTTTGGGCCGTTGATCGTAGCTCCAATCGTAGGAGCCCCAGGTCTGTGTCCTTGGCCATGATCCTTTTCCTCCGGCCTTTTCGACCAAGCGCGCATGCTTTTGCGCGGAGAGGAGAACGTGAGGTGGCGCGACATTGTCCTGCTCGTCGTTGTACACCTCCAGATGTCGGGCTGTCTGCCACCCCTGTTTTGTCGATGCGTCGATGGCCATCATGCGACCTGCCAGGACGTCTGCCAGTTCCCCCAGACGCCCGTCGCGGAGTAAGTCGAGAGCTCGAGCAAGCACTGCCAGCTCCCGGCAATCTCTCCCGCGGGCATCCAGGTTGGGCTTCAGGACCAGCTGAAAATAAGTCAGCAGTTTCGGTCTTTGGCCTGGCTGTCCTGCGGTCAGGTGATCCTCGTCCATGATGCCATCGGCGGACAACCGCTCTATGGCGCTGTCCTCCAGCATCCTGAAGACCGACCCCGGCTCCTTCAATGACCTCCTTTTCAAAGGGGCCATGAGGCTCTCGTCGCTCGTCGAAGACCTGCTGCTCGAACGGCTCCTGCTGCCCGAATCCGAAGACTTCTGATGCCGCTTCTTCTTTCTCTTCTTGGATCTCGACCTCGACTTGCTCCTCCTCTTCTTTTCTTTGTTGCCTGCTGTGAGGTCCTCGATGATGCTGCTTTCAGCAGAACCGCTGCCATGTCTTTGGACTTCCTTTTCTTCTTCCTCCTCTTGCTGCCGTCTTTGTCTGACCCATCGCTGATCACCTCCGCCTCTTCCTTGACCTGACTTCGAACTGCCAGCGCCCGTGAGCTTAAGACTGGGGCAAGGCCACCACGTCCATCCCGGGGGCTCGGCAGGGCAACGTCCGGTCCCCTTGTATTGGGAGGCGCCGCATCGGCGGCGAAGGTAACTCTCCCCGGCCGCGGACTTCTTAAGGCTCCCAATCGCTTCTCCACCAGCGACTCCCCATGACCGGGACCGTCGCGCGGTGGTGAAAGACGGCGGCGTCCCTCCTTTGCGGCGGCCTCCATCTCCATCTTCTTTCCCTCGGCAATAGCCTTCCTGGCTTGATGGGTAAGCCAGGCTGCATCGTAGTCCCCTGGTGGGTACCATTTGAATTGTTTCAGGTGCATTGCATCGGTGTCGATGAGTGGGCAATCTCCCGAAGCAAGGTTGCAAATGTGTATCTCCCTGCGAAAGTTCTTGAAATACCTTTCGGCCTCCTTCTTTTCGTCGCGATCGCTCGAACCCATAACCTTCACCTTCAGCCACATTCCTGTTTCCAGCGAGTTTGACTCGAACACCAACACAGCGACCACCGGCGGGACGGCCGCACCAGATGTTGGGCTCGAAAACTCTATCACGGAACCAGGGGGCACGTGACGGCTCTGCCAAAAAGCGGCCTCCTCTACGTTGTACTCCACGGGTGCCGTAGGCGCGGGCCTTTCTCGAAGACTCGCCATGATTTCCTCTGGAGAGGCTGGTGCACCAAACATCTCTCCTTCTCTCCCAGGGGGAGATTCCTCTACTTCTTCTGGGGAACCAACGCCTGTCGGCATTGTTACCGCAAGGCCACAAGGCCAGCGGTCTTCCCTCAGGCTCGTCGCTCGAACCCGTGCCTGGCGCTCTGAGCAAGCTCCAACTGGTCACGGGGTAGCCGACGATGGCTCTTCTTGAAGGGATTATCACGTTCCCTCCAATGCTTCTGATGCTTTGTACCTCCTCTCTTCTTATTCTTCTTCCTCTTTCCTTGGGAGTGGTGATGCGTTGGCTCCCTCGGTGGATACGGTGGCTCAGGCGGTTTCTCTGAACGTCTCCGCTCTGTACGGGCCTCTTCTTCCCTCTTGACCACAGGCTCTTCTTCCCTGGGCTCTTCCTCCTCGCCGCTCTCCTCGCTGTAACTGCCTTCTGACGGTTCGCGATGTTCAGGCTCTCTTTCACGACCTCGATGCCTATCTCCTTCCTTGTCCTCTCTGGGCGAAGATGTTCTGTATGTAGTTGCAGAACGTTGAATAGGAGGACGTTCGTCTCTGCGAGGGCTCCTTGAGCGCTGGGGTTTCTCAACCTTAGCCTTTGGTGTCAGCAAGAGCTCCTGGCGCTCAGCGACAGGCCCAGGAAGATTAGTGTCAAGGTTTGCCAAAGCCTTGATGAAACGAGCACTGGATAGCGCGGATTCTTCAGCGACCGCGCGGATGCCTGGGTGCACCCAGCGTCGCTTGAACAAGCCCTGAGCCACCTCTAAAGATGAACAGGCAAGGCACCAGCTATCTCCCTCGGAAGGTTTCCCCGCTCGACACTTATTGCACGGTGCGGGGGGCATTACCAACTGAAGAAGCTTTAAGCCCAAATATCACAAATCAAAAGTTTTTTCGTCCTAAATGTCGAACCGACAGAATGCCCCACGCATGCTCATCATTCTGAAGTCAAGTAAGTTTGAATCAACATGCCATTGCCATCTGTCTATCTGTCAATCACACATGCGGTTCTGCTTCAGGTGCATCTCATTCGGACTAAATTCTGCAAAATCATTCAATTCAAAACTTTTTAAACCTTTATGCATCACGTAAGTTCAACACCGACCTTGAATGTGAGGCGCCAAGCGGGGATGCAGCAAGGACTGCCAGACTTGGCGCTGCGGGTCCCACTGCTGCTCTTGGCTTTCCAGGAGGGTCACAGGTACTAAATCGAAGTCCACCTGATGCAGTTTGGGGCCAGGGTTCGTTCGCTGTCCTTCTTTATTGCCTGCGAAATGTCAACAAGATTCAACAAGGCTTACAGCAAGCCTTAAGCCGCTCCATTCGGTCATACCACAAGGATTCCCGCGAAACATGTCAAAGCAAAACACCAAAACATCCACCCAAACATAAGAACCAAAGGGCAAGTATAGAAGGTGTGTGAGTTGGCATCCCCTTGAACGAAACAGCACCCACTAGTCAAGAAAGAGCAGCATTTTGACGTAGGAATTTTGCTCCCACATTGCATCCCCACGGAACTGCCCAACCAACAACACCCAACAACTGGCTTTTCTACACCTTCCGGTAGTAGTTCCGAATCTCCACAGCAAAATCTTTCTTGATCACTTCTGCTCGTTGGAGCCGTTCTTGGTGACAACCTTCCTTCGTGTCCAAGATCACAGAATGGAGCTCCTCCACCATGTTCACACCTGGCGGGCAGGGGGACCTCAACAGTCTGATGCCTGAAAAGAACAATTCTTGAGATCAGCTATAATTTAGAGATCCACAAGCCACAAGTTCAAATCGTCACCGATTCTCTTACTCCCACGTATCTTAGAATCAGCACTTAACATCTTTCTTGCCACTTGGAAGGCGCCCTTCCAGCACCAACCGTTTGCTGACCTTGTGCTGACCAAATGCTGCCCAAACGAAAACCCAAGACAAACATGAGTTGCAAAAGGCATCCAACTGTTACACACACACAAAACACCAGAAAACCAAATAACAAATGGCATTGTCCATAGCTGCGCCCACCTCCATCCTTCAAGCACAAAATAATGTCATGATCTGAGGAGGTTGTGTCCAAGGCCATCGCCACACTTCCCCCGCGGCAAACGCTACAGATTCTCCCGCGCAGCTTCGGGTGTCGGCACAACAAGCCGAGGATGCTGTGTCTCAAGCTATGTCGCCGCCCCTGGCCACGGCCCAAGGCTTTGGCAGTCAACAGACTTGCCAGAATCTCCTGGCTGCTGGGGCATGAGGGCGCAGGAGTTGAAAGCAAATGCCGGCGAAAATATGCAACCAGCGTAGCCAGGATGAGATCATAGGAAGCCTGGTGCGGTAGCGAAGGCGATCCAGCGCCGATGGATTGCAGCGCAGCCAGCAGGCTTTCCACCCTGGCTGGATCCAGTGAACCAGTAGCATTGGGTTCTAAACCATAGACCAGCTTGTTGACAAAAATCGAAAGGATGTACCTGATTGATCTGATTGCATCCGCTCTCCCAACCAGTTTGGGCCACTTGGGAGGCTCTCTTGCATGGGGATAGAGGGTGAAGAGAAAACAAACAACATAATTTCAACATATTTAAAACATGTTAAAACCATCAACAAGATACTGACCTGAAGTCAATCGAATCACGCGCTTTCCCTGCAATGGTCCAAGCCTCTGACGTACATGACGGCAAATCCAGGTCAAGGAATCCTCCACTGAATAATCATCCATGTGCAGCGGCCAAGCATGATGCTCAACATCAGGAACGGGCCAAGGATCCATCATCTGAAAGTTGTCACTGGACGAAGTCGATTCAAATTCCATTTCATCTCCCACATCTCCATCATCAGAATCAGAGCTACGCTCCTCAGCTTTTCCCTCGATGTCTTGTAGCAAACACAGCAGGGCAGCCAAACGACTGCGGCGCTCGGCGTTTGGTCGCAAGGAATTGGGGCCAAAGAGTCGTGCAGATTCCAGCAAGACACCCACCTGGACAATTGGAGACGTCATTCAAGGTCTTTCTTTATTTTGTTTTCTATATTAACATATTTACTTGGCTGGGTGTAGTAATTTTAAATAATGCACCAGTGGGCCCACAGATTTGACCACTTTAGCATTAACGAGCATCTAATTATCTAATTCCACGGTCGGTACTTTGAGCCAAACATGGGCCCTACTAGGGCGGAACAATGGAACAACTATACGATAAAATTCATCTGGAAAATCTGAAACTGCCGACCAGCCACAGAGGGCCATGCTGATGAGGTTCCTGCAAACTTCTCCAGATCGTCTTTGCGCTGTGCTATGTTGCTAGAAAGATTATTCGATGGGGCCCACCTGCGGGGTCCACACATCCAAATCTTCCAAGCTCTATCAGGAAGTTTGCCATTCTTGCTGAGATATGCTTCTGAACAAAACTTCTCACTTGAACCGGTCACTTGGCCTACACATGCCTACACATGCCTACACTTGGATACCCTGGCATTCTTTGGATTGACTAATTAAGCGCGGTTATGCACGATCTGGCTGAATTTGAACTCATTCAAGATGTGGCCTTTGCTGGAACTTCACTCCATGACAGCCAACTGCCCAACCACTTTTCCGTTTCGACTCCGCGCGGATGATGAAATAGCCAACCTGGTCGGTGGTTGAAATGCAAAGATCAGAAATGCGAGTATAGTTTTGGGAATCGCATTTCCCAATTTAAGATTGAACTATTCAAAACATGGTTGGAACCATCAGCCAGCAACATATTTTGCAAGTTTGGTAAAGCCCTGGAAAGTGATGCGCAACGCGAAGCACGAGAGGCAAACCTTCCTCAGCTACTTCAAGCCTAAAGGATCAATCTTGAAGACGCCAAATCCACACGTACAAAATCGTACAAATATATATCTATCAAAGCTATCCTAGTCCAAAAATCGTTTGAAACCAATCCCATGTATTCACAAATGGGAGAGATAAACACGAAGAACATCAACGATCAACATGGTTGCTTCGGGAGCATCTGCGGAACAGCATCACTGTGAATTTTGATGAAACTGGCATTACTACATCAAAACACGTTTCGTCTTTTCGAAGCATTGCATTCCTTTAAACTTCTTGGTGAAAAATATATCGAAACATATCGGTTGTTGTCTCAGCAAGCTTCCTTAGATTTAGGAAGGACGGCCTTAGCAGTTCCTGCTTGCAATATGCCATGAGGCACTCCATCAATGATGCAGGGGGTTTCTTCAGCACAGGCGACACCAGGACGCAAACTTCACTCTTATCAATGGATGCGGCCAAATTGTGTAAAACCTCGCTCCCCCAACGATGAGCCTTTTCGGAAGAGGAAGCTGCTACCAAAAGCACCAAATTCTCTTTCAGGATCTCCGTTTGAAGAATCTGAAGAATCTCTATGTTGTCACTCCCGACTCCATGCTCTTCCCGCAAGCTGTTGAGAAGCTCCATCAGCGGAGTTCGCAACTGGCCTTTGAATGCAGAATGACTCGGTCAACAAAAATAAGTAAACAATAATAGAAAACAGACTATTTATGTGCTGAGATGAGGGGCACGTGACCCAAGTATAGCTACCATTTCGCCCTGGAATCAGCCACAAGGAAGGCCGCGCACCAAGAAACCAAGTTGCCTTTCTTCATATTCCGCCAGACTACATCCCGAAGCTTGGCATTGCTGATGTCGCAAGAGTCTTGCAGCCCGTCTGATAGTGGGCATTCATTCTTGGCTGCTTCATGGAGGTGGATGTATTTGCATTCTGCTCCCCAATGACATGGGCCTGCAGGACATGGATATATTATGATATATTGGCTTGCCGCATGAGGCCGCATGGACTGCTGGTTGGTTGGAACATTGCCAAGGTAGTGATTTCCAAACCCCTCGTTTGCTCTTGATAAAAGCAGCCGGATTGAAATGTACCGTCAGAGATGAAATAGCTACAATGCTACAAATCACCCTGAGTTTTGTGGTTGTCAAGAGCCAGTGCTCCCTTAGAAGGTTGTGATTCTGCACGCTTGGTTTGTGCCTCCCCCGACAACCTTGCAAGAGCGCATGGTCCGGAGCCACCGAACATGTACATCCCCGTCACCCTGCTCTAGTGTGATGTGCCTGGATTGTTTAGATGTTCTTTGGGCTTTTGGGATGTTCACTATGATGCAGAAGGGATTTGATTTGATTCCAAACCCCTTTTGACCCTACGCCGCTACGCCTTTCATCCACCTGCTGCAAATGCCTCGGGCAAAGGCACCGCCATGGCTCTGCTGAGATTGGGCCGCTTGAACTGAGCCTGCCGTGGGTTCGATCTTCTCCAATGGCACCAAGCGGAAACGCTGCCCACTGGGCACTGGGTCGCCCTGGGCTCCATCGAATGCACCTTGCAGGGCCAACACCCTGAGGTTGAAGCCTCAGGCCCTGGAAGACTTTCGGGCTGTTCAAAAATGTCAAGTGGAAAGAAATCCAAGTGCTCAAACATCCCAAGACTTGTACAGTATGACACTGTTTCCAATGGACAGAATGGAGGATACGATGCGATGCGAAATGCCTTAATTATTCTGACGTTGTTGCTTTCCTGCTTTCCTATGCTTTACTACTCCTATTCGAACAAACTGTTCTCAACCATGCCAATTTCAGGGAAGCGGCGTTGGGGGCAATGTCTGGCATGTGTACCTCATTTTATGTTACATCTATTCAATACCAAGGACGAACAAAAACCGCAAATGGCAAAATATGGCAAAATAACCTTAATCTTCCCAATGTTCGAAATCCTTTCACACCTGTCTTCATGGAACCCTGTATTGGCATGGCTTTTCTGTGAGAAATGATGCTATTTTGAAAAACACGGGGGAAGATGGTGCAAGGGGTTATCAGCTGCATTCATGGCCCCTCTTCCCTCGAAAGTGTTTTACAGGTAGTTCCTCCCATTATTCCGCCAATTGCGAGACCTGAGCGGTCGTCGTTAACGACACGAACCATGGACTCATGCAGCTGAAGCTTCACAACCAACCGGCTGTCTCTACCTGACCATGCCAAAAGGCCAACGATGGTGGTTTATTGATGTTTCTTGTCTTTGGAGTGGCCCCCCCAACCCCCTGAACCCATTTTGGGATTCAAAAATTGTGAACACATTGCTCATAAATTACAGCTTGCCATCACTGAGGTTGGAGAAGTCGTACAATGTTTGGAACATCCAGGTTTTTGGTGATGCCCCTGTTGGTGAAATCTGGTGAATCCCCATAAGTCGTGCACCTACGAGTCTACGAGTGCTACTATTCAAAATCCCCATGGCATTGTTCCATGTTCTATTCCAAGGTGCCACTCTTGGCAGACTCGCCCACCTTCGGATTGGACAAATTCCGGATGTGTCCAGCTTGGATGGCAGCTTCAGTCAGCTTGTAGCACATAGGCTTGTCCACTGGACACTGGTCAGATGGACCTGGCTGATGGGCTGCCAGGATCTTGAGGCAAGTGGGGTCATCCCACATGAGGATAAACAGAAAAAACATGAAAAAAACTTATGAAATTGCCAGCCAATGTGACCGTAGTAGTACATGCTTTCCGCAATGCTCCCGAGGCATTGGAAAATCTCGCCGTCCACCTTCTGCAAAAACCTGAAGACAAAGTCCTCCTGACTGAACAAATCTATCTTTTCTGCCACGTGTCCTCTTAGGGACACATGGCACTTGTCTCTGTTTTGATTGTTTTGTCTGACCTGGACCCGGCCCTGGGTTTGGTCTGCACATGCTTTCCACTTCTGTGCCGTTGCTTGGTGATTCCAAGTGCCACGGGCAAAGCGAAAGATTTCGTGAGTTGTAGCCGACTTCAAGGCCTTCAAAATCGCCACCAACAAATCCGGATTCAACTCTGGCTGCAGGGGAGATAAAAGTATATCCTGTTCCTCCGGCTTGCCCAGCATTTGCAGCCAGCGCTCTTGATCTTCTTTCCTGAATGGTCATGGCAGGCCCTTTCAGCCATGTCAATCACGTGGGGGCAATCTTTCCATCTCTTGAGGGCAAACATGGGCAAACATGGGCAAACAAGCCACAAACACATACAAACACCAAACTAAGCAACCCACATCAAAATACCCGAAATCAGCCATGCATTTCCTAGTTTCGTGAAGGTGTCCTTGATTCCAATGGAAATTGCCCACAGCAGGCCCTTCTGCCATGCAAATTCCAAATCCTCCCATGGCACCGCAGCCAACAAAACTCGGCTGGGCACGCGGAAGATGGGAGGCTCCTGAAGAGCCCAGTCGTTGAAGACCTCCAAAATGGGCGTCGGCAGCTGGCTCAAAGGACCAGTGGCACGGATGGGCCGGATGGGATCACCTGAGTTATGATAGCAATGGCCAACAAATTGGATTCAAATAAAACAAAGATGTAAAAAGATGTTTAAAAAAAAAACTGCAAATGGATGCAACTGCAATCAACTGCAATCCATCAACAAGGAACAAGGAATGTGATTTCTGATTGGTCGGATGCACAGGATCGCTGTGGTTAAATCACCCACCAACCTCTATCACCATAAATGGAAATCCAGCCCAAAACATAACCATCAAACAACCAACAGCCTGGAAATTCTGGGCCGTTCCCCACCTTGTATGTCAGGCGCAATGTGCCCTTCATGCTGTCGCCCTTGTCTTCGCCTCTCAGTCCTTACCGCCGTTGGTGCGGCTCGTTGGGCCTCGGGAAGCAAATGCACCTGGCGGAGATGGGAGAAGAGGCGGTTCTTCGAGGCAAACTCCTCCTGGCAAATGCCGCATTGATGCGCCATGGCGGGCTCAGCTCCAGGCTGCATGCTGTGTTGATCGCATTTGCTGGAATAAGAGATCTCTATAGATCTCTACAACTCATTACAACTCTACATTGCTACAACTCAATGCCACAGTGTGAGAGACACGTGCGCATCTGCAAGCAGAGAGCCACTGGAACTTGCAGTTGCCAGGCAAACATCTAGATATCTTCAAGTCCCAATCCCAAGTGCCCAAATTATAGCGTAAATATTGAACATTGACAACCTTGGTAAATGGCGATTACTCTTGTGGTAAAATAAGAAAGAGTCGCGGCTACCGTTGAATATTGCTGGTCAAATTTCAAGGCGTCATGGCCCACGCAACATGTGCTGCAATCACCCTTGAGTGGTTGCCTAATCCTCATTGACTCACCGGCCTGCTTGACCCATGTCGTCGAAAGATGGAGGTGGGTGTGACCACTTTTTTGCAACTTCACCCAACTCCTGGCAAAGCAGTCCAGGAGTGAAGACTTCAGCGATTCGCCCAAAGGAGATCAACATTTCTGCTCCACTACCCGCCTAAATGGATCATGAAAGCATAGACAAACTCAGCAACAATCAGATAGCGAAAAGTGCCAGTTCATTTAGAGCACTCAGGATGAGGAGGAAGATTTGATTATGAGCAGGCGGGACTTAGTGCTGCACTTTAGAACCCCCTTCAAAGATAATACTTCAACCGAACCCACTATCCCCCCCAAAAAAGAATTAGTGGTGCTTCTACGGCATGGTACCCTTATTCCCAGCACCTGGATGGGCTGCCCAACAAGAGGATGAAGAGAAGGATGAAGAGGAGGATGAAGAGGCTTCAGCCCAAAGACTTTTGAAAGGCCTAGCGTGGACTGCCTGAAGCCACAATCAAATCGATCGACAGGTCAGCACCTTCCTTGGTGTTTCGTGGTTTCGGCCCTGCACTGGAGACTGAACTGGAAGAAACTTGACAAATGGCATAATGGGCGTGACACCAAATTAAGCATGCCGGATTCCATGCTGAGTTGGTTTTTGAGTATGCGCTCAGGTGGAGCCTGAAGAAATCCTGTGACCATTTGGAATCCCACATGCTGACATGCTTGATAGTTTCTGGACGCAACCCACGTGTTCCAATTTGCGCTGAGTTTCTCTTGGTGCCTCTTCATCTACGTGGATGCACACGGGTTGAGTAGCCTCCAGCTGCAAAGCTGATGACTCAGAAGCATGCTTGAAGTTGCCAACCTTCAAGGCCACCACGAGCCAGTCATACCTGAACTGTGCGGACTCAGGTTGTCTGAGATTCGGGTAGCTTCAGTGGCAGCTTCCTGCTCCATTGCTAGCCCTGGAACGCCATATGAAACCAATGTATACAGTAATAAATAATCGCTGTGTAATCATGGTTCATGTTGATCTTAATTACAGTTTTGATTGCAAATCAGCATCGGGTTCCGCGTTCGGAAGCTAAGGTTCGACCATTGGTCATTGGTGGTAACCCCAAAACCATGTTCTTGGCTGGGATTGTCTCCCAAAGTTCTTGGGGTGAGCCGCTTTGAAACACAAAGTGCATCAAACAGCTGAACACCACCGACTGCGGCTTGGATACATCATGCTCAAAACGAAGGAGAAACGCTCAAGATGATCCCGGCTGAAAGCATCACCAAGTAAATCAATGCACTTCTGTACGCTTTCAACCCGTTCTTTGGGCAGGTTGTCAACTTCGTCCAGAAATCGTGCCAATGACTTTAGGAAAACGTGTGGGTTGAGCATCTTTTGGCACTGAGTCCAACTGGCTCCATCATCTCCATCAACAGCTTCAGGATCAAACGGCATGGTCGGGTTCAACAAAGCATGCCTCAGAGCTGGGGCAAAGGAGGGATGCCGGAATAACATGTAATAACTGTTTAAAACTATTTGATAGTCCCCCAGTCCCCCCTGTTCACTTCACCATCTGTGGCTGCGGCTGCTCCAACAAAACTAGACGACAGCGTGGCCCAAAAGGAAACCAGGAGACAAACATCAAACGTTCTGAAACGTTCCCTCCAAACACAAGTCCCACACGCGAGGGGTATCTTCCAAACGATAATATTTTTGATAGAAGTGACTGATAGTGTGATGTTGATGATGATGGTGATTCAGTGATACAATATTTTCACCCAAAACATTCGCTTGCAGAACTTGTCAGTCCATTTTCGATTCCTGAGTTCATCTAGCGGCAACGATGCGAACAACTGGCGACCTCATGGCCAACCCTGCATGGCAAACGCTTGCGATTGGCTCAAGAATGATGCAGCGGTAACGATGTCAACAGAAAAGTACTGCCTCTTAAGCCCTGCATGAAACTGGTTGGATGGCTTTACACACAATGCCTCCACACAGAGGCGCCCTGGCATATTTTTTTCTTCTACACACAGCACACTTTTATGCACGGAAAACTTGATCACGCACAGAAAACTTTTGCACAAACGCTTTTACAAAACAACGTTCTACACATGGATGCTTTTATACACAAAGGCTTTGACAAACAAGAACCTCTCTCACACACACACCAATGCCTTTGCACACAAACGTTTTGATACACAGAAGCTTTTGCGCACAAGAACTGACACAGAGCAAACCTTCACACACACACAAATGCTTTTACACAGAAAACTTTTGCACACATAACAGTTCTACCTTCAGAAAGCTCTTGCACGCAAAAGCTTTGACACACAGAAAGCGTTCACACTCAGATGGTTTTTTTAAACACAAATAGCTTTTACACACAGAAGTTTTTACACACACACACATCTTCTACACATAGAAAGCTTTTGCACACACAGGTTTTTACACACAGAAAACTTGTGGACACTGAAGCGTTTACACACGGAAAGCCTTTACACACAGAACGGTTTTACACACAGACACTTGTACACACAGGCAGTTTTACACACAAGAACAGTTTCACAAGAACACTTACACACAAATACATTTACACACAAACGGCTTTTACTCACAGGCACAGGCAGCTTTTACACACAGAAACTTCAGAGGTGCTTTCGGGAAAAATCCCCCAAGTAGAACAAACAAACCTGTTGAGGCTAGAGGCGCAGTGGGAATTCTGGATTTTATGAGCCCATGGCACGGAATTGTAAGAGGCGTACAGTACCGCCCGTGCAAAATGATGGGTCAGCTACAGTCGGCATTTGTCACTTTAGAATGACTAGTATATATAGGCATATTGCACAAGGGCGCAAGGCTATCAAGTGTCAGACTCTAGCCGCCATTTAATTACTCAATTTGCTGGTTCTGCTTGTGTGGTCTCATTGTCATATCCCCTCATGTGGGCTTGAAGCACGTGCCATTGGAAAGTCACCTGTATATATTTGAAGCTTAAGATCTACATAGCACACATATATTAATATATGAAATCATGTGACAAATTGATATATAATTTAGTTTAATATATTTCAGGAAAAAAACAATCCTTTTCGCTCCTCTTGTACACTCATCATCTTCCCCCACCAGTCGAAGCTCATATTTTGGAGACATCCACAACACCCCCGGAACCCCGCCACAGCAATCCCAGCGTCACCATGTTGAAGACAGTCACGACCACTTGTGGAGGCTTCGCTAAGGTCTTCATTTGTGAAATCATATTCCGGTCAAGCATCTCCACAGATCTATGTAGCTCTTCTGCCAGCACACATCCTTGCCTTGTCAGCACGGAAGGGCTTGCATGATTTAGCCAAAGTCGCTGATGCGCCACTTGAACTCCCACTTGTGTTGCAATCTCGCCTGGTTGCTGATTGATCCATGCGAAAAAGTCATGAACTTAGACACTTGATAACACTTGTAGATATACTGGTATGATATGGATTGAATGGCTATATCATATATCTAATCTTCAAATGTTTCGTTTACAACTCCCCGTGTCAAAAAGGCAAGAAGGATCAAAAAGGCCACAGCTGGAACCAGCAAGTCACGTTGCAGTGTGCTGACCAAATCATCAGGTTTCATCTCCAACTCCAGCAGTTCTCCCGACATCTTTTTCACAGCGACCCGGATGATCCCACTCTCCATGGCGCCTGTAACGGAGAGCCGCGGCGGCCACGGCGGCAATGGCTTGTGAAATGGGAAGGGTATGGAGGTAGTCGCCTCATCAGTATCAGTGACTATTGTAACTATTGTATACTATTGTATCATATTGTATCACTGTCACAATGCAGGAAGGGTGTGCGCCTCGTGCCGTACACCATCCTACTTCAGCACTGGGGAGCTGCACTGCGGAACCACCGCTCAAAAGTGTTGGTCAATGTTGGTCATATAGTTGTCACTTTTTTCTCCTCTGACTTTGAACTCAACCTGCTTTCTAGTAGAGACACAGCCGTGGTGGCCATGGTGTGGCTCATTTGCCAAGTGCAGATATGATCCTTTTGGAGATCTCTGGCAGTTGCGATGGTGAGCCAAATTTGAGCCATCAATTTTCACAGGCGCGGTAAGCTCCTGAGATCTGCTCTAAGTACTCTTCATATCTCTTCATATTGGATCTTCGTGAGCGGCAAAAACACTGAAGGTCCCAGAGTCTAATATTCTAAAATCATGCAAATAAGAAAAGGGCCTAGCTTTGTGGCAACCTGTTTTTTGGCGCTTCAAAACTCATGCCCTCCGCAACCGGGTACAACTTGTGGACATATGTGGAAATGCCGAAGCTGCGCATGGTAAATGACTTGAAGTCAAGGTTTGTACTTCCAGAGGTGCTGCTCTTCGACGCCGTTCAAATGCTGAAAACAATATGAACCCACCAGAATCCCACAGGTGCTGCCAGAGATGTGGCAATCCGGTGAAACGAACATCTTCAAATGTCTTTGAAACGAACCAGTTCACCTGGGACGTACTGTGGATGGAAGAAATCCTGAACCAGTCAGTAAATGGTTTATGCCACTGTTATCCCACTATTTACAGTGTTTCATAATTACCTATATAATAGTTGCAAACTGGTGCAGGATTTATTCCATCTGCAGTATTGAAGCGCACAGTATAATCATCCTGATTCATCATGAGCCAAGTGTGGGGCTATCATGTGATCATCCTGCACTCGCACGATGAAGTCAGCAGCTGCTTTTGTGATTTGCTGACCGAATCAAATATGCCAGCTACAGGCATAGGCAGGCACGCCTGCAGTTCTCGCAGCGCTGTTCATTCATTCCCATATTTCCTAAATTTGGTGTTGAAGTAAATACTGTATGTTTTCCCGAGAGCGTCTGAGCGCAGGGTTCTTCCAATAGTGGGGGTCTGTATCTTATCTTCTCATCTTCACATCTTCTCATCTTCACATCTGTTCATCTTCACATCTTCTCTCACATCTGCTCATCTTCACATCTGCTCATCTTCACATCTTCTCTCACATCTCTCTCACATCTTCTCTCACATCTGCTCATCTTCACATCTTCTCTCACATCTCTCTCACATCTTCTCTCACATCTGCTCATCTTCACATCTTTTCTCACATCTTCTCTTACATATTCTCTCACATCTTCTCTCAAATCTGCTCATCTTCACATCTTCTCTCACATCTGCTCATCTTCACATCTGCTCATCTTCACATCTTCTCTCACATCTGCTCATCTTCACATCTGCTCATCTTCACACCTTCTCTCACATCTGCTCATCTTCACATCTGCTCATCTTCACATCTGCTCATCTTCACATCTTCTCTCACATCTCTCTCCTTTTTCTCTCTCTCGCCTTCTTTTTATCTTTCTCTCTTAAGGCCGAGGGTGGTGTCGGCGGCGAGTCACGAAACGCCAACCCTTTCGCACGAAATGAGGGTCGATCGGCAAAAACTGAGGTAAATTTGCGATTTGACTTGTCCCGGAGCAACCCTTTCGCACGAAATGAGGGTCGATCGGCAAAAACTGAGGTAAAACTGCGATTTTACTTGTGCCGGAGCAACCCTTTCGCACGAAATGAGGGTCGATCGGCAAAAACTGAGGTAAAAGTGCGATTTGACTTGTCCTGGAGCAACCCTTTCGCACGAAATGAGGGTCGATCGGCAAAAACTGAGGTAAAAGTGCGATTTGACTTGTCCTGGAGCAACCCTTTCGCACGAAATGAGGGTCGATCGGCAAAAACTGAGGTAAAACTGCGATTTTACTTGTGCCGGAGCAACCCTTTCGCACGAAATGAGGGTCGATCGGCAAAAACTGAGGTAAAAGTGCAATTTTACTTGTGCCGTTCTTGTCTGTGTGTAAAAGCGCCTGTGTGTAAAAAGCGTCTGTGTGTAAAAGTCTCTGTGTAAAAGCGTCTGTGTGTCAAAGCGTCTGTGTGTCAAAGTGTCTGTGTGTAAAAGCGTCTGTGTGTAAAAGTGTTTGTGTGTAAAAGTGTTTGTGTTCAAGTGTTTCCGTGTAAAAGCCTCTGTGTGTAAATGTGTTTGTGTGTGAAAGCGTTTGCGTGTAAAAAGCGTCTGTGTGTAGAGGTTGTCTGTGTGTAAAAGCGTCTGTGTGTCAAAGCGTTTGTGTGTAAAAGCGTCTGTGTGTAAAAGTGTTTGTATGTAAAAGCTTCTGTGTGTAAAAGTGTTTGTGTCAAAGTGTTTGTGTAAAAGCCTCTGTGTGTACATGTGTTTGTGTGTGACAGCGTCTGTGTGTAAAAAGCGTCTGTGTGTAAAAAGCGTCTGTGTGTAAAAGCGTCTGTGTGTCAAAGGGTTTGTGTGTAAAAGCGTCTGTGCGTAAAAGTGTTTGTATGTAAAAGCTTCTGTGTGTAAAAGTGTTTGTGTTACAGTGTTTGTGTAAAAGCCTCTGTGTGTAAAAGCTTTGTGTTTAAAAGCGTCTGTGTGTAAAAAGCGTCTGTTTGTAAAAGTGTTTGCGATGCAAACTACTGTCTTGCACTTCTCACTGTCCTGTCTTGATACTCCTCTTCTCGACTGCCTATAACAGAGCTTTCATATATCGTTTCTAATATTGCGTCTCCATACTAACAAGAGAAGACCCTGCTCCCCCCTGAACTGGCCGAGCAAACATGACTGTAAGCATTTCCAGAGCTTCTTTTGGTGGCCGTGGTGCTCGTCTTTGGAGATTTTGGAGGCCTGCTGCATGTTGCCGTGTGGCAGTCATTCGATGGTAAAACCGCATGATTTTGCGAGTTTCAACTGCAAGCTTGTGTTCCGTTTGTTTGGTGAAAGCATGAAGCTGGTCGGCGCAGCTATTGGTTCGAGATTTGTATCGCGCTTGGCGTCTATAAGTTGTCACTCTGGGTTCGCTGCAACCGGATATGTCCGAGAAGGTCCGAGAGTTGCAACAAGGCTTGACAGAGGGAGGAGTTGATCCCTTCCGGCGCCAGGTGCGCAAACTTGGGATCAATGCATTGACGGCTTTAGCTTCTGAGCTGGGGATGTCACTGTGTGGCATTCATTCGATGTTTTGCACCGCATGATTTTGCGCCAGGTGCGCAAACTTGGGATCAATGCATTGAAGGCTTTAGTTTCTGAGCTGGGGATGTCAGTGTGTGGCAGTCATTCGATGTTTTGCAGCTAGCTTTTGGTAACACCGCATGATTTTGCGCCAGGTGCGCAAACTTGGGATCAATGCATTGAAGGCTTTAGTTTCTGAGCTGGGGATGTCAGTGTGTGGCAGTCATTCGATGTTTTGCAGCTAGCTTTTGGTAACACCGCATGATTTTGCGCCAGGTGCGCAAACTTGGGATCAATGCATTGAAGCCTTTAGCTTCTGAGCTGGGGATGTCAGTGTGTGGCAGTCATTCGATGGTTTGCAGCTAGCTTTTTGGTGAAACCGCATGATTTTGCGCCAGGTGCGCAAACTTGGGATCAATGCATTGAAGGCTTTAGCTTCTGAGCTGGGGATGTCAGTGTGTGGTAGTCATTCGATGTTTTGCAGCTAGCTTGTGGTAAAACCGCATGATTTTGCGCCAGGTGCGCAAACTTGGGATCAATGCATTGAAGGCTTTAGTTTCTGAGCTGGGGATGTCAGTGTGTGGCAGTCATTCGATGTTTTGCAGCTAGCTTTTGGTAACACCGCATGATATTGCGCCAGGTGCACATACTTGGGATCAATGCATTGAAGGCTTTAGCTTCTGAGCTGGGGATGTCAGTGTGTGGCAGTCATTCGATGTTTTGCAGCTAGCTTTTGGTAAAACTGCATGATTTTGCGCCAGCTGCGCAAACTTGGGATCAATGCATTGAAGGCTTTAGCTTCTGAGCTGGGGATGTCAGTGTGTGGCAGTCATTCGATGTTTTGCAGCTAGCTTTTCGTAAAACTGCATGATTTTGCGCCAGGTGCGCAAACTTGGGATCAATGCATTGAAGGCTTTAGCCTCTGAGCTGGGGATGTCAGTGTGTGGCAGTCATTCGATGTTTTGCACCTAGCTTTTCATAAAACTGCATGATTTTTGCGAGTTTCAACTGCAAGCTTGTGTTCCGTTTGTTCGTCAAAGCATGAAGTAGGTCGGCACAGCTTTTGGTCCGAGATTCGTATCGTGCTTGGCCTCTATGAGTTGTTACTCTGGGTTCGCTTCAACCGGAAATGTCCGAGAAGCTCCGAGAGTTGCAACAAGCTACGACAGAGGGAGGAGTTGATCTCTTCCGGCGCCAGGTGCGCAAACTTGGGATCAATGCATTGAAGGCTTTAGCTTCTGAGCTCGGGATGTCAGTGTGTGGCAGTCATTCAATGTTTTGCAGCTAGCTTTTGGTAAAACCGCTTGATTTTGCGAGTTTGAACTGCAAGCTTGTGTTCTGTTTGTTTGTCAAAGCATGAAGCTGGTCGGCGCAGCTTTTGGTTCGAGATTCGTATCGCGCTTTGCCTGTATACGTTGTTACTTTGGGTTCTGTGTGTAAAAGCAACTCCTGTGTGTAAAAGGGTCTGTGTGTAAAAGTGTCTGTGTGTAAACGTATCTGTGTGTAAACGTGTCTGTGTAAAAGCTTCTGTATGTAAAAGCTTCTGTGGGTAAAAGCTTTCTGTGTAAAAGTGTCTGTGTAAAAGCTACTGTGTGTAAAAGCTTCTCACTATTTGGTCTTGATACTCCTCTTCTCGACTGCCTATAACACATCTTTCATACATCGTTTCTAAAATTGCGTCTCCATACTAACAAGAGAAGACCCTGCTCCTCTACGCTCTCGGGCCATCCGTCGTCTAGTTTAAGTGCCAAAGCCTGTATTGACAAGAATGTCAAAAGTCAAAAGTATGAGAAAATGAGGAGCCAAGTGAAGAGCTGAGAGTGCCAACTTGTGCCTGTGGCTTGCAAAGGATGAGCGGCCGATCCGAGTCTTCAGATCACCAGGGCCAAAAAAATGATGGCCAGCCATTCAAGAGAACTACTGCTCCACCATCTTTTGGTTGATGGTTTCAGCTCAAACAAAGGATGTATGATATGTGACACGCCAGCTGCGATTCATAACTGCAAACTGGGATGAAGAGTAAGAAACACTTGCAATCTGAAACCACCATCCACTCTTCATTAACAGCCCGATGGCATAGGATACATCCGCATCCCGCACCGGAAAATGCTGTGATCTCATTAGCTGCCAAAAGTCCACCTGCAGTTTTGCAACATGGAATGGCACAGCCGCAAGCTCCACATCACCGGCAAAGATTTCTTCCTCAGGGAAAATGAGGGCGGGTCACAACACAGAATCTGCATGATCACGTGAGTTATGCACCAGCCTCAATCCTTCACACTCTGAGTGACCATGAGGAATCTATGAATCCAAAGAAAGAGATTTGATTACCTCCGCGTTGTGCTTTATGAGACCATTTCTTGGCTGTGAGAAGTAGGGGGTGGCCCTCAGGGGGTGGCACTCAGGGTGCAAGTTTGATGTGCTGGATGCAGCATCCATCTTTTTGACAATGTTTGAACTCCATCAGCTGCAAGCTGGTCTTGAAGGAACTCTGGATTAAAAGGACAGATCTCATGGGTCTCTCTCCATCTCAGGATCTTTTCAAACTAATTACAGTAATTGAACATGGGAAATAGTGGGAAATGGGGGGGGCGGGTCAACGAAACCGCACAACTTCTTCAATTCAAATGTGAACACCAGACTTGGAGACATGGAAACACCCAGTGCTTGCCTGACTCTCGGTTGCCATCATCGAAAAGTGGAGCCCCGAGTTGTGCTCCGAGGTCGAGGGGACGGCGATCCACGGTTTAGTGTGGTGCGCTGCGTCTGTCGACCTGGGGGTAGTGGATACAGTACGACTGAAAGTCTTGAACCGTTCTCCATCATAATCATCATAAAACAAGATATACAGGAGTCATAAACATGCCAAATTTCAATCAATGAATCAAAAATCACCACACCAATCAAGAGTTTGTGTGTTTATCTTGCTAGTTACACCAAAGCATCTGCTATTGCCGTTGAGCAGCGGCTGGCGGAGGTACTGCTCCCACCAGTAATTGCACCCACAGCTTTTGAGGCCCGGCTCAACAAACCACCAGAGCTGCTGGCCGCTTTCGCCTGAGATTTCCGTGGCGTCACCGATGGCCGTGTGCCTGCAGCTTCCGGCCGTGTGGCTGCAGCTTCCCGGATCGAGGCTACTTCTTGGGCTGATGGAGCCTCTGCAGGTGTTTCCTCGGGTCCTGGCTGTGTGGCGCTCTGATCCTGTAGCGCCTGAAGCGCTGAACCTCTGGGGGACCGTGAAGCGGACCTCACCTTCTCAACAACCCCAGGGCTCTCGAGGCTCTCAACCATCTGCGCCTGTGCCTGGAAACCCTTGGAACCTTGAGAGGCCCTGGAAGCCTGGGAAGCGCGTTTTGCAAGGCCTGCCATGGTGGTGTCTTCCACTTCGACGCTAGCTGAGTTGGCTTCAGGGGGAGCTGGTGCTGCTTCGGGTGGAAGAGGATCTGCTTGAGGATCTGGTTCGGCAGCAGCTGGCTCAGGATCTGGTGCTGAAGCTACGGCCGGAGCCGCTTTGGGATCTGCAACATCATCTGGCAGCTTCAAGGCGTGCACGAACTCCTTCCTGGCGAATGTGTACTGGGCAGGTCAAAGCGGAAACGAACAACAACCAAAACTTCTGAAGCGTCCGTGTAATTTCGGTAAACGAAGGGTAGAAGAGGAACCGCAAACCATGGTATTGTAAGTGCCCGGCCATCCATGTTTGCGCTACATATTTGTGAACACCCATTATTTTTGTTGATATCTTTTGCCGCTGTTTTCATGGTCTCTCTGAGCTTGGGGATTACATTGAGAATTGTACTATAGTCTCCTCAGATATCAGAGTTCAATAGAGTTCAGTGATATACAATGGATACCCACAATCTGTTGAGCGATTCCAGCCCCACAAATCAGTCACGAACGGGACTCAAAGAAATCTTCATCCTTCCAGGAGCAAAGTGGAAAGTCATGGCTCTCTGCCGAGTTGCATCTCAATGAGGCCATTTTTGTTCACATCAATGGCTGCGACCAAATCATCCAGCAAGGCTTCCTGGGCGACCAAACGTCAGTGCCGGAGCTTTGAGGCTGCGAATGGATTAAACGATATATAAGGATATAAGATGATATAAGTTGCATTAAGTTACCAAAGCAAGATAAAGCAAGTATGAAACTACAAACCAAATAACCATAAATAACCTGATTGTTGGGCAGTGAATGCCGGAACCGATCTCCCCGTGCCATGCCAGGCATTGGCTTGGCTGTGGCACAAGAAGAGCATTGCAGTCTGCAGCCCCATACCCACTGCTCACCCCCACTCACATCTCACAAATGCAACCCCTATACACCTTTAAAAACTGCTTGATCAGTGAATGGAGTTGTTTCATGTTGTTTCCAACCGAAAAAACCTTTAATCCAAATCATCCCCGAGTTTGGGGGTGGAGTCAGGAGTCGGAACGCCCATCAAATGTCTACAGGAAGATGGGAAGGGTATAGTGTGTTTGCACTCAGTGGCTTTACTTGAGGATGGTTGAAGATGTTTGAGGATGGTTGAGGTGGAGAAACATAAACAAACATAACGCACTGTGAATAAACACACTATCTATATAATATTGAATATATATATATAATTATATATATATATATACATATTATGATATTATGTATATCATTATGATATCTTGATATTTGTGAATCACATTTATAATATTTTATAATCAAATGTAATCAACAACACAATCAAGGCGCTGAGACGTCCAGGCCCAAACGCTTCAGGCCCCGCGCCACCTCGGCGACGTCCAGGCTGCCGCTGGTGTCTTTGTCCATGGCTTTGAAGAAGCTTCGGCCATCAGTGACGCGCATCCTGGATGAAAACATGGATGCGGATATATTGGGATTATCTTATATTATCCCAATACAATATATCCCAATATATCCCATATGATTATGTGGAATTATTATGCAAAAAATTAGGATATTGGCAAATTATTGGGATAATTGATATAATTACTGGTGATGATTAAAAAATGCGGATGAATTATGCCATAGGAGGGGAATTTACTATTTCACTTGGTTCATGTTTCAAAATTCACCTTCTGAAAGAGTGCTCTCTAGAGAGCATTCTTCCATTGTGCGGCGCACAACCGGGGACTTCCAAGACCCACCGTTTGATAGCCTGTTTCAAACCTATTGTGTTTGAAATTTGAGGGTAGTTGCGTTTTTGAACATACAAGTACCCCACTGAGAACATTCAACCCGGCCCCCAAGGGCTTCCAAGAAGAAATGTATGCGTGCTGCAGAGAATAGTCCTGGTGTCGCTAGAATGCTGTCTTTGAACGTCGAAACTTGAAACCTGCAAAAATGAAATGGACAACATAAACAATTGTTTAAACACACGTTAACATAACCAATGGTTCCAATCTTGGTGTTCAAGACCCTTGGCATCATTCAAGACTTTCCACATCTATCCGACCCACTGGGCGTCTCCATATGAGATAATGATTGGCCAAGCATCCCAAGTATCATCTGAGTGTTGCTTCTCAACGCTGCATTGATCTGCACCAAGGCTTCCTTGAGTTTGTGCACAGAATAATCACCAAAAGAAAAACATATGTTCCTTCTGAAATTAGAAGCCATGAGCTGACAAACCACGGCGCACTCAAATCGATGTTCTTGTTGGATGCGCTTAGAATTCATTGGGTTTGATACTGTATCAGCTTTTCAGATTAATTGGGATAGCTGTGGGATTCAAAAGTAACCATTCAACTTTGAAACCCAAAGAACTTCAAAGAACACACATACAAAACACTACAAACGCATCAAAACTAATTGTTTAAATTTAAATTCATCTTCCAAAATCTTCCAAAATCTTGATCTCCGGGTGTCATAGGCGTTGGTTGCCGGCCCCGTAACCTGCGGCTCCAATTTGGCCTGGGCCTCGGCCACTTCGCGTACCGCACGGTTCATGCCCTTCTGCAGCTCCTGGAGACTCACGCTGCCCGAGTTGTCATCGTCCAGGTATTGGAGCACCGCCTTCAAGTCCGAAGCACTTAGGTTGCAACCTCAGTTTTTGCCAAAATCGCGGAAATTTTGGAATTCCATAGGCTTCCCTTTTTTTCCTTCGTATGAACTTCATATTTCAAAAAAGTTGAACGAAAACATTGGTTTAGTATGGGATATTACTGGATCGATTCCTTCTTGGGGGCCCATGGCAAAGGAGGCATTCCATATTTGATGGATGGGATTGCGATATCATGGCCTTCCTGGAGTGCCAAAATGTGCCAAACTGAATTGGACCATTCCCATGGAAACTACAAATCAATCATCAATCTGAACATGAACATCTGTTGAACTTGGGGTACGTCGCGTATCTAAAGTATTCTAAAGTATTCTAAAGTATTCTAAAGTATTCTAAAGTATTCTAAAGTCCAACTACTCTATAGGACTCCAGGGCAGTTGTATCATGTTATATTAATATGATAAGATTCCATACTAGTAGCTCAACCTGGAACCTTGAGCAAAAATATTGAAGATTTCTCACGACCGTGACTCACCACTAGATAAAAGCTGATAAAAGCACAAACAAACATATATTATTGAACCCGTAGAAACGAGCGCGTCCAACAACACAAGGTAACCTGCGGGAACGCACGACATTCCCTCAAAGAGACAAAGCATCAGGGAGATTGCATTGGAGTGGCTGAAAATCGAAACATTTCGAGATATTGCAGATTAAATATATCATCATATATCTAAATTATTCTATATATGATTATATATTATATATAGGATATTATATGGATATTATAGGGCAGATGGCATCAGATCGCCCAGAAACTCATATCTTTTAAACCTTTCTTCAGTTCAGCTCGGGAAATCTTGCCATCTCTGCTGGTATCCATCTTGTAGAACCAGTCCGTGGTCCGCGTCCTGCAACATGGCAGTCCCAGCACTTACCAGCACAAAAATCCGGCAGAAATTCGTGGCTTGGCGATGGACGAATGGCATCGAAAATCATGCCGCCTGCCAATAAAATCTTTATTGTATCATATTATATAATACCTAACCCCATCCGTGGATCGTTTTTTTTTGGGGGGGACTTGGCATAGAACTTTGCACAACTTTGCAGAATATGACCAAATGGGAGTCCCTCAAGAGATGTGGTCCAACATTGCCACTTGCAAATGTAAGTTGGAGTATGTCTCTGCTTGTTCATCTCTTTTCTGGTTGACTATTTTTGCGTCCTAAATCTCAATGTATCCCTGTTTTGGTCGTGCCCTCTAAGAACTCTAGCCACTGGCTGCCACCATAGAACCTAGAGGCGGACATCTGCTCATGGATCTTGGCCAACGCTTTGGTGGCATCTTCTTTGCTCCCTGCTTCGATCACACGACGCTCCTGCTGTTCGAAAATCAAGTGCAACAGGGTCAAGAGGAATTTCAGTCTTCAAAGAACAATTCTCCTAATATCATTTCCATCATAAAAGTGCGGTGCGGTATCATCAGTAAGACCCAACAAACAATGGGATCCCAAAAGTCAGTGATTGAAAGGACCAGCTTCACTACAATATGATACAGTGGGACATCATGGAGCTGGTCCAGCTGGCTCCTTCTTCTCCTCGGGCTTGGCTAAGAGTTCTTCAGGATTTTGCAGAGCCTTTATAAACTCTTCCTTGTCAATCAGCCCGCTGTCGTTTTTATCCTTGCAGAAACATATCCAGAATGCACAGATCCAACAGAATCCAACAGATTTTTCACACGGCCCTCAAAACCGGCAACACTCAAACCTGGCACGCGACCATGTAGTGACGACATCAGGTCACCTGTCCACAGAAAACACACACACATATATATATATTATATTATATACTATAACAATAATGATTAATTAGATGAACATTAGAATAGTATAGAATAGTATCATATCAAAGACGTACGCAAATTCCACAAGACGTTGAACAACTGAACAACTAAGTTGTCATCAGCTGCGCCTACCGCAACTCATCCCAACTGCCTAAACCAGGGGTATCATCAGCCCTGTAATTTGCCATGCGACTATGCAGCCCACCAGTTCTTTCATCAAACTTTCGTCCACCTTGGCAGCGGAGTATTCGGTGTCTGTTGCAGTCCCACCGGCTGCACACATGGGCAGGTGAGAGCTACCTCCGCAATGGCCCTGTTCCCCTCAAGGAATATGAAAGTTCCCAGAAGCTGTTGACATAAATAACATTAAATAACAACAATGATGCAAGAAGCTATGGAGAAACTGGATGTGGACATCTTGGAACTTGGCTCATCGCCGTCACCAGCTTCCAATATACTCATTTGCCAATCATTTGCCAATCATTTGCCAAGGTGCCATGATGCCCAACTTCATCAAGCCACGGGCCAACTCGGCCACGTCCAGCTCACCGCCTTGAAAGCTTTGGGGAGGCCAGTTGTCTGACCCAGGCATCATCCAGGGCCACAAACCCTGGACAAACCTTTTTGACAAGCTTTTATTTTGCGACTCTGGGATTTCAAACGAATCAATCTAATGACAAAGGGACATGGTTTCAGTTCGAACGGTCTTACTGTTCCACCACAGGACATAAAGGTTGATCACTACGGAAAGCGTGAAGCAGTTGCCGCCTTCGCTTCAAACACGGATTGCGTTTCAATCGGCCACAATCATCCCAAGGTTGCTCACGGTTTGGATAAGTGGAAGCTGACCACCCACTACTATTATAGCTGATGTCAGTACACAAACATTGATGGATCATGGATGATAATGGTGGCAATAGGGTTCATCGCATGTTCTCTCATTTAGCCATTTGAATCCATTTTAGGGATTCACTCCTCAACCAGGTTGCAAACAAATGCTGCAGGTTGTTGGTTTTATCTCGGCGAGGGACTGTTGTCCTTGTCGATGGCCCGGAAAAAACTCCGGCTGTCTGTGACACGGTTCCCGAAGATAATCTGGGTTCCTGCAACATAACATGCACTATACCATGCAAGGCTGCAATGTCTACTACTCTATACCTGCTCTCTCTCTCTCTCTGTCAAAGAAAAACGACGATGAACACCAGCCGCTCTTAGAAGGAAGATGTTGCATTTCCATAACATGTCAACTTGCCTGTTTATAGATTTTGAAACGGGCGGATTCATACGCAAATGCATGATCCAGGTTCTGGAAGTATGGTTCAGATCTGCCAAGCTTCGGCGAACTCTCAGCTGCCATGACAGGCGTGCCAGGGTCAGGGATTCTTTCAATGAAAAATGGCATCCCATCATCGATATCTTAGCCTTGTGAGCTCCTTACATTGGGTCATGGGGTGTTTTAATAAATGCTTGTTGATGGAGCCATATCGCCTATATAACGATACCATGCCCTGAATTCGATCACGGCAAATGAATTAAGCCTCAGATTGTCACATTCCAGGTTGGTTTGGCATGTCTGATCCAGAAATATCCAGAATTTCATGAAGAGATCCAGAATTTCATGAAGAGATCAGTAGGCCCTGGGACTCAACCCCCGCAAAAGACGAGAACTTGAGGCCTCTTGCATACCAATCTAATCTGTATTTGGGGACCCGTCACCGAGTCACCACCCCAGCGACCACCTGAGTACAGCGCTTTGTTGATCTCTTTTAATAGCTCATACTCAGGCCAGCGTGCACGATCGATCTTGTCTTCCTGCGGCAAGGAAGTTTGGAAACTGTGATTTTGGAAATCCTCCATGAATGTAACAACAAACCAGCAAACCATAATTTCAACAGGACACTCATTTAATAAACTAACCAGACTGCATCAACTCCTGTGATGGCTAACTATGGGTTTCAATCTTGAAGGCAAATCAGTACAAACCATAAAATATCACAGCAGTCTGATCTGAAAGAAATCCATCCACCACAAAGTGATTCCCATCGTAAGCACTGTTTGGTCTGCCCCCTGTGCCCTGCCCAATCGAAATGAGAGCTCAAATTATGAGCTGTCGTGTCCCTATGACTGTTTCATACTGTTTGTGTAAGGTGTACAGGGCCTCACTTTCGCCATTTGTGTCACCCAGCCCCAGCAGGCTGCTCCTCCATCCCGGCCCCGTGGGCTCCTTGGGATCTTTCTTCTTGATCGCTTCCTTGATCCCTCTGTCAAGCTCTTTGAGGCTTATGGTGGCTTCACTATCTCCTCAGCTGCTCAGCTGGTAGGGCCATCAAGCACCAATTGAAAAGGCCATGTTGAGGGAAACATGATCGGACAAGCACGGAGGCACCGATGGAATACTGTACTATATAGTAAATCTATTGTACTGTATATTGATGTATATTGTAGATGATTTTAGATTATCATTTTAGTTTCATTGGGGAGCCTTCTGATCGGTCAAACCAAATGTAACTATATTATACACTGCTTCCCTTTCCAAGTGCTGTCCCATGCCTTGTCGCTTATGCACCTTACCCCAAAGGAGCCTATAGTATACGAAATATACGAAGGTGTTTGCTCCATGCCGTTGCAACCTGCCCGTCAGTGGTGAACGTCCAAGCATCGGTCCAGGTATCCTTAGCTGCAGCACCAAGCTATGCAAAAGCCATCCCTGCTGGATTGCCAAAAAAAGATAAAAAAAGGTAGATGGATTCCACCGAGTGGTTGGCTGGCTGAGAGCAAGCTATCCCAGTTCAAGGACCATCACGATCCATCACGGCTAAAATATACTAAAGTATACTAAAGTGACTAATTGACAAACATACAAAAAAACTTAGGTGTCAGGAGGATGATTTAATGTTCAATTTGGTAAGTTTTAGTGGTGCCCGATACTAGGATGAGATCCTAAGTCGGCAAAACCTCCCAAACACAGTGCACGCATCACAAGCCCTGTGTGGATGCTTGAGATCCGTGATCTTACAGTAGATATTGGATGACATTGGAACATTTTGGGACATACCCATGCAACCCAAATGCTGAACCGTGGGCATAAATAAATAAATAAATGCATATATATATATATTTATTTATTTATTTATTTGATTTGGTGTGTCAACATGTGTCAACACTTTCCAATCTTTCCATAAAGTGAGGCAACATATGGCAACATAGCAAACCTGCATAAAAATGCATAAAGGATCCACACATTCCACCGGCCACATCCCAAGAGTCCCATCAAAGCTTTGAAGGACGCTGGGTCGATCTTCACGCCCATTTCTTCCAAGCCTTTTCGGAGTTCACCTCGGCCGCGAAAAGCTGGCCATGGATCAAACTGACAGCTTCCCCTAGCAGACCAAGATCCATAGATATCCATAGAGTATACATCAGACATGGTGGATGATTGGCGTGAGTTGGGGTCCTTGATTTCTTGGACACACCCATGTGGTGGAGGGTTGAAGTGCAGTACTCCCATTCGTTTGCTTCCTTTGCAATCTGGCAATCCAAGGTACTCTTGCCGATTGACCCATCACCACCTCGGGGAGATTACTTTCAGCGAAATCAATATGGAATGATGATGTAGCATGCTACAGCTTGTAAGGTAAGGTGAAGTAATGCACGTCATGGGCAAAACTCATGGCTAGGGGATAGCTTAACCCGCATCAACCCACCGTGAATATGGGCATTCTTCAACGGGCATGATGTATGGGACCAACCCGACTTGCCTTTACTTCTGGGCCAACACCACACGATGCAAACGATGCAGTCTCCTCTCATGGCAGTCTGGGTGTGCTGCTCTTGTCAAACTGGCGGAACAAATCCTGAGCCCGCCACGGATGGAGGGTTCAACGGTTCGACCATTTCGTTGTCAAGGGAACGCACATGAGATGTCAATTGTTGGCTTCTGACCTTGTGGATTTACAACTTGTAACTCATCTCCGAACCCTCCAACATGGCAAACTATTCCAGATTTGATGCCTTAGTCCGGACGAGGCTCAATAGTTCGCTGGCCCTTCCCCATCTGCTGGTGAATCAACCGCAAGGCGCCCAGTGCATCAACAGAAACACCTCGGCATTGGCTGGAGCTGACCTCGTACAGAAACATGGCTGGGAAGATGACAACCAAATGATTCCAAGTGGCACCAAAACAAATGCAATTTAGAAAAGGGAACTAAAGGATATTGAAAGCTGACGGCCTTGGAAATCTTTGGAGTTGCATATTCTTGTGCCTCAATTATCCCAAACTATCATGGCGAGGGAAGATATGCATAGGAATGTTCCACTTAATTCTTGTCAGCAAGCCTCCATGGTTTACCCGTAACGGTCTGGCCCAACCTTGCACTTGCTCTATCCAATTTCCCGACGCCGACGCGCCAATGAATTCCCCCTTCTTTGTCGAGACCTGCTGATCTCTGCGAGGTACCCGCATCAGCGGCAACGCTTGTATTCTCCTTGCTTTGCACCAAAGATGTCCTGCAAAAGTCGGCTGGCACCAGCGGATCAATCACTGGAGTCAACCACTGATCAGTTTTTTAAGTTTGCTGGCATTCGGCATGTTCCCCAATTTTTATGCCAGTGAATTTTTGACAACGGCTAGGATGATTGCGAACTGTCAAAATACCAAAAACATCCAAAAACAAACTCTGACTCCAATGCAACCCTCCTCGGTACTGGGTTCGGTAGAGCGAGACTAACTTGCTCTGATATGCTCTAATCGCCACACATGGTTTCAGTTTTGTTCCCCACCTGCCAGGTGAGGGTTGTTAGATTTTATGTCAGTTGCCTCCTCCTTCTCCTCCGCCTCCTCCTGCCTCGTCCTCCTCTCCTCCTCCTCCTCGTCGTCCTCCTCGTCGTCCTCCTCGTCCAACTGCGACCCGCGATCCACAGTGTTCTCTGTCGGACCTCAACCACGACCATCCACGCCCAGTGTTCCCTGCCGGACCTCAACCACGACCATCCACGCCCAGTTTCCCTGCCGGACCTCAACCGCGAGTATCCGGGCCCAGTGTTCCCTGCCGGACCTGAACCACGACCATCCACGCCCAGTGTTCCCTGCCGGACCTCAACCGCGACCATCCACGCCCAGTGTTCCCTGCCGGACCTCAACCGCGAGTATCCACGCCCAGTGTTCCCTGCCGTACCTCATGTAGGAAGAAAAAGTCGATAGAATGCCAGATAGAATGCCAGAAATTATGAGTATATGCCAGAAGATATGCCAGATAGAATGCCAGATAGAATGCCAGATAGAATGCCAGAAAATATGCCAGAAGATATGCCAGATAGATATGTCAGATAGAATGCCAGAAGATATGTCAGAATATATGCCAGAAGATATGCCAGATAGAATGCCAGAAGATATGTCAGATAGAGTGCCAGAAGATATGCCAGATAGAATGCCAGAAGATTTGCCAGATAGAATGCCAGAAGATATGCCAGATAGAATGCCAGAAGATATGTCAGATAGAATGCCAGAAGATGTGCCAGTAAGAACATGTATAAATGTCATGGTGGGGATCACACGAAGTAAAGTAATTGGTATTTTGTTGTACTTGAACCCGCAGCCTCAAAAAAGCGTCACAACTTTTCGCCCTTTCACTTGGTATGGCATGGGATGATATTCCATGATATTCCATGATATTCTACATCTTGTATGAATATGGATGCAATTGGGATCAATTGTGCATAATATATCATAATATATCATATAATATCATATAATACCGTTTCTTAATTTCATCTGGGCATGAGGTTCCAATCGCAAGACAAGATCCACTCGACATCACTCGCCTAAATTGTGAGGTTGTGCCCTCAGTGCCCTCCCCTCAAACTACCTGGGCCGGGGGCTGTTGCTGAGACTCCCTAATCCAGAGGTCCTGCGCTGCACAGGTGGGTTGGCAGTGGACGCTGGCTGCGAGCAGAACTACATTTACAGTTGATCAATCAACTAGGGGACTACGGTATATAATGGATCCTGCCCTGGACTCTCCCCTCCTCATGCTCCTTTGCATCATCATCATCATCATCCTCCTCCTCCTCCTCATCCTATCCATCCCAGTTGATACCAAAGCATCCCAACCTGTCAAGGCAATCTATTCCAGTCACACCACTGCCACCAACTGTCAGCAGTCGCCAGTTCAACCCTTTCCTTGGGCTGGAGCTTCGGCCTGCTGTTGGATTCAGAGAGGTCCTGGTGAATGGGGGGGAGCCCTGGGATGCACTCCGAAGTACTAGCCGCTAGGTCATAGCTAGGTCCCTGACCAACAGCACAGTTGGGAGCTGGTTTCGGAAGTTTGGCTACCTCACAGTGCTTCCTACTTCCTAGTTCATTAATGTTCATTATGTTTATTGGTGTGCTTGGATCACTTGGATCAAGATCTTGATCCCAAACTTTCCCAAACGGCATTCAGCATTCTCAACGCAGCTGCAAAGGACCAGTCCTGCCATGGCCTTCCAAGCTTCTGGCCGCCATAGATTCTCTGCGACTGTCTGGACCTCGGGGCGGTGAGGGGAACTCGGATACTGATTCTCCATCCTGTTTTTTTTGAAGCGTTCTTTTCATGACCCTAAGCTTGGCCACAGCGTCCCATCCAGGATTGCAATGGTTTCAATCTTCAATACAGTTACGCACGACTGGGTCTTCAGCCAAATGGGCTCCGTCGCGGGGGAGTTGACCGTTCTGCCTCAGGTGATGCATGGTGTTGATATGCATGGCCACTTGGAAAATTCCGCTGGCACCAAAATGATGGGTGCCTTCACTAACATCATCTAAATTGTGTTGAATCCTTTTCAGTTTTCACGACATTTTCAAAGTCCTGGTGTCCAAGAAGAAATTGTATCATTTCTGATCTTTGTCCTCTGTCGACTACCAGATACTACCAGCAACTTTCCTACACCCGGATCCAGACACCTTTTATATTTTTATACAAGCCACGGGTACATAGCTTCAATATAACATTATCAAGTTATTGAGAAAGTAGATTCCAACATTGCGGGATTTAATCCGAAACGAAACTTCGATCCAATTAATAAGGTCTGACGATCAAGCGACATCTTTCAAGCTGGATCGAGCCGGGCCTTGGAGTTTGTGGGTACTCCGCTAGGTTTGCACAGTGAACCACTGCAAACACCATGAAAATGCATGAAACACATTGAAACACCTATGTTCCAAAATGTTCCAGAATATCCTTTCAAGACATCATGTGTCTGATGTATTGATAGTCAATGATGGTCAGATGGCTCACCCGTGCAAAGATCACAAGATTTTCTAAGGCATGGACCGTGCACAGCGGACAATCCGCGTTGAGAAGAAGCTGGAGGCAATAGGGATGCGGCTTCCATGCCTCGACCAACTACCATTTTGCCATCATATCATAACTTTGAGATGCAAACTGCTCAGCCATCCCCATTAGCATCCCCATTGCATCCCTTCCTTGCAGGCAAGTCGCTGAATTTCTTCTGCACGCCTCGGGATGTACAACATCCAAGTGCCGACGGTGACCGTGGCCCTCACAAATAAAAAAGACGACCCTGTTGGAGACACCGGGGACACCGAGAATTGACTGGAATGCCGGAATGCCTGACCAGTTTTCCACTCCCATCCATGCTACAGTACTGTAGGGACTGTAGGGTACTCCGACTGATCACCAGCCCAAGATTCTTTCAGGATCATGCAGCGCACGGATAAATTCTGCTAGTTCCTTGGTGCGTCCATACTCAAGCTGGCAAATGATATGTGGTCGAGAAAGTGAAGACTGGAGCATGGTTGGTGGCTTTAACATGTTTCAACTCTTGCAAATGGGTGTTTGCTCAACCAACAAACTGGCAATGTAGCACTATTTACAGTAACCGATCAGTCAATTGGTGGATTTGACTGCTTGGTAGTTGAGCCACTTACCTACAAATGAGTTGCATATGCTGATGTATTATATGTGTTTTACTTGGGCTGATGATTCCAGGAATCAAATGGAAAAGTACTGGAACAAATGAGCCACCGAACGAGTGATGATTTGGGTTGCTGCAAGGCATTTCGAATTTGGCTACCGTTCCCAAATCACAAAGAACCAAGAACGTGCCTTTTCTTAGCGGAAGCCATACGCATCCTCACACCCCCAGCAAATGAGCATTGTCAAATGCAGTTGATGAAGAGAGGAGTTGCCTGTAGGCTCTTCGAAATGTTTGCATGGATGGTCTACGCAACACAATCTTCGAATGTGAATCAGTCTGACCAATACACTGTCATCCGCTATCCACTCTGGCAACATATTCAAGCATCGATTTTGCCGTTCTCGTTGGTGTCCATGGCATCTGTCAGTTGCTGCAGCAAATGATCAGACCTGGACCCCGCCACAAGCGCAACATGGCCGCGACTCAAGACATGTCCGCTGCTCCACCATGAACTGAAAAAATGCAGATCTGAGAGCAAATAAATCCTAATCCCAAGCACCTCCTCACGTCAGAAAATTTGATGTGTCCAAAATCCCGTATGGTGTTTTTCTGCCGCACAAGTCTTGGGATTGTGCAAGAATCAATGCTTTGTATCGCATTTGGAGACTCGAATGTTTTATTCAAACTCTCCAGTCTTGGCTAGAAAGGACACAAGCACACACGTTTACTCATTTCTGATGGTTCACCATGGTTCAACATACCCCATACATCCCCAGACAGGATCGCCGAGCCGCACATCCACCCCCAGGCGCCGGAAGCCACGTTGAACCTCCGCGGGGTCCAGGGAACCACTGCCGTCTTTGTCGATGGCTTTGAAGAAACCTGGCGCTGCAAAGCTGCTCAAAACTACGGGTTTGAGCCGTAAACCGGACATTGAAACGGATAGGAACGGGTGGAATGGGAGGAATGGGTATTAGTTAAACCTGCATCGAATGTTCACTGACTATCCTTGGACCAAAATCAACAATTTGTATAATTACAGTTTATACATTCATAGGTGGCTCGTTTCAGCCGATCCGGGACACAGACTTGTCAGTTTGGGTATCCAACCATCTGATGTGTTGACAAGCAATTGTAGAAAATTCGAAAGATTGTAGAAGAATGAAGTTATCACCAGTCGTGCGGCTGGACATGTGCGGCTGGACCGCTAACAAGAAAAAAACAAACTGCAGCTTGGAAGCCATGTCCATCGTGGATCTTACGCCCGTAGACCTGAGTTTGTGTGCCCAGGCCACATGCTATGAATTTGCCGCTGTGAAGACCCTCAACCTTCTTGGTTCCCCTCCCCAATTACACATGTACCTCAACCTCAACCTTGCCCTTCTCATCTCGAGATCTGTATCTTTGGACCCTAGGGCCCAGGAATGTGCAAATCATCCGCAGCCAGGGACTGTCATCTTGCCCGCGCGCAGGCCAGCGTTCACCTTGTGCAAAACATCCAGAATGGATGTGTCCGTAGGGCTATCCTCAAAAGGCACTGGATTCACTGGATGTGCCCAGTAGGGCCATGTCGAGGGATCGACCATTTCAATCCATCGAAGATGGCGTGCCAGCATGATCTTGTGATGTTCATGTGGGATACCTCACGCCCTCAAACTTTGTTTCCATTAGACCATCAATACCCCTGCAAATAATGTTCCAATCAGTTGGAACAAGTCAGCGCATTTGTTAAATCAACACTTTCATCGTTATAGCTGCATGATGTTGCATGAGTTCTCGTTCTTGTTCGTTTATCCATAAAAATCCTTCCATCGTTGATGAACCGCCAAGCATCTGCCACGCGATGTTTTGCCGCCTCTAAGGCTTCCAGGGCAGCTTTCTTCACGCGATGCTCGAACTCTTTGACACTCAGCATGCCAACCCCTCAGCAATTGGCAAAGGGCAAATTAGTGAGCGCAATGCATGGGTGCATCATGGGGAGTGACGGGAGCGATGAGTTACTGTAAAAGGTAGCTCTAGACTCGCTGGGGCACTTCCAACCTGCTGGTTTTGCAACAAGTCTTCTGTAGCACTTTAAGCGGAGTGTGGCCACTCGAAATATCTGTTTTCATCTGCTTTCAAATGCTTAAAGTATCACAGAATCATATATCCTGATTTTCTGCAAGGTGTGCTTGGCAGCTGTTTTCATGGATTACTTCAGGGCGTTTTCAGGTATTCCAACCCACTGTGGTCCAAGATGCTGTCGACATCGAGCAGGAAGACGAGTGCATCCAGTTCTTGTTGGCTGATCTCATAGCCAATCTGCTGCAATCCTGATGGCTCACTGGGGGTCACGGAGCGTCACCTGGTCACTTCTTTTTGATCTCTTCTGATGCTATCTGTTGCTTGCGGACACGTGTGCAACTACTACTAGTACGGACGATGAGGAAAGCCAGGCTGGTGGACGTGGGAGGGATGTTAGTTGAATTACACCTGTGTCAAGATCCTGGATGCCATTCCTTTCACCACGGCTGAACCCCCAGAAACATAGCTCCGATGCGTCAAGCGGATTGGGGTACGTCAGTCAATCCCTGCGAGTGACTGATATCATGTGAATCCTTGAGATGGCAGTGTGTCAAAACCTTGTACCCCTGGTGAACCCCAAAATAGCTGGTAAATGGATGTTCATCCCACTAAAAATGGTATTAATAGATATATTGATCCATAGCCAGATGGGAATCAATGTCCCAAAATTAGGGCATGGAAAGCACCTGAACCCGTCGACTATAGCTGGTGGAATGGGTGTGGGTCAGAGACCTTACCCCCAAACTCTCTGTTTCGCCCAAGAACGATACACACACAAATGAAGGTGCAATAACACTCACTGCATGGTCTGAGAGACAGTGTGCCCTGACCCTATCTCTCTGTCCTCGTTGAAGTTCAGCAGGTGTCAAATAAGCATCGCTGTTTCCTTGGTGAATGCTAGCTCCTATGCCTGCTGACTGGATTGAGTACACAACATTGGCAGGACATTTTGGTCATGGCAAGGGGGAAATCATGGAAAACCCATTGCCCCCACAATTGAAGCATGGCATATTGCGTGCACATGGGCTGTGCTTGAAGGCATTGCTCCAAGAAATAGCATTAAATTAAATCCTAGAAGCCTCCTTTCCAAAACTTTTTCGCAAGTGGTTTACTCTTAATTACAAGGGGGTACATGGAGGTATGTCATGATATGTCCATACCAAAGATCTGCGTACCATGGATGTTCTCCAAGCGGCGATCGAAGAGTTCTAGGAACTCAGCCGTGCGAAGCTTGTTGAGTTCCAAGCGCTCATAGATGGCCACCAATGCCTAAAGGACTCAAGGACAGGGTCAAGGGCGGACTGGAGCAACAAGAACTCCCGGCAGTCCCTGGCTTCTGCCTTCACAAATGGTCTAAAACAGTCTAAAGATGTCTAAAGGGTCTGAGTTTGCATAGTCCCCAGCCGACTCTTGATTCACATCACGATCACATGTGTTTCTTCATGTTTCTTCTTTAAAGTTCTTTGATCGGAGCTTTATATTGCTTTGATCACTGCTAAGGCGAACTTTTGAGCCAGGAACAGCTGTCGCAGTGATCTCCTGCAGGGCGTCCATGAACTCCACCCTTGGTGCAGCTCTACTTGGGCGACCATTTCAGGTGGCGGAAACAATGATTAAAGTGAAAGTGATCATACAATATTATATCAAGATATATCAAGCATCACATCACAAAGTGTCGATAAGTCTCTCCCGTTCCTGGAATTTTCCACTGAATACAGGGGCGGTTAAAGCATTCGAAATCTGTGCTGTCTTTGCTTAATGACTGAGCTACCAAGCAGTTCCTAAGTCCTAAGTTGGATGGACGCCCAAGTAGCTGACCATTACCAGCTACCCGCGTAGCTCCGTTACGCAGCTGGGACAGTGGTGCACATGGTGGCACACGACTGACCCGCAACAGCCTTACACTTTATGCATTCAACGACAACCCACCAGCCAGCCCCAGAATGGCATGAAATACACCCAACATTTCTGATGAAGGATCTCCACAATTTTTGAATCCACCACGTGGATCTTCAGCCTGGACTGTTGGTGATGCCTTTATGGTTTGATGTTTGATGGGCCAGCCAATACAGCCATTAATTTCGTTCAACCGAGGTGCTCGATCACAGCATCCTGCCCCGAAGGACTGGATCTCAACTCTGCTCGGTGGAGTGCTCGTGCCAACTCCTTCACATCCTCAAACTGGGCAAAAGGAAGACCAAGAAGCGAAAACGCGGCGGATTTCAGAAGTTGTAGGCACTGACCCAATGCATGCTAATTATCCATAATTCTTAAACACCACTTCGGATGACTTGAGATAAACCACCATGAAACACCATGCAACATCTCTGATTTGTTGGCACGTGTCGCTACAGTATGGACATGTCAAGAAATTTGAGGCGGCATTTCCTCCGATCAACACCAGCTTGTACAGTGACTGCCACGGTATTTGATCTGGAAAGCTGAGCTTGGGGCAATGAAGCCGTTGCGGTCAGAGTCCATCCTAATTGAAACGTGCAGAGTCTCTCCCAGCTGGGTCATGATAGGGCTTTACACAATGGGTAGCAAATGGATAAACCATGACAAAACGTGACAAAACATGGTAAAAATGGAATCCCTCTTTCATACAGTTCTGTCAATTGGGATTATCTCGCGGAAGGAATTTGCCATCCTCTTGCTGAACCGCGTGACCATCAAGAGTGCAGCCGCCAATCACAAACTGATCTACATCTGAGATCACCTCTGCCAAGCCGCATTTCCATTAAGGTTTCCACGTCATCGTCGCGAATTTTGTAGCCAGCGCTTTGCAGGGCATTTCCTTGACAACGGTGAACAGGCATAATGAGTCATAAATGACTTTGGCAACATCCCTGTGACTGCGGAGTGGATCGAATGTCTTCCATTCAAATCCACCTTCGCCATCCTTCGCCCACTACCCTCCTTCGAACGCAACATCACCCAACGCGTCCAACTCCATGGCATGCTCTGAGATCATGCGGATATCCGGAGCGGATCGAACCGAGCAACTCAGGTCAGCTGCTGACCAAACACCATTTCCATCCTGATCGTGTTGCCGGAACCTGAGGCGGCATTGATGTGCGTCCTGCCAGATTTTGAAGAAACGCCGCTAAGTTGTAGGGAAACTTGTGGGCGTGGCGCAGGTCCAAAAAAGGACATGTTTGACGCACAGATTACATCAGATTACACCTTCTGTGACCATGAAAAATACATAAAAATACCCAATTTTGGACCCGGGAAAGCATTTTGATTTTCCGTACCTGGCCGTCACAAACTCTGGAGATTTCAGGCAAGACGCAACGCAAACACCCGGATGTTGGAGTCCTGAAGCGGTATGATCATGACAATCCGAGAAGGCAAGGAATTGCTGATGTTATTTGCTTTGGGAAGGGCCCGAAGAATCTGAATGATCTCCATCTTATCATCTTTTTGTGCAGAAATGGCTGCACTGACTCCGATATTCTACTTGATGGTTTGGTCTTTATTTGGTGTGTTTTTCCTGTGAAATTTCACATTAGGGCCATGTTCAATGGTTTCATTTCAGGCCACATGTCTATGCATGTTTCAGGTTCTGCAGCTCTACTTCCCTTCCATGCTCCTTGAGATGCTGAAGCAGGGCCAGGATGGCCGGATGTACTTCCTCCAGGTTGGGATCATCCATCTCCAAACCTGGGGGTCAAGGTTTGGGAGATTGGATGAGATTGGCTACGGTTAGTCATTTCAACGTAGCAAAGCATGTGTCCATTCTCTCTCCATCGCCAGGTCATCCTGCCCTTCAGTGTTTGGGGGTTAACTACTACATGGCTTGAACATGCGTGAGCCAGGTCGAGATTTGTCATTTCTATCAACCAAGTATAATCGTCCCAAATACTTGAAACCACCGATTGTGGGATACAATACTATCATATACTATCCCAAGCATTCTGAAGTTTTGTCTTTCAGAGTCTTTTACTGTAGTTGGAATGATGACTTTCTCTCTCTAGAGTTAGACATTTCTCGTGCACTGCGGAGCTGACAATCTGGTGTACATTCTGTATGCACCTTATTGGCCACTCGAAAAGCGCCCCTTCCCTCCGGAAAAATCATCTTCCGGCCAAATTGTCGATGTTGCCTCTAAGGGGTTCTGCCACATTCTTCCATGGTGTCCCAGCAGGTCGCACCCAGGGCGCCTGTTGCTCTTCTCATTGCTTCTTCCAGCTCTCGCCGGCGCCGTGCTTCGTATTCCGCGGCCTCCAGCTTCACCTGACTGCAGCAAGATCAGTCGTGACATGTGGGGATGGGTCAAAACCCTATCCCCCTTTTGTTCACATCAAAATAGCTGGGTTAAAATGGATGTAAATGGATGTTCATCCCACTAAAATAATGGTATCTATAGGTATTGACCCATACCCATGTATTGACATGATTTGACATGCACATCATGCACTAACCAGAATCTGTGGATCCATGTGGATCCATGTGGATCCCCTCCGTTGAGGACATGACGGCTCGGTCCAAGGCCACGATGGCTACCGTGTCCGTCTCTCTGTCCAGGCGACTCACCAACTCTTGGAGCTCTTTGAAGGTCGCTTTGTACCTCCCATGGGGGCGGCATCTCATGTGCCTCCAGGTGTCGTCAATGCTTTATACATCTTTATACGCCATCATGGTTCAACCGCACATACATATTACGCATATATAATATCACAATATAACATAATATAACTTGTGTTCGTTTATATTAATATGATATGATACGATATGATATATGATATGATATCATATTATTAATATGATACTATATATATATACATACATGGAATTATATGGATACATTATACCTTAAAAGAAGTGTCCTGCCAAGAGGCCCGATGCTCCGCAAACACTTGTCAAGCTCCTCAGTGTGGCCGGCCAGTTGCTCTCAATGGCAAGGTGGGCATCAGTAGGATATAAACTAACCATGCACAAAACGTTCAACAATGAGATTTGCCAAGAACATCACATCATCATCACCTCATCTGATCATCTCCCAGATTGTTTTCCCTTTATATAATTGGGGTGAAATTACCCATGGTGTCCTATGATTATCATGAGTTATCTTTGATTAGCTCCTGATTCCCGTGGACTCTTCCAGGTGTCATCCAGCGTGAGGCGACCATCAGAGTCTTGATCCAGCTGATTGAAATAATCCAACGGTGTCCTCAGGAGCTATGATCAGCTATGTTTGTGGAGCAGTCCAACTCATTGCAACGACTCGCCATGTCGCATCGAAAATCATGGATGTCTGTAGCGACGTAGGTTTCAAGAAAAAATTGGCTTGTGATGGCTTGTGACAAAGCATGGTAAACCATGATAAACCCACTTGGTGGAATGATGCAGGGTGATGATAGACATGATGTGACATTCAATAGCGTCCTTACTAGACCGTCCATCTCTAGAAGTTCAATGGAACAATGACCCCCAGAGTGGCTAGACCCCGTCCAAGCGTCACATTTGCAACTTGCAACTGATGGTGAATCGCAAGCAAAGGTGATCCAGAAAATATCTCTTTCAGTGCCGCATCCACTGATCCTGGAAAAGGCTCATGCTTCGCTTTGGGAGGGAAGTAGCGCAAATTGTGCCGTGATAATTATGATTGTACCTACGACTCTGACCTATCGCTCTGGGTATTGCCCTGCTGGTACTGTGAAACCAGTCACCAGCTATTGCGATGGGTTGCCTCTGGGACCGACAAAAACCGTAGTTGTTTGCTGTTTCTGTCCACTTCCTCCATAGCATTGTCATGCAGACGCCGGCCCAACCCCGGGTAGCTCTCCTACAGGTGCATCACCTAGGCTACATGAGGCTTTTGCTGAAAAGATGCAAGGCTTTGCCATCAATGATGATCTTTGGATGCGGTGGGTTGTTGGGCGGTGGGGGTTCTTGGGAACCCGAACTATCCAACAAGACCCAACCAGACCCAATAAGCCAATAAGCAAACAACGTGCTGAAACTCAATCCGGGGCACGAGTGCCGCTGGAACTCCTCGGTGCTCTTGCTTCAATTGCTTCAATCGCAGGGTCTTCCTCTGCGACTGGGATCCTGTTCTCCTGGAGTTGGTATTGTTGAAGCGTGTTTATCCCCAAACTGGTACGAAATTGGAATGCAGGAAACCCTGGAGATTGCAAAACTGAGATGTTTTTGTTGGTGCCAAACATGTTTATATAAAGCACCTTAGATGCACCAGGTAGCCAGTCCTCCACCGCTTTCGGTGAATCATGGTGATTGGCGTCCAAAGGTGGCAATGACAAACCCACATCTTCCAACGCACGTTTAAACACCAAGCGGACATCCTGACAGGCGGCATATCCACAAACCGCGTCAAACCCCACGTCAGTTTAGGATCAGCAAAGCCAAGAAGTGAAGAACATAGGTTCAGAGGTAAAACTGCTGCTAAAGATAAAAATCTAGGCCGGAATTCCTGCACCATTCAGCAAGTACCCGAAAAAAGAAAGAGAGAGAGAGAGAGGACAAAAAGAGAGCAAGAGAGAGAAAAAGCGAGAAAGAGAGAGGGAGATACACTATTTGAGAAATCAACATTGAAACATTCAAACCAACCATTGACTTCAAAATCCTTTAAATAAATCAAACCCAAGACTCGTCTTGCACATGTGGCAGCATCGATAGATTAAGATTACCTCCTCTGCACATCTCTGCAAAGCTGCTATGGCTCAAGATCCTTAGCGCCCGCCACGGCCCACAGGGCCTACAGCAGTGATAGAGCGTGCTGAGCAAAATAGATCTATCAATCTGTGGATCCATCTGTATCTAAATGGCTAAATATGTATTTCAATCTCTACACACACATATATATATATTTCATATTTTTTTTTTCTCTCTCTCTCTCTCTCTCGCATACATAAAAGACAGTCGCATACATAACATGAAGCTACGTTGCAGTGCGCCACATAACAGAACACAAAATGACATAACATGACATAACATGACATAACATTGCATTACACACCGCTTACATTGTCTTAGATCACACACATGTACCAAGATCTATCTATCTATATTTACAATCACCTATATTTCGGTCTTATTGGAGGTCTAGTCTGCTCTGATCTGTGCTTCTCTAACCATCTTATATGATGGGTTTATCGGTTTATCCTTGAATCTGACAGTCTACTAGAGTCTGTTGTGGTAAAAACATGCATCCACTGCATATGCCATGAAATGCTACGATGACACGTCATGTTCTTAGACATATTGGAAACATGAAATCAGCCACATCAAATTTATAGTTTGATGGACCGATATTATTATGGGCACAAGCAGTTGCATCATAATTGCAATGTGATAAATGTGCATAGTAGTTAAAAAGGGCCACCCGGTGCAGTGGTCGGTGGCCAAGGGTCTTCTCGCAAAAAGCCGCATGCCCGCGGAAAGCCGCGCAGTGTAAGGGTGTCAAACAGTCACAATCCTAGGTCACAATTTGCGTAGCCAGACATGCTGGGAGCAACCCAAAGAGTGCCGGCACACATCTGCCAAGAATGGTGGGCATGCCATACAAGAACCGGAGAGTCGGATAAACCATTGTTATAAACATGGATAAACCATTGTATAACCATTGTTAATGGTAGGATCAAATGGTGAGATGAAAATGATGACAGAAGAAAACTGTCAATGCTGTCACTGCTGTCCAGGCTCTTGCGCCCAAACCTTGGACGACAGCGCCATGCGAAGTGCAGAGAGTCACGCAGCAATTTCACGCTTAGACAATCTTAGACATGTTTGTCCATGAATGTCCATGGAGTCCCTGCATGTCACTGCCTGAGAATCTATTTTTTTGTGAGTCAAGATCTTGTTGTTTGCTTGGCTTTAGGAAGTTTAGGGCCTCTAACAATAAACACATCAAACTCATCAAACATGACCAACTGGGCCAATAGGAAAGTCTTGTGTGATGACCTCAAATCCAAGCAACTTCATTCAAATCACTGACGTCTTTCAGCAACACTTCTGCGACCTCTGGGCATGGTCTGCATCTGGACTGGGCTATGAGTGGCAAACAACCACGGGTCCGAACTGATGCTGGGGTGTGGTGTGGTGTTGTTGCTTCCCCATTCCCAAAGGTCTGTACCTCCAAATCCTTGGGAATGGGGAAGCTATCCTCCCTAAAACTCAAACTCAACCGGAAGCCTCCTGATGCCCACCACGGGCTGCGTAGTGCAAGGCCATTCGTCCGAAACAGTCCAGTGTGTCACGGACTGTGAACTCGGAATGTTCCAGGAGAGCTGCGCAAACCTTGGCACCACCCCTGCGCAGTGCTGTAAGCCCTGAAGGCCAATGAAACCATGACAAAGCTCTAATTATAAAGGAACATACCGATTGTATCCATTGGCCGCAAAATACGGCAGATGCAGACCAAAAATGCCCGACAAGAAAAATGAAACGGCCGCTGCCTAAATGCCAAACTGGTGAGGTCCGACATTTCATGATCTTAGTTATATTAATTTATATTATGTTATATTCGAGGGTTTTTTGATGCATTTAATTATTGTGTTGGTATTGTGTTGTTGTTTCTTTTGTTGCCTTTAGAACCCAAGAAAAGTCCAGGCATCGCCCTGTGCCGAGCGTCTTCTTCATGCCCTGCAGCTGCAGCATGGTGCAGAGCTGTTTGGCCATCGCAATCCACCGCGCTTGCGGATGTAAAGAGCCCTTAACAGTTGGACCATTGGAAACATTGGAAAATGGAGGCTCGCACGGTCCAAACTCAAATAAGCAAATCCATAGCACTCCATCGCCAAGAACACTCTAGCTGCTGGTTTAAAAATACTGTAGTGGATGCTGGAGTAGCAAGAAACGATTTCAATCAAACATTTTTTTCCCGGTCGACAACTCAAACTTGATTTCGCTTTCAGCCTCAGGTGTGGCAGCAAAGTATCAACACATTTCAATTATGACGTTCAAATACGTTCACCTCTTCGGGCGTGCCCAGAAAGCGAACATGCAGATGGTTCCATCAGTGTCCGTGGATTCCGAGCGTCGATGGTTCAAGAGTAGTCTGCAAAGATCTGCATGTCCAGCCCGTGCTGCCATGTGCAAGGCCTTGGTTGCTTGAAATTCCATGCCCTGCGTACGCTGACCGTTCATGGCTTCCTGATCCATCAAATAAAACCACCACCATGGTGGGTTTTTATCCCTACTTGTTCATCCGGCCTCTCTATGTGTGCCAAGACAACAGAAACGATCAATACCACATACTCATATATACAATTAAAACCATCATTCAAGCATAAATGAGAGATGAACAGCCAGTACATTGCCTGTGATGAGGTAAATGCCACGTGTTTACCAACCAGACTATATTAGGTTACTCCCAACCTATCAACTTCTTATATGTTTGGGGCCTCAAAGAACTCAAAGTCACACGTTTCCCTCCACAGCGCCGGGAAACCGTTCTAAGATACCGATCTGGGCTGTTGATATAGCGCACAAAATTGGAATGATCCTGCGCCCAACACCAGTCGCTGCAAAAAATGACCCATGAATGTTTGGGCAAGATTTCTATATAATTGTATCTTGGACCCGTGAAAACATGCGAAAACTGTAAGTAAAAACAACTTGAAATTGATGCCAGCAAATCGGATGAATCATTCAGTGCTTCACTGGATGTTCATGCTCACAACCCAGTCACCTAAACTTACCCGCCATCAAGTACATTACAATTATGCACAACATCATGTAAGCGAGGATAAGAACCAATGAGCATGCAATGGCACATCTGCCAACCGCCAACCATTCAGAGCATCAAGAACCGTCTGAAGCTAATGCCTCAAAAATCGCCGAAACGCCCTCCTAAATGGATCCATGATGAAACCCTTACAACAATTCCTTAGGTTCCCCCCCAAAAAAAACATTAAGAAGGAAAATGTCCCTTAGGTCACATTAGGTTCCTTAGGTTTCATGTTTAGTTTTCGTTTTCAATCATCAAATGTCCCGGCAAGACCAGGTATCTCCAGGTGCATCCAAGCGTCCAGCAGCATCCTTGTCACTGCTTGAGATCCCCGAGATGCTGCACAGTGAAGCGCCGTGCGGCCCGTGGAGTCTTTCACATCCAGTTGCACCTGGAAACTGAGCTGCCTGGAACCACCGGGAATCACGAACGTACATGGTAAAACTAATTAAAACTAAACTATATTTATAAATTCTTACAACATTGTCATGTAATTATTAACCTTATTAAACTATATGTCAAACTTTAGCTAAATCAGTTGCTGCTTGTCAAACTGAGACATGCTTTTCCCAACATGCTCATTCCAGGTTTGGATGAGAAATATAAAACGTGTTCGACGCCACCAAGCAGTTTTTGTGCATGTCAGCAAGCGCTTACCTCACATCACAAAATCTCAGTCTGAAGGGTCAGCTGCTTGAGGGATACACCATGATACACCCCTGAGATCATTGGCATTGCACAACTTCCAAGGCATCCCCGCCCTATACCTTGGCTTCACTGTTGAGGGCATCGGCGCTGTTGATCAACATCAAGGCCTAGCTGGCAACACCATGCATGACAACATATGGCAGCCCATGGCGCATCAAATGATAAAATAATTATACAAAATGCAACATGATGCAACATGATGCAACATGATGCAACATGTACATAGGATTTGAATTCACATAAAATATGAGGCAGTGGCAACAGCAAGAGCAAACACCGCGGGAATCAGATTCATCCTTTTGGATCTTTATGGCATTAAAATATTAACATATTATAGTATCTGGATGAATCTAGTCCCCAAATAACACTGCGATGCTGGTCTCTCGCCTCAGCTTCTTCCCCAAATGCCACAGCATAGAGCAGCCCTTGCAGTTCCTCTGCGGGCCATGATGAGGTCCGTCACACAGTTGTCACATACACATTGTTGATCATGAGGGTGCTGGTGGTGGGTGCTGGTATTCAACGGAAATTTTCTTCCCTACTTGACCAGCCGCAAACGAAAAAAATGACGCAGTGCGAATTGCCATTTCTAAGACAATAGTATACCAGTAGTACCGCACAAGGCGGTGGCGGAAGTTTCAAAAATAGGGAACCTATAGGAGAGGTTGGTTGTTGTGAATCAGGGATGGCAGAGCGAAGTCACTGATGGACTGAAAGGTGCTTGATCTCTCTCACTCTTTCTATCTCTTTCTCTGACTATCTACCTACCTACCTACCTACCTACCTATCTATCTATCTATCTATCCATCTATCTATCTATCTATCTCTCTTTCATCTGTCTATCTGTCTAGCTGTCTACCTGTCTACCTGTCTATCTATCTATCTATCTGTCTGTCTGTCTGTCTATCTGTCTACCTGTCTATCTGTGGTGCAGTGTCATTCAGTGTATTGTAGTGTAGTGTAATGTAGTGTAATGTAGTGGAGTGTAGTGGAATGTAGTGTAGTGTAGTGTAATGTAGTGTAGTGTAGTGTAATTTCGTGTAGTGGAAGGTAGTGTAGTGTAGTGGAGTGTAGTGTAGTGTAGTGGAGTGTAGTGTAGTGTAATGTAGTGTAGTGTAATTTAGTGTAGTGGAGTGTAGTGGAGTGTAGTTGTGTTTTTGTAGTTGTAGTGTTGTGGAGCGTAGTGTAGTGTAATGTAGTGTAGTGTAATTTAGTGTAGTGTAGTGTAGTGGAGCGTCGTGTAGTGTAATGTAGCGTAGTGAAATTTAATGTAGTGGAGTGTAGTGGAGTGTAGTCTAGTTGTGTAGTTGTAGTTGTAGTGTTGTGGAGTGTAGTGTAGTGTAGTGTAATGTAGTGTAGTATAGTGGAGTGTGGTGTAATGCAACGTAGTGTAGTGTAGTGAAGCGAAGCGGCGAAGCGACATCTGAACCTCCAAAAGTGGTCCGAACCCCTAGTGTTTTGTACATTTTCACTTCGAAATGTGCTTCGCGCCACAACGGCATGCACTTTTTCGACATCTGAACCTCCAAAAGTTGCGCGAACATGTAGTGTTTTGGGCGTTTTCACTTCGAAATGTGCTTCGCGCCACAACGGCGTGCACTTTTTCGACATCTCAACTTCCAAAAGTGGTCCGAACCTGGTGTGTTTTGTACATTTTGACTTCGAAATGTGCTTCGCGCCACAACGGCGTGCACTTTTTCGACATCTCAACTTCCAAAAGTGGTCCGACGTTGTTGTGCTTTGTACATTTTGACTTCGAAATGTGCTTCGCGCCACAGCGGCGTGCACTTTTTCATCTCTCATCTGGCCAGCTGGCTCCGCACCCGCCGCTTTAGCGAGAAACTTTCGACCCTCCGGAGCCACAAATCATTGGAAAAGCACAGTGTTTCGCGACTTTCCTACCTTTTCGCGCATCTGCATCTTCTGTCTTCTTACTCTTTCTCTTCTACTCTTCTTCTAATCTTTCTCTTCTCTCTGCCTCTTCCCTGCTCTGCTTTTCATCTCTCCATATTGTCGGAAGTTTGACTTCTAAACTTCCTTCGATAATATTATATAGGTGCTTCATGTTGCTGCTATGTGTCCCTTGCAAATCATCCCCACGAGGATCATCAAATCAATCATGAAAGTGGAATCCAACCCAGTTTCGCGACCATACATCACCATGTCCAAGCAGCTAACTGGTTGGCGGCTGGAGCCGCCAATGGGCTCTTCAGAAATAATTCCTCTGCATCGTCGAACATCCCTCTTTCCTGTGACGCGCTGTGCGGAGCACCATCACAAGTCACAAGGCAAGATCCATGAAGATGTCACTGCTTGCCGTGTTTCAGTCTTGCATTTTTCGTCCAAGTTGAACCACTTAAAGATTCCGTCAACAGTCACATGGTCAGGGTCCATGCTACCGTTTCTCAACCACCCCTGGGCATCGAACCTCACTGGGAACATCATGGCAGTCACGGCGCTCGACCAAAGGTGGGGGCAAACGGTATTCCAGCCTGCTGATGCGATGGTTAATCTGAGGATATATGATGATGATGACGACGGCGATGATGATGACGACGGCGATGATGATGACGACGGCGATGATGATGATGATGATGATAATGATGATGATGATGATGATGACGGCGATGATGATGACGACGGCGATGATGATGACGACGGCGATGATGATGATGATGATGATGATGATGATGGATGATGATGATGATGATGATGATGAAACTATTATGCATCCGAAAAGCTCGGAAACACACTCCACAAACTACATGCGGTGATAGAAACAAATATATCCTGCACTGCGATGGGAAACTATACCAGCATCGACGTGCATCCCCTGCGTGCCTTTGGACTAGGGTCATCAACTTTGTGACCGCGTCTTTTAATCCATCAACATCCTGAATGGCGGCGTACGCCACATACACACTACTCCGAAAAACCATGGTATGATATGTCATGATACCCACTAGTACGTGTTCAGGTGCTGCATGCAAGGAAAACTGAGAAGATCAGCATATATACAATGAGCAGCATCTTTGCAAGGCACTAAGGGGCCTGTTTTCGTATCATATACTTTCGGAAGCAACAAGGATCAACAAGGAAATAGGACAATAAATTGAGACTGGTCAGTAGAGTCAAGGCATGTCAAGGCCTCTATATAAATCTTCAAATGGCATCAAAACGCATTAAATGCAAACAGAAATCTTCGTCTTTTGACTGGCGCCACCCTGGTTGCACGCATCCTCAAACGTCGATGCAGCGCGCCAAAACGCCACCCAACATCCAAATGTTTCAGCCGCAGAAACCAACCACTGAACTGAGTTTGCACACTATACAAGACGAAATCGCAAAGTAATTTGCACCATTTTGTAGCGATATTGACGCAAACTTTATGTGGAAATCCAGCTAAAAGCACAACAACCCCAACACTCTTAGTTCTTTAATGTTTTCACTTGCCGCATCATAATCCGTGCCGCATCCTAATCCGTGAGGATTAGGGACCTGATGGCTCATTGCCATTCAGAGCCAGGATAAAACATGAAAACACACTGCTTGCAATGTGGTTCCTCCTCCGACGATGTGATTTTTCATGGGTGCCACTTCACGCTCCAAATCCGCTACTCGTGTGAGCAACCTGCTTGGCGCAAAAACATGCAAACACATGATAGCCACATTGTCATGGCGTCAATATGTGACAATCCAAGGTTGATGAGGATTGTGGCTGCAATGAAGCCCTGCGACAGGTCAAAGGGAGAAATAGTCCAAACATGTTTCGAGTCATTTCCAATTGTGATCGCGTCTGAGCATGGAACCCAACCACCAAACGCTGAAGGGATTCCACCTGCCGAAATTTGCAAGGCACATCATTGCACCTGTTGAATTTGAGCAAAACATCACCAAACAAACTGCCTGAAAACATTAATATGTTATCATCTGCCATAGTTTGCACATCCGATACTCGCTTTACAAAGAACCGGGCAGATCCGGGCGGCATGTCTTACACATCAAGTCGAGAGTTGGTGTCTAAGCATGAAAACCGCGGCCTGAGTGCACAACCATATGAGGGGCGTGCCCACACCCGAGGCCAATGGAGTCAGGTTGGTCATGGCGATGGCCATCGGGAATACCAACGTTCACAACTGAGATGCAGTCTAATAGCCATCGTGAAAGGATTTAAAAAAACACAACCCATGTACTATTATTAAATAAAGTCCGCAATAGGAATTCTTCTTGCTTTGCGATTTTTTTGCGAACATGCCAATGCTTGGTGCTCAATGCAACTTGGCACAATGAAACTGTTGGGATATTTCTGGCGCAGCGCGATAGCTTTGGCATGCATGGATGTTCATGGCATGTTTCAATCTTTCTGCCGTCCTTGCCATATTGTCAGCTCCACACGGCCAAAATGCATCGCCCAATGGCCCCTTCCGGTTGTGATGGAAACTGTGGCAGAACACAAAACCATGGCATGATGAAAAACTGTTGCCATGGCATGATAATCGAATAGAGCAAGCAAAGGACGCTGAACATGGGTGCCCAAGATTTCATCTTGGGGCGGGTGCAGCGCATGGCAATTAGGCACATAAAATTGCGGCCTGCTACGGTGTGTAGTTCTAAAATGTTCTAAACTATTTTGAACTGAACTTCATTGGGGATTGGTGACCTGTAGCTGGCCTTCTGATCTGGAACATCGCAGAAATTGTTGGTGTCTGCGCTGGCACATGCACCAACGTCTCTCCGACATGTGCTCTTACATGTAGCATTGTCGCGGCTCAAGGGACTTTGGGCAGGAAAAGGAAGGAGAAGGGAATGCAGTACTACGGCACTAAGAAGTCGGGGATAGGGAAGGAAAGTACCAACCACCTCTGACGGGAGGTTCTCGCTTCATTATAGCGGCCTATGCTTTTCCAGTGACGAGTGGGCCTTTATGTATAATATAAATCGAAACCGGCTCGGTGTTAAGTCGCTGATTCCCTTTGAAAGATTTTCAGATCCCATTTCAGCAATGCGTCTTCATAAGATTTCACAAGTTCGTCTTCTGCATCACTGCATTGCCTACTCCTAAACCATTGGGTCCAATATTCTCAACATGACAAACAGCCTTGTCTGCGGTTGGTGGTTGTGACTGGCTCAAGTGATCCAATTTCCCAATTTCTTTAAATCATGAAACAATGAGGCTGATGGCTAGGATCCACTAGTATCCTGCATTTCTACGACTGCGGGATATCCTATGTGTTGCAAATGACTCATGGATGCTTAAATTACTGTGACCAGCAAAGCATGTGGGAAGCTCATCAGACTTGGATAGGTCAAAATTGTGAGTTGATGGCAAACTTTTCCTTTTTCCCGATGCTTGTTCGCATTCTTGCAGTGTGAAACTTAAGCTTTCCTAGCAATCTGTATGAAAAAGAAGGTGATTGGACCGATGTACTGGAAGATTCTGATGAAAGCCAAGCCGAGCTGGTCTGCTATAGCCCGCTCCTTCCCAAGTTTTGAATAGATATAGTTCACAAAATCCTCGCTTTGCACATATTCTTGGACTGCAGGATGATGGAACACTTCGTTGAAATTCACCTGGCCTTCTTCTGGATCAGGGACAAACCAAGTCATGTCATCCCAATTGCGGTCTGGAAGTCGAGCTTCTTTGTGCCTCCGGGTGCCAGAAGCTTCCTCCGACTTCTCGTGCTTCATCTTTTGGTTGTAGATCCTGACTGCCTTTTTCATGAGCAAATTGCGGATTGTGGCGCTCACCTGGAACGAGGCAAACCCCCGCACTCACAGTGGCTGAAGAAAAGAAACGTTTACCGTAAGGGTCATGATTAAGAATTGCGTACATTGATATTCTGGTGACGAATTCCCCTGCATGCCCCCCTCGCCATGTTGGTTTGACACCATGGTGTTTAAATCCGCTCTCTCCAAATTAACATTAAATACCTCCAATAAGGAAGCCCAAAATGAATAGATCCAACAATACTAAATCAATCTAAATCACAGTTTTCTTTGGGGTGCATTTCAAAATAAAGGAATTACCAGCCGCCAGCCTAATCTGGCGGTTTCATGTGGCTTCTGCTTTCCCACGCCTCATGGGCTTCGGTTCTCTCCTCTTTCTCGTGCTTCTCTGAAGCTGCAGAGCCCATCACCAAAGTCCAGTAGATCCCCAGGACGTCTTCGTCCCATTGAGCTGGCCCGATGACCTCAAGAGGGATGTGCACAGCAAGGGTATTTTCCCAGCCATTTGTGGATGGTAAATAGATGTAAATAGCCACAAAATCCACAAAGAAGCTGGGACGTGAAACTTGGTGTTTGACATTCAAAATGGAACATAATGGAACCACGAGAAATGGGCAAAAGGAGAAGTGCTCTGAATTGGCCACAACACACCCATGTCGCCGGCCACATTGTCCAGCTTGATGATGAAGGCCAAACCCATAGAATCATAGACAACATCCTCACAAATGGCACACACATAGTTACATCAAAAAGAAGCAATCTTCAATGGGGCTTCTCGAAGGTTTGCCCCAACAGCTGGGCCAGCACGTTCGCTCGGGGCAATGGCTGCGAAAGTGGTACGAGTAATTATTGGGCTAAATCCTGCACGTGGCCCAAAGATTCAATCAAGAGTTGCATGAGGTATGTGAGACAATGTCTGCGACTACAGTGTTTGCGCGCGCTCACAATCGCCAATAGTCACCGAGTTAATGAAATCAACGCAAAAAAAAAACTCAACACAACTCAACTGTATACTCTCTCTCTCTCTCCCTCTCCATCTCCCTCCATCTCCCTCCATCGCCATCTCCAAGGCCTATGTTTGTAGTGTTTACATGTCTTACCAACCAAACCCGACACTCAAGTCATCGAAAGGCAAGGATGCTTCAATGACTAAAATATATTAACATATCAATATTATATATATTGATATATATTGTCTTATAGTTAAAGTACTAGTAGTACATTCTTGCCAGGCAACCTTAGGCTCACTTGATACGTGGAATACCAACCACATCGCGATGAGGCAGAAAAAGCTGACGCTGAAGTTCCTGAGATCAGACATGAAACCAACCTGACCTGTCTATATCATCGCCATGTGCTCGTTTGAAAACATGACCATCATGACCTAGTACGGTCGAAACAACAAGCTACAGTCTGTGCTACTTACACCGAGAAGCTGCACAACCCAGCTTGAGCATGAACATTTGACCATATTCACGGAAACAGTTTCCCCATGTCATCTGATGTTCTGGTAGGCCCAAACGATGGGGTCTATTTTTGGTACAAAGCCGCATGGCAGCTACTTGTGGCTCGTTGTTGCTAGATGTTGCTGGAATATCCCGAGCATGAACCTCAAGAGTCTCAAGAGTAGGACATCTATAATTTAAACATGGACCAAACAGGTCAACCCTCTGAGTCAATCTCAACCTTTGTGGCTGACATCTTACAATATCTTACATCGCCTTCCGGGCTCCGGCTCCACCAGTCGTTTGTTTCACGTACGGCGATCCTTCAGGCGATCCAAGGCGCATGATTCTTCCAACGGTCATCCAGTGATGAGCTCGTCCCATCAGCTGACCGAGCCTCACATCCTTCATGATCAGCAGCCGCATCTTGCGATCAGCATGGATCTCCTAAAGGAAACCCCAAAGTGAACGGCAAATCATGGCAGGCAAATGAAAATATCATGAAAACCCATAATGATTTTGAACATATATAGTTGTGCTGCAAAACATGTTGCATCATGTTACCATTGTTTTCATATTTCCGTGATATATTTCTATATATTTCTCGTGATCCCCTGGGGATATCTGAGCATTCTGAGTACTGGAGGGTATCGGTATGAGTAAGAAACATTAAGAAACATCCGGGTCTTCACACCTATTAAACCATATTAATCCATATTATATCATTATTATAATAACCATATATCTAAACTTACACCAAATCAAACCACAGCCATCCGTTCTGCCACGTTCTGGCCCTCTCCTCACCAAGGTGGACTCGTAAGAAGCCGGCAAAGCCGAAGAGGAAAAGCGCTGCAAGGCACCGACCAAGCCTGGCGCCACGGTTTGGTGTCCATGTCCCATGTCCACAAAAAATCCACCAACATCCTGAAAAGTGACGGCATGTAATTAGACATGTTTATACAGCTGATATATTTTTATCGCCAAGAATAGGGCAATCAACAGAACCACACAGAACCGATATGAACCGATCATCAAGGTCTCGCTTGGTTTTGGCCCGCAGCTCATCTCATGCCAAGTTGCCAAAACTCAATGCCAGACTCATGGCCCAGCCCAAAGTGCGTGCTCTGCCAATCCAGCCTGGCCGTGCCATCCAGCGCCAAATTTGAGTCTGATTGGGAAATATGTTAGTTTCTCACATTCATTGATGGGAAAAACTCGGAAAAACGAAGCCGTTTGAGAATTATACCATATCAGACATGTGCAATGGATAATTTTAGTAATTTAATGGAATATAATGGAAAGCAATAGGAAGCCAGATGGAAGCCAGCTGTTCCATGCTGCTCCCAAAGATACCCCAAGTCCGCCGGTCGCCTCTTTACATGCGAATAGCAAATCGAAACTGGTGCGATGAGCTGGATCATCATGACAGTCAGGATGCTTCCTGCCGAACATCACACTGCATTGATTGAAACCCAGGGTCCCCAAGTTGTCGTATGGGGATACCAGTAGGAAGGTATGAAAACGTGGTTCTACAAATAGCAGTCTTTTTTCACCCCGAGCCCGCAATTGCGTGCGCGGCACAATCCGCTTGAGCGCCGGCCTGAACCCTGGGTCTATTCAGCCAAAAGATGCGAAGTGGAAACCACATCAAAATCAAATAAAATAAGACAAACAAAAAACACCGCCGTCAAACTTCATTGTCTTCACTCAGCTCAAATCAAAACAGGGAGGACCGTGAAGTCCAATCAAATAAAAACCCACCCAAGAACAATCGAAAAACCAACAAACAAAAAGAAAAACCAGAACACTTCAAAAGATCCACCTTCTGGCACCTTAGTTGGCAGGAGGACAAGACATGGAAAAAGTATGGCATCGCAACACTCCGTCCAGAAGACATGAAACAACTCTTCCAAAAACTCAAAAACAAATCAAGTGGAATCACATCCAAGGGAAACCCTCAGCAAGTGCAAATTCAAATTTGCTCCTGCTTCACTGCTCCCATCACGTAACCAGCACAAAAAATGGGACAAGAAAAATAACACCAATGCAGCTTATGACTGGAGGTGCAAACTGCCACGGACCCTAGGAGACTGCAACACAGCCTCAACCGCATGGGAAAACTGCTGGCCAAACTTGAGCGCCACTAGTGAGACCGCACTCACGCTCACTAAGCTCAGTTGGGACACGAGATGGGCGCCAGTAAAAGCATCCATCAAAGCAGTGAAATCCCGCTCTGTGACAGCCAAAATGTACCAAGCATTCCACCAACGCCAGAAACTGCATGCCGCTGGGGGCCACATGCTGCCGCATTCCCATGGCGTGTGCGAAGGACACACGCACCAGCACAGCAGGAAACCCAAAGCCACTCCCAGCGTCAAGGCCAGCCATTGCATCCGGCACCTTCAGCAAGGCAAGGCATCCCTTGCCAGCTGCAGCACTTTTTGGATCTTTCCTACTTGGAATCTCAGGCTCTGGAATCCTGGTAGACAAAAACTGCTTCAAGACGGGCAAAGTTTTTCCATTAAGCTGATCTTCGATATCAAGCCATGTATGCACCTTTCCCACATCCACCAGTGGCGTCACCTCTCCATCTGACATGAAAGACAGCAAGGTCTTGAGATGAGACTGGGCCTTTGGCGTGAGTTGCTCACAGGCACGTGTCGCAGGTAGCTTAGCTGGAGTAACAGGCTCAGAACTTGGCTTCAAAGTTTTTTTGAGCTTCTGGATTTCTGCCATGAGCCTATCCTCACTGGCTTGGGCACGCTCAGCAGCTTTCTTTGCCTGTTTCCTGGCCCAAAGCATGTGGGAAGCTCATCAGACTTGGATAGGTCAAAATTGTGAGTTGATGGCAAACTTTTCCTTTTTCCCGATGCTTGTTCGCATTCTTGCAGTGTGAAACTTAAGCTTTCCTAGCAATCTGTATGAAAAAGAAGGTGATTGGACCGATGTACTGGAAGATTCTGATGAAAGCCAAGCCGAGCTGGTCTGCTATAGCCCGCTCCTTCCCAAGTTTTGAATAGATATAGTTCACAAAATCCTCGCTTTGCACATATTCTTGGACTGCAGGATGATGGAACACTTCGTTGAAATTCACCTGGCCTTCTTCTGGATCAGGGACAAACCAAGTCATGTCATCCCAATTGCGGTCTGGAAGTCGAGCTTCTTTGTGCCTCCGGGTGCCAGAAGCTTCCTCCGACTTCTCGTGCTTCATCTTTTGGTTGTAGATCCTGACTGCCTTTTTCATGAGCAAATTGCGGATTGTGGCGCTCACCTGGAACGAGGCAAACCCCCGCACTCACAGTGGCTGAAGAAAAGAAACGTTTACCGTAAGGGTCATGATTAAGAATTGCGTACATTGATATTCTGGTGACGAATTCCCCTGCATGCCCCCCTGGCCATGTTGGTTTGACACCATGGTGTTTAAATCCGCTCTCTCCAAATTAACATTAAATACCTCCAATAAGGAAGCCCAAAATGAATAGATCCAACAATACTAAATCAATCTAAATCACAGTTTTCTTTGGGGTGCATTTCAAAATAAAGGAATTACCAGCCGCCAGCCTAATCTGGCGGTTTCATGTGGCTTCTGCTTTCCCACGCCTCATGGGCTTCGGTTCTCTCCTCTTTCTCGTGCTTCTCTGAAGCTGCAGAGCCCATCACCAAAGTCCAGTAGATCCCCAGGACGTCTTCGTCCCATTGAGCTGGCCCGATGACCTCAAGAGGGATGTGCACAGCAAGGGTATTTTCCCAGCCATTTGTGGATGGTAAATAGATGTAAATAGCCACAAAATCCACAAAGAAGCTGGGACGTGAAACTTGGTGTTTGACATTCAAAATGGAACATAATGGAACCACGAGAAATGGGCAAAAGGAGAAGTGCTCTGAATTGGCCACAACACACCCATGTCGCCGGCCACATTGTCCAGCTTGATGATGAAGGCCAAACCCATAGAATCATAGACAACATCCTCACAAATGGCACACACATAGTTACATCAAAAAGAAGCAATCTTCAATGGGGCTTCTCGAAGGTTTGCCCCAACAGCTGGGCCAGCACGTTCGCTCGGGGCAATGGCTGCGAAAGTGGTACGAGTAATTATTGGGCTAAATCCTGCACGTGGCCCAAAGATTCAATCAAGAGTTGCATGAGGTATGTGAGACAATGTCTGCGACTACAGTGTTTGCGCGCGCTCACAATCGCCAATAGTCACCGAGTTAATGAAATCAACGCAAAAAAAAAACTCAACACAACTCAACTGTATACTCTCTCTCTCTCTCCCTCTCCATCTCCCTCCATCTCCCTCCATCGCCATCTCCAAGGCCTATGTTTGTAGTGTTTACATGTCTTACCAACCAAACCCGACACTCAAGTCATCGAAAGGCAAGGATGCTTCAATGACTAAAATATATTAACATATCAATATTATATATATTGATATATATTGTCTTATAGTTAAAGTACTAGTAGTACATTCTTGCCAGGCAACCTTAGGCTCACTTGATACGTGGAATACCAACCACATCGCGATGAGGCAGAAAAAGCTGACGCTGAAGTTCCTGAGATCAGACATGAAACCAACCTGACCTGTCTATATCATCGCCATGTGCTCGTTTGAAAACATGACCATCATGACCTAGTACGGTCGAAACAACAAGCTACAGTCTGTGCTACTTACACCGAGAAGCTGCACAACCCAGCTTGAGCATGAACATTTGACCATATTCACGGAAACAGTTTCCCCATGTCATCTGATGTTCTGGTAGGCCCAAACGATGGGGTCTATTTTTGGTACAAAGCCGCATGGCAGCTACTTGTGGCTCGTTGTTGCTAGATGTTGCTGGAATATCCCGAGCATGAACCTCAAGAGTCTCAAGAGTAGGACATCTATAATTTAAACATGGACCAAACAGGTCAACCCTCTGAGTCAATCTCAACCTTTGTGGCTGACATCTTACAATATCTTACATCGCCTTCCGGGCTCCGGCTCCACCAGTCGTTTGTTTCACGTACGGCGATCCTTCAGGCGATCCAAGGCGCATGATTCTTCCAACGGTCATCCAGTGATGAGCTCGTCCCATCAGCTGACCGAGCCTCACATCCTTCATGATCAGCAGCCGCATCTTGCGATCAGCATGGATCTCCTAAAGGAAACCCCAAAGTGAACGGCAAATCATGGCAGGCAAATGAAAATATCATGAAAACCCATAATGATTTTGAACATATATAGTTGTGCTGCAAAACATGTTGCATCATGTTACCATTGTGTTCATATTTCCGTGATATATTTCTATATATTTCTCGTGATCCCCTGGGGATATCTGAGCATTCTGAGTACTGGAGGGTATCGGTATGAGTAAGAAACATTAAGAAACATCCGGGTCTTCACACCTATTAAACCATATTAATCCATATTATATCATTATTATAATAACCATATATCTAAACTTACACCAAATCAAACCACAGCCATCCGTTCTGCCACGTTCTGGCCCTCTCCTCACCAAGGTGGACTCGTAAGAAGCCGGCAAAGCCGAAGAGGAAAAGCGCTGCAAGGCACCGACCAAGCCTGGCGCCACGGTTTGGTGTCCATGTCCCATGTCCACAAAAAATCCACCAACATCCTGAAAAGTGACGGCATGTAATTAGACATGTTTATACAGCTGATATATTTTTATCGCCAAGAATAGGGCAATCAACAGAACCATACAGAACCGATATGAACCGATCATCAAGGTCTCGCTTGGTTTTGGCCCGCAGCTCATCTCATGCCAAGTTGCCAAAACTCAATGCCAGACTCATGGCCCAGCCCAAAGTGCGTGCTCTGCCAATCCAGCCTGGCCGTGCCATCCAGCGCCAAATTTGAGTCTGATTGGGAAATATGTTAGTTTCTCACATTCATTGATGGGAAAAACTCGGAAAAACGAAGCCGTTTGAGAATTATACCATATCAGACATGTGCAATGGATAATTTTAGTAATTTAATGGAATATAATGGAAAGCAATAGGAAGCCAGATGGAAGCCAGCTGTTCCATGCTGCTCCCAAAGATACCCCAAGTCCGCCGGTCGCCTCTTTACATGCGAATAGCAAATCGAAACTGGTGCGATGAGCTGGATCATCATGACAGTCAGGATGCTTCCTGCCGAACATCACACTGCATTGATTGAAACCCAGGGTCCCCAAGTTGTCGTATGGGGATACCAGTAGGAAGGTATGAAAACGTGGTTCTACAAAGCATTAAGTGCAAATCTTTCAAAGGATCTCCTTGTTGTAGAATTTCATAATGCTCAACTTTGGCCTGAATAAGTCAACCCTTAAAAAATTGAGCAGGGTTGGCGTCTTTGCTGGATGGCTTCGGTGTGTCATAAAAATCGCAGTTGCAGTGCAGTTGGGATCACCGCCCCTATGTCGTACCCCCCTGAGGATCTATGTCCTTTTTCTCTTTGGCCTATTGCCCTTAATGCCCTTAACAAAATTCTCAACATCCCTTAACCAACTCTTTCTGATACCAAGTCTCTCCTGAGCATTCCACCCAACTGTCATTTTTGCATATTTTTTCATGACACCTCCGCTGAATCCTCACCCAACCGTCTTGCTGGCCTGGTGTTAATCTCCACCAAGAGCTGGAGAGGCATTTTCCACAATGGCAGCAACCGCAGCAATTGCTGCAGCTGCAGCAGCTGCAACGGCTGCAACATCCAGAGCTCACATCGGAAGTGGGATTCGTGGGATCAGGACCTGGATCTTGGCCCATTGCAACATTCACCAATGCTGCCATATACCTATAAATGTTCCCAGTAAGTGGCTGCGGCTGAGCCATTTGTTCCAGCAACTGCCGCTGTTTTCTGGAGCGAAACCAGTTAGACTTCTTGACAAAGTTTTCAGTGACAGATAGCGCCGATGTCTTTGACATGGGCACTTTCAGCCAATGCGATTTCGGTTCATCGTCATCCTCGTTGTTCATCAAGGGATCTCGGTCCTCTCGGTCCACTTCAGACACTACAGCATGCACTGCATGGTAGGCCATGGCTCCGGCACCAGGTCCAGATGGTCCAGCTTCGGTCGCTAGACTACGAGACATAGAATCCTTATGAATCCTTGAGGCTTTGCTCTTCGACGCGATTCATGGTACCGCAATCAGCTGTCAATAAGAACCTCCATGAATTTCACTGTGGTGCAGCGGTTGCATGCTATATCATGCTATTGAGTCTAGTATGTCTAGTCACTTGCATCATTTGATTTCATTTGTATCACTGGTTGTTTCTGAAAAAAGTGGGTCAGTTGCAAGTTCTGTCAACCCTGGATCGATGAGCCCCAGCTGACTATTGGGGTCCCACCTCCAAGAAGTGATCTCATCTCTTGGTTAGATAACATCATATCAGTGGTTAGCCGAAGCCTCATCCTGGTTGGGTTTCACCAAATTTTGGCTGGTTGGTCAGTAACTCCAATTCCCCTCCGGTCATCCAACATAGCGAAATTGGTTGAAATTCCCCATGGACGTTTAAATGTTTGATGTTTAATTAATGGGATTGCCAAAGAGAATAGCCCTAAAATTCCTAAAATCATCCCGTTTATTGATTCCAGGTTCACGGTTAACGCCATGCATTTTCTGCGATCGCGATCTCCGTGCCATGGCTTTGCCATGGGTTCTGCGAAAAGACATGCAGTTCTCAGAGCAAACACAGCAGCTTTACACGCACGAACCAAAAGATTTTACATTATTTTACAGTGACATTTTGATTAATTACCCCAAAAGCCCGCGCACAGACACATACACACACACCTTTTCTTGATTGCTATTGTAGTTTATTGATGTTTATTGTGCATTGATGTCGATCACTTTGGTTTTTGCATGTTTTTGCTGAGTCCAGAGTCATGGGACTCAACTGTGCCGCTTGCTTAGTGTGGCCGCGTCGCAAGCTGGTACTGGCAACAAGGGGTGACACATATTTTGGCTCTAACCTTCTAACCTAGCATGGCACTTTTGCGGAGAAATCGCAAGCAACTGGTCATCATGGATCATTAAGGGTCGTAAAGCACCTTTTTGGAAGGCCTCAAAGGCCCTCCAGCCCCAACTCTTAAGGTTGAAACATCATTTTTTCCGTGTCAAAACTGACCAAAAAAAGGCCTCGCCAAACGAGGAGCACCCAAGTCTCACAACTCTTACCTACCACCTTTGGGCCTGTTTTGAAGCTGAGCGCATGACTTTACCATTCGTTGCAATGGCAACCATTATTTTGAACGTGTTTGGGCAAGTGGTCCCTTGGATATATATATATAATATATATATATCTTGGCTAGCTCAACCGGTCAAGTGGCAGCAGCATGCAAACTTGCATCATTTGCATTTCCCCGCAAACAGCAAGCGGTGCCATGGCAACAACTCGCTGAATCAACAGTCACGCAGCCTGTCTCAGACATCAACTCCGCGTCTGTCTACCTAAGATACACAGTCCATCACTGGATTGGTTTTAGGATGTTTTAGGAACATTTGCACTAAATCATTGTTTGTACTGCACAAATATCAGGGTTTCCTGATTCCTGTAGATTTTCCCTTAAACATCCTTAAACCAATTTGTTTGGAGCCCAGGCATCAATGACTCAATGCTTTTGAATCGCTGCGGGCGTACAAGTTTAGCAGTTGACGTTTTCCTCTGCCTGTCTCCCATTATTTAAAACATAGACACTCCTGGAAACTCAAGCGAGATGCACTCCAACTATATAATCTGGTTTGTGGTTTTGGCTCTCAAAAATATTCCTGTGAGAACAATAACCGCCAACCAACCCAACCAACAGCTTTTCATTTTATGATGGAAAGTTGGTTTGAGCATGCCCTTCTAAATCTTCTAGTGCTTCCAGGTGGCACTTCGTCGAAGTTCCGCACAGGAGAGGACCGCGACTTGATTTCAAGCTGGCCAATCTGCTGGGCCAACATTGCTGGAATACCATGGCCTTCAAAGATTGCAGGCATGATTTGACCAATTCAAATGAGCCGTGTTTTTTTGGTTGCTGGGGGGCTTCGCTAATGGCTACGCAAGGCATGGATTTGTGCAAAGGTTGGCTTCGCACAGGTTCGCAGAACACTTTTGCCTTCGCGAACTGGTCTCGTGGGGGCTCTTGTCTAGCCGGAGAAAGATACCATGTCTCAGCAGGTGGAAGAAAGGAAGGTGAGGTTTTGAGCCTCAGATGCGGAAGCGAGAGGGTGGCAGGAAATTGGTCCACGGAGGCTTCGCGTGGGCTTCGCAGGGCTTCGCGAAACAGGGCCTGGAATTCTAGGAAGGCATGCGTCTGGTGAGACCTTTGAAGACCGACCTTTGAGGCGACCTTTGAGCGGCGTTTAAGAAAACGCAAGAACGCCAGTGCCAGAAACAGAGCCATAACTAACCATCATTTATTTAATATGATCTATAGCTCTATTGTTTATATTTGCTTTCGCGAAATGCCTTCGCGTGTGTCAAATCTAGAAGCTTACGCCGAGAGGCTTCGCAAGCAATCGCGGATTGACATGTATGACACAAATGCCTTCGCGGATCTTCGCGGTCATATTGTTGACTTCCCTCGTCATACACAATCCATCATTAAAAAAAACGCAGCTCAAATCCGGCGTTTTGCATTGCAGGCCAACAATTGGGAACGTCATAACTTCGGGATTTCATATTCTTTTATTCCTGCTAACCATGGAAAACTGAGCATGTTAATGAGGCCTGATGGATCTGGCGGGTGCTCCTTAGACTGTGTCTTAAGGGGGCCATCTAGCACAGCGAATGCAGAATTGGCAATTTGCCAGCAGTCATTCATGATATTCGTGTTAAATAAAAGGCTTTGTCTTTGGACAGTTTTTTTTGTTCATGCACGTATTCATGGCAATGGTTCAATTAAAGAGCTCCCAATAATCCACCCCCCGCCGCCATCCCAAGCTCCACGGGCAGCCTGATAAGAATTTACACAGATCCATCAAAACCGTATGGAGCTGAGAAAACTCGTCTGCAGTAAACTTCCACAGATTCACAATGTCCTGCCGTAGAAACAACTTCAGTGAAACAACATCAAGCAATGGAAGTTTCACACTCACACAAAAACATCAAAAACCCCACCCCTAAACAAAGCGACAAATCAGCTGAACATGTAGTCCAATGGATCATATCTGTGGTTTCCTTTTTGTTTGGATGCAACATTGAGAACCCTGTTCTGCAATGGGGTAATTCATATCACAGGCGTGTGGCCTAAATGTAATTACTTCATATCGTTGCTCAAGAATCCACTTAAACCAATCAACATGATTGTCTGACATGTCGCACATGCTGGCAGGATTAATTTGTATCAAACTCACTGGCTTTATCTGGCTTTGGCATCCACGAAGGTTGCCTCAGGCAGTGGAACCGGCCCGAACGACCCCTACACCCGAAACTCTGACCATCTCAGAGAAATATGTTTCAAGACCATGTGCAAAGTAAACTCAAGAATCTTAATTTAATGAATTTCCAGTGAAAACCGTAATTATCTTCTTAAGTTCTCATGAAAACCGGTACTGTATTATTCCAAGCACCGCGGGTTGATGGTTGCAGCACCTTGCGTGCCCCATCCGATCCTTGACGGTGGTCTGATTGGAGCCCCGCAAAGTTAGGATGGCGTCCATGAACTCTGGGAAGGTTAGAGGTTCTCCATCTTCAAACAATAACTTTCCTCAGCTTCACAGGGTTTTGAAGAATTCCTGAAACACGCGTGATTTTATGTCGATTTCGTAGATGGCTGGCCACAATCGCCGTAAATCTCTAATTATTGCGAATTGTTGTTTATATATATATATAGGAAACGGTTGCTGACCAAACAGTTTTGACATGTTTTGAATAGATTGATGGATTGAACTTGAGTCAGAATCTATGTGGATGATTCTGGCATATCATGACCATCGGTGGATTCAGACTTTGACACTTTGGCCGGCGACTGTGGGTCCAACTGGATTGTCGATACTTCACGAGAAAAATGCTGATATGCTATACAGGCTATACATACTGCCACTGGTAGTCTGGCATCTCGCTATTTGTGCCAGAGCTGTCCTCATAGCCATGCTGAGCTTGTCTTGGAACAAACCCATGGAGACGTCTAGGGATGCGTGCCGTTTTATTTTTGCATACTCGTGCCTCCCAAGTATACCAACCAAAAAGGCACAACTGAAAAAAAACATGGAAAAACGCAATGTTCACGTCGTTTGGCATTTTCGAGGTTTAATGTTACAGAATACCTTTTAAGAACGTTTTGCATATGGGCAATTTTTGTCACGTGTTCGGAGCTGAGCTTCTGAGATGAAGAATTGACCGGGAGTCAACCCTTATGGGGGGCAAATTGCAGTATTTTTACCTGGATTTTAGAAGATTTTCAATGACTAATTTTTTTTTGGATTTGTGATGATTTGTGGTTAGATATGGTGCCGGATTTTCTGGGAAATGTTCCCGACACTTCCAGTAAGATTCAGAAAGCTTGGATGTGTTGATATATTATGCCTATGTTGGTGTTCGTCTTGGGAAAAAACTCTAGGAATTGCAGGAACTGCTTAAACTCAAGGAACTGTTTAGACCTTCTTAAATATGCACGTCCTTCGCAGTCACTGTCCGTTTGCCCTGATAGAGCTTCAGGATGTAAAGAAAAGACAGCAACAATCCTTTGATCTTTTTGCGGACATGTTCCTTGTTGGATGTGCTTGTTACCTTTCTTGCTGGCAAAATCATTTGAACCGATTGATTTATACCTTTATATTTTGTATTTTTTTGTCTTGCGACATTGGGGTTACAGGCCTGTAATATAATTTGCTTGTCCATCATTTTTCTCCAACGAATCCCAAAGATTGCCAAGCCAAAATTTCCAAATACCACACCACATCCAGTTTCGGCCGAGCTGCCAGTTTCCATCACCGCAAAGGCGTCAACGCCCAAGCGGTTCAAAGCCTTGGATGCCTCAGGTCGTTCCAAGAGCCTCGCGTGGTTCGGAGCGGGGGATGTTTTTGTTCTTTCTATTTCTTTCTTGGCCCATTGTAGGCACTACTACCGGCAGGACTTCTATGCATTTGAATATCTAGATTTAGAACATATTAGAACACTTGAAATTGCAAGGGACTAGAGTACCCTTTATTATCATGGCACGGGGTTAAAGCATGTTAAAGCTGCAGATTCAACCCCAACGGCGCCGTTTTGCCTCACGAACTCCTCCTCAGAGATGCGGTTGTCGCCATCCTCATCGGCACCTTGCTCCCTGATTAAGTCCCACAGGACCTGAGCCCAACGATCATCCTGTCATCGTATAGGGATACATAGTGTATCCTACAACAGTAATGTATGTGTCATAATTATGGTATAATAGTTGTAATATGTCAATGTGTATAAGGAGAGATCGGTTCATCATCGCACTATAAAATGAATAAGCGAACAATCAAATATGTGCGCATCTATGTATCTAGCTGAATTACAATAAATTCACAAACCTGAAGCTAGCTGAAATAAGGCTATTTGAGGATGATTCCCCTCCCTAACCGTCATTCCAGCGATGTCACGGTGACGGTGAGGTTATAATTCCTCCAGATGTAAATAGTTGGGTGTGTTTGTATACGTCCCACACACAAAAAGAAAACAAGGAAGCCCCTAGTTCCCCTTCTGCAGCCGCATAAATTCTGTCAAAATATGATTGACAAGCGCCTAAGCCTCTGCTTACTCCACAATGACAATTGGCTGGCTGTCTGCAGAACAAAAATTGGTCCCTGAAATGATCCATAGCCTATACCAGTAAATTTATGTAAATTTATTGGTTTTTTTCCCCAGTAGAAGTGGGGATTTCCATTGGCTACACCTCTAATACAACCTCTAAGAATAGAATGAAACTAATCCCTCCAATATTAAATACGACCTTGAAACCCGCTTTAGCATTGGATATCTTCTCTTTTGGGGCCATTAGTATCCTATGTGGGATAATGTTAGGGGGATGGGACTACAAGGGTATCGCCGGTATCGCCGTATCGCAAGTCACCCGCTTGGCGAAGTCCACATGAATCTGCTCATGCTCCATGGTCGCGACTGTCTGCACGGCCTCCACGAGAATTCCCACCTCGCCGGGAAAGTGGCCAACAATCCCAGTGGAAAATGGTGGTGATTAAGCGCAAATTGGTGAATACATGAAATGATTGTTGTAAATATACAAATTGTGATGATCTGCAAGATTGGGCGACATCTCTGCACATCTCTGCACATTGAGATCCCAGACCAACATATTCATCACAATGAGCGAGCCGACAAGCACGAAGATAATGACAAGCCTTGTGTGAAAAGCTCTGCTGCGCATGCACAACAAACTGATCGAGACAAAACTCTTGCAACCAAAAAGCGGCACCGGCACAAGCACAAGCTAATCCTGGTTCCTGGTTTCAACCCCTTAAATGGTACAGTAATTACATGGGATCATTTTGAATCATCTCCAAAAGCAGGGGTGACAAAAAAAGCATGCCATCCCCCAACCAACATAGACCTTGAGAATCATCCATGTTCAGAGGACGGCAGTCTTCCCCAATGTGGCAGGGTCTATGTTTGGGGGATGCTGTCTCAGTCATTCTCAATCCATAAATTGGCAGCTTTCAGCAACATTCCCATGATCCAGCTGACATCCGAGACGTCTTGAAAGAATTCCTCCTGGTCCGGCATGACGCATTGCACCTGCAATGGCAGGCTGTTAGAAGTTGTTGCACCGGTTGCGTTGTAGATGATCAATGCATTGTACAGGAAACCATGGTCTTTACATTTTTTCAGGTTGTTTTACATGTTTTTCCATGTGTTTACCCCAAACTGAGGGGTTTCCGGTAATTACATGTTCCCTTCATCCAATTCTGGAACAAGACTTGTGCTCAAACAGAATTACGAAGCGTCTCGTTGACCTCAGCATGGTCGATGGTCCCTGTCCAGCCTAGTTGTGCGATGAATATAAAGTTATATACATATATATATAATATATATATGTGTGTAATTAATATGTTAGAATCCAATTTAACTAATGAAACGCGGCAGAAAATCCACTCACCCATACTCACGTGCAGCCTTTGTGGCTTACTATGCCTTCTTCCGGAAAAGCATGGGATCCATCCCCACAAATAGCATCCACTTTTTCAGTCAAGCCACAATGAGTGTCAGCACCGCTGACGTTATTGTTGGGAAATATTTTGGTTCGAGTCTCGTGTTTTCGCTGAGCTGGGAGAAAGCAATGCTGAATACATAGGTAATGAGCAGCAACAGGACAAGAGTGAAAAACACAGAGCGAGCGGCAACTATCAATCCTCAGTTCATGCACTTCTGCTGCAGCGCGGGCAGTGCTTCTTTGAAGACCAAGAGGCAGAAAGAGTCAAGGTGGGTCAATTCTTTCCATGTGTCATGCTGGTTGTACAATGCAACAGGTTTTGATTGAAAACCCTCGGCAGAAAGTGACGAAAGATTGGCAGCACCAGAGAAAGGATAACATGACACTGCAACCAGCAGCTCTTGATATTATGCGTCCAATATGCGTCCTATAGATAGAAGTTAATTATCAATAATTATCACACCTGGTTGATTGTGTAGTAGTGATTGGGGTGAATCATTTCAAACAGGGAGGTAAAAGAGTGGTTACATGGTTACAGTTGCAGTAAACACAAATAGTTGACTACCAACCAATTCCGCATGATGGGATGATTTCTACTGAGCCAAGCATCCTTTGACCAAAATCATGAGTTCCGGCATGTAGCGCGCCACTCTGATGATCCGTGCCGTGCGAAAGACCCGCAAAATACGGGCGATGCGCAGCACTGAGGCGCTCCGTGAGATGTTGGCTCCATCGTCCTGGGAGCGCGCGGTGAAGCCACCCTCAATGATGAAGGCCGTCAAAGGGATCAGCCAAGTCTCCAGGAGCATCATCACTACCAGCAGGAGGTCGAAAATAAACCAGGAATCACGCACAGCTTCCCGGCGTTTTTCGTAAGACATGAACCTCACAAAGAGTTCGCCGCTGAAATATAAGGTGAAGACAATTTCCATGATGAGGAAAGGACTTTCTGCCTGCAAGACCATGTCTGCCTTGTTAAATTCAATGTCTATTGCGATCCATACGGCATTCAAATAGATCATGGCCAAGGACATCCGTTCGAAATAGGGATGTCTCACCACCTCTGCCCACCGTGACGAGGAGGGTGGCCGCGGCGGACCGAAGTTGTCGATGGCCTTTCGTCGCACGGATTCTCGGGCACATTCTGCCGAGAGCTGAGAAAAGACACGCTGATGTTGCTCATCCTGCAACGGCCCATGACAAGACTATGCCAAAACATGCCACGCCAATGGGCCAATATCCAAGATATATCCAAGATATATCCAAGATATATCAAGATCCAGAGGAGCATTTACTGATGATATCTGTGGATTTAACAATGGATTAACAATGGATTAACAGGGAATACTGGTGGTTAATGATCTAATATTGAGCTGATGTGGGGCCTCAACCCCTCACAGTAGTGGAAATCTTAGATGCATCGCTCAAAATATCTCAAGATCCCCAAACAATTTCCATTCAAGCAGTAGAAGGAGCAATATCATGTTGTTTCTTCTTCAGCCTGGTCGGTATGCAAAGTGAGACGGACAAATTCTATCAAATTGAGTACTGTATATATCTTGTTGCAGTTGTAGTGAATAGAGGCGACAGGCATCAGTCCCCTTTGTCAGTCTTCCCTATGGCGCACAGAGCTTTACCAAACCATCGCCTCTGGCTTGTCACTTGGTTCAAATTGAGACTGCTTATGGATCCAAGCCATGTGCTTCTTCCGCCGCTCCGCGACTGTGGGCAAGCTGGAGAATGCCTGGCTGGCAATGGCTGGCAATGCTAGAGTGAACATTCAAGACATAGTGACTCACTGACTCACTTGTAGGGATCTCATGTCCATGATTTCACGCAAATAAGGATGCTTCCACCAATTAATTGTCTCAGGTAGTTTCTCTCTCTCTCTCTCTCTCCATCGCCATCTCAGGAGATCAGCAGTCTCAGTAGTTTATGGTGACCTATTTTTTTTTCTCTCTCTCTCTCTCTATCCTTTCTTTGCAGAAAACGCTGGCCGTTAACAACAAATTATGGATCAGAAAAGTATACATTAGGTCATTTGTCGCATTTTTTCGTCAACTGATTCAACGACTCTGCGAGGCTTTCCACTTGGATGAGTGGTTCAGCAATTGCTGGTAGATTTGGATACGTTTCCCAAGACTTCAAGTTGCGGCCAGTTCGCGGCCAGAACGGAGTGACCATGTTGGAAACTTTCAGTCTCAACAAACAACAAATGATTGCCAAGATTCTCTCTACATCTAGTTCAGCAACATACAAGTACTGCGTAGTCACTGCATCTCATAAGAAGATATAAGAAGTGCAAAACATAAAATCAAGTCGTCATACGTTCCCCGATCATGCTCAATCTGCACGCTCAGGTTTCCATTTAATTCAAATATTCACAGGCTTCCCGATAGAAATCTCACCGACGCAGTGCAAGAAACATTAGCCAAACATTTACAGGCTTCCTAAATCAAACAAATAGACGCCACGATCAGTGACCAGCCTAAGTGTGCGGAATGCAAAGAACATCTTGGCTCAAAGTGACCAAAAATTCACATGTGATGCTCATGTGCTGTGCACTGGATTTTGACGCGTGCTATTCTGTGCTATTATGTGCTATTGATCCAAGGTCACCTATTCCTGAATTAGTTTGCCATCATCGCTTGCCTCGACAGTGTCTTCCACAATCGATCCTGCAAAACGCGGCAAGAGGAAAAGATTGGATGGGCCCCCTCAGGAGTCAAATCTGCTAATGTTAAGCCCGAACAGAGAGCAGAATGATCAGTCGTGGCGGAGGATGATAGGTGAAACAACTTCTTGCTCCACAATGTGTATTGGCACTGGTGCTGGTTGCGATCTCAAATCCCAATTTTTAATGATCATGACAGATGTCAGGATGGATTCAAATCTGATCCGGAACCGCGCTATGACTCGAAAACAGTGGAAACATGCACTTCCTGACACGTTGCACCTCTGGCAACCTGCTATCCTGGCATAGCATATCCCCAGTGTCTGCCCTCCAGTGTCCCCATATGTCCCGTTTGCCATGCCTGGAATTGCGCTGAATTTCCGCTCAGCTACACCATCTGCGTTTGGTGCATGCCAGGCCTGATGCCGCCGGCATGTCGCCACAAACATTGGTATAAAGATGTATAAAGTGCATTGAGAGGAGTCCGATGAGAGCTTCTGGAATAACATGTCCAAAATCGTATACAGCTAAAATTGTCCATGATGGTCCAAGTATGTCCTTAAGTTGTTTATCCAAGGGGCTGAAGCAGGAACTGACATCAGGGTACTCTGCATCTCATCTTTGGTCTCCTCTTTGGATCCCTTGAACTCCTCCAACTCAATATCCGCAGTCTCTTCAGCTGCCACCAGCCTCAAACGTGCCCTACTATCGCCGAATTTTGTTGCAATGTCAACCCTGGATTCAGAAGATCTAATTTTCTATCCACGAACTAGATATCAGAAAAATGATGCCACAATTCACAGGATTCCCCCCCCCCAACCAAGTGACCCAAGCTTGGAAATCTTCGCATCGAGCTTGTTCAAGAGAAGCGCTTGATGTTCCAAGAGTTCGTGACGGAACTGCTTCAGACCATTGAGCGGCGACTGTCCAGTCCTGAGGCGACAAATCGTCAACTGCCGTTCCCATCAGCCACTTCGACTGGTTGTTCCATATTTGGTTTGTTTCGATATGTTTCCATACTTTCCAAGGATATGTTTCCATACTTTCCAAGCCGGCTTGCATGCAAATTTCACTTTCAACTTAAAGTGTGTAAAGGGGATGGTCAAAGCATGGAATCACACACACACATCCAACCGACCAGGCAAGGGGGTTTTCGGAGTCTGAGTCTCCGTTGAAGCATTGCTGGTCCCTATCACTTCTGCATGTGGCCCTCAACTCGCGGGTAATTGTGGAAACAGAAAAAGATGGCTTGGCTATTGTGGCCATGCTTGGCTAGATTTGGTCTACATCCTTGCTTGTGTCCAGCTTGTTGCTCTCCATGCTCTCTTAAGCCTTAAGCACTTTCATCTAGAGATTCCAGTTGTGATGTGGCCTGCCACCGATTGGAGATGTTCACCGTCTGCATTCTGCATGCTGCCAAACTATTCACCACTGAGCACTAAGTGGCCAAAGGGGGTTGCAGTTCGCATGGTATGTGGCCCGACCCCACGACCGTCCATGACGTACCTATTGGGAATAATGGATGGGCAACAAACGTCTTTTAGAAATCATCAGCTATAAATAGCTATAATCAGCTATAATCAGCTATAATATTGGGAATAATGGATGGAATATAATCAGCTATAATCTTCCATCATGACTGATGTTCTCTGATGATATTCATTGATATTCCATCTTCCATAGCGCCCAGTCGCACCCAGCATCCGGAAAGCTGCCTGGAAACCTTTTTTCCGAGCCCACTAGGTCACTGCTTAAATCATCAATGATGGAAATTGATCAAACTAAAATCAGCTGCTCTTGGCCAAAGCCTCCGTCCTTGGAAGATATCACAAGTCCCAATTGACACTGGGGTTGACAACCAAAATGGGGGGATACTACTGTAGAGTATTACAGGTATATATATATATATCCCATGCAAAACCCCCAAAAAACAACATGAATTGAGCTGACACAAAAGATAGGAACAAAAACACAACAAGAGTTGGAGTTTACTTTTCCATATTTTTAGAGGTCTTGGTACTGGATATTATATCATATTATTATATAATGATGGTATGGCCGTCCCCCAATTAGTGGGTACAGTACTGCATGGTACTGTATATAACCCAAATTAGGTTATAAATGCTGGTATGTCCCTCAGAATTGCCATACTTACATTCTCCAAGTGCCTATGAAAGTGGATCAAAGTACTAAAAAATATGGTATATATAATATATATAAGTATGTATAAACATGTATAAAGTACCAACCTTTTATTGTTGGTCCTTGGAGGGTATACCTAGAACCCACGTGCTGCTTCCGCCCCTTGGGCCCGTGCTCGTCCCTGGATGGCAGGCTGGGCACTGCTCCAAGACGAGAGACCTCAACTTTCCACCAAACGTTCATGGCAGGAATGATCAAAGCTACAATCTATGGACCATTTCGAAAACACACACACACATACACACACACACATACACACACACACGTATATATATATATAATTACAGTACAAACATGTACAAAACTGGAATATACATGGATATGCGTTGATATATTAAGGATATACCATCAACTATCAACTAATCTGGATTTATAGGATATACTGTATATATGAATGTGTAAAACTTGAGTGCCCGCAAATGTCAACCATCAACAGTCGCCCTTTGTCAAAGTGAGTTACGGTTATTGCACCGGCTGCTGCAGCAAACTTCAAGCATTCCTGGCAGCTCAACAAAGCTACTACAACAAACTCAAAGCCTGGTTCAAACAAGCTCCATTTGGCAAAACAGTCACTTCCAGCAAAACTGTTTGTCCGAAATGGGATGCCGCGAATATCATCGCTTTTTCCGCTCAAAAAAAACAGTTGAGTAGGGTGCTAAAGACGCTTAGCCACTCAGGGGCGTTGCCAAAGTTTTGCGTTTTCAATTTCTGAGTTTGGAGCTTTCAACAATAATCTTTTTACGTACGTTTTTCCAGAATCGCACCAAAATCACTTGTGAGAACACGCACAATAAATATGCTGAGTTTCAACCTCAAGGCAATTCACCTCAGCATCAACGTGTATGGATTGTCCTGCAGAGGTCGGCCCTCGACCAAGGCAACAGCAAAGGCGGAGCGAAAGCAATCGCCAGCACCTCACAGTGTTCAGCACAGGGTCCCCAGAGTAGACAAGCTGCACAATGGTAGAGATATGTAGGGATTCATTCTTCTATCTTTTTGGAGAACCCATATATTATATCCCAAGATTGCTGTTTCAAGATGGGGTATGTATTCTTCTGTTGAATGAAGGTGCAATTGATACGAGTAGCAAAGCCCGGCCTGTGGTATCTACCACCTTGCCTCCGGGCCTTAAGACATGCACACAAATGATCGAACACTGCACAAGAAGTCACCTATCATCACATATCAAGTCTGCTGGTGGTTAGCCTAACTAGGATGGCAAAAACCAAAACAGTTGAAACATGTTGAAACCACATGAAACCAGAAGCCGGAGTGGATTGCAAACCAAATGGATGATTGTGCCACACTATCCAAGTGTCAATCCTGCACCAACCGGTGATGGTGATCAGGTTTGCGCACCGTGCACAACGACAACCAGTTCAGAACGGGAAGCTCCACATGAACATCCAGGAGCCACGACGAGATTTATGAGTTGTTAAGAGCAGGGCACAGGGCAACATCCTTGCTTCAGGACCTGCCAGTATAATATATGTTGTTCCAGTAATCGTACAGTGGTGTCAATTTGGTGTCGGCGCGAATGGTGCACATGTAAGAATCCTATACCATCGTCATCATCATCATCATCATCATCATCTGCCGAAAGAAAAACAACAACAAAGTACATGACCTGAAAGAGAGTTGTTGGCGCTATGCCACTAGACTGCAATAGCTTCTTTATGTCTTTATTCAATAAAACAATGATGATCCCCATCTCGGAGCTTTCCGCCTTGCCATCTGCAGTAATCAGAACTGCACCATCAGAGCCTCATTGGAAAACAAACTGTTATTACCTGCAATTCTCAACAAATTTTGCTCAAGGTATCATGACACTTTCACTACGTTCAATATCAAGCACACCAAATGTTGCCAACAAAGCAAACTTTGCGACATAAGTGCCTCCATCACACATGAATTGCTGCATCAATCTGCATAAACAGTTCCACATCTTCGGTGTTTGGCTTCTTTTCCAGTGTGCTCTTTTCTGTTCGCTGAACTGCACACTGGACAGGTGCCAGCGTTGGCACAGCTGGACCAGTACCGTGGGGAAGCTTCTCATAGCGGATCCAGGCTAGTGCACAGGATGGCACAGGTCAGAAGATCTGCACCATGTCTTCTGATCATTTCTATCTATGTGGCGCCTGGCCCCTCACAAATCCTAATATTCCCGTGAACATCCGTCAACTGTTTTCGGATCTTATGTTGTTACCTTGACTTGTTTTTGCTCGCATCTTATTTTAATGCTCTGTGAAAACCACAGCAAGAAATACCATGGGTGGCCGTAGGTGTTTGAGCCTAAACAATGAGCGCCTTGGGCGCTTTGGGCGCTCTCAGTTGTAGACCATGTACTTGGGTGTTGCAGAGAACTTCGAGTAACCTTTGATGACCTGCTGCTGGGTCAAAGTTGCGAAGCGTTGAGCTAGGATATAGTGTTTCACCATCATCGTCATCGTCATCGTCATCATCATCATCATCATGATCTTTGATCTCTTTGAACATGTGAGGTCAATCTCTGTAAGCAAGGCAAACTATTAGACTACATTGAGTACATAGCAAAACATAACTGTCATATGCCGTCCAGCCTTGTTGATGGCATCAATAAGATCCTTTTCCTGAGTGGCAAAATTTAACCCGTGTCATGCCGACTACCGCAAGAAAGAGAAGGAACCACATGAGAAGCATTCAACCCGACAGTCCAGTTGACCACGTCATGGTTCTTGATGGTTCTTGAGAGTATTCAACGGCGTCAAGTGGATCTTACATTTGGATACATTTGGATACAAGACTGCTGGCGCGTTCGTGTGGATACGACTAGCCGAGAAATTCAAACAAGGTTTCAAAGCCGGCCAGCACAATAACATTCTTATCTGCAACTGTGAGGAAAAAAGAATAAACGCCCTCTCATTGTCATCGTTCTCACCCATGTTTTCTGCGTCTACCAAGTGCCTGCTCATGCAAGAAGTCGCCACCGGGCAGCGGTGTCCATTGCCAACGCATGCCAAGGTACGGAAATGCTCTTTCTGCGTGCGCGGATTGCGTACATGCCGGCTTCCGTGCAAACACTTCGGCACTCTGCGCCTTAGATTCATCTGCATTGAACATGAACCGCTCAGGAGCCTGAACAATCTGAACATCAAGTTTCGGTCCATCTATGGGGGCGTGGGCGGGATGGCGATTTGGCATCTATTTCTCATTTAAAATTTAACTGTATGCCTCTGACTGCATGAACTTTCTCAACTGGCCATGGCCTCCATGGGTTTTCCATGGTTTTCCCACATTTGGCTAGAGCATGAACCATTCGCAAGAAGTCAAGCTGCCAGTGGTGTTGGGACACAGCCGGGCTAGCAGCTCGAAACGGACATCCCGATCGATTGCCATGGTCCTAAGTGGCACGGGAAGTGATGATATATCGGAATGATGCACGCAATGGCATCCCATGACCCTTGTCATACATCTTCGTCTCTGCAAGCGAATTGTTCTTTGGTGCACAGACATGCGATATCATGTGATCCAAGGGAATGCAAGGAAGATCCCCAGTCTTCTCAGTCTTCTGCAGAACGGTGTTCAAATCCAAGAGTCTTGGCATGGATCTTGAAGATGTGGGTACGACCTTCCAAATCTGGCAGGCCGAACTCAATCTTTCGGTCCAAACCTCAGAGTCATTCAGAGGTAAAGCAACACTGCGCACTGTTCATCTATGTTAATCTATGTTAATCTATGTTAATCTATGTTCATCTATGTTCATCTACTGCACGTCTCTTCCAGTGTTGAGGATTTCTGATTCTTACACTTGAGGTTTATCAGGGCTCAGCTCGGGTGAACACCCTGTACAACATTGTACAACCCCTGGATATGGTGATGGATTTGGGGTAGGATCAGTGAATGTAAATGAACATTACATAATGATCCATCATGAACCTTTCTTGGCATCGTCAATGCACCACCAAAATCCAAGCGATCAGCGCGACTTCCAAGGCACGACCAGGTCTGAGCAATGCAGGGTCCAAGGTATCAGGACGATTTGTAGCCATGAGCACCTGTGGAGCTGCCAAAAGTTTGGGGCTTTCATGTGTGGAGCTATACCATTATAATAAGGAACATGGCCATTAAAGGCCATGAGGATTCCCCATGGCACACCTGGATCCTGGATCCCCAGAGCTGCGCGCTCACTTTTTTCGTGGCCAAGAGGTCACGCAGCGCAGCATGAGACTCGACCACCATCCTCCGCTTCTCTGCAACTGCTAAGCTTTCATTCAGCATCTCCTGAGCCAATCTCCCCGGCAAACCATGTTGCGGATGCCAACATCTCATGGCTGAAAATTCTTCCTGTTGAAATGTACGTACCAATCTTGTCACAACTTTAATCTAACTTTGGGTATGCTAATAACTATCTATACAGCACAACATAATAACATCTGCTAACATTTATTTATACAGTATAAAAACATTTAATAACATCCTCCAGCCTCCAGGTCTTTTTTGGTCCAAACCATGGATGCCAAACCTCTCAACCGAGGCTCCCTGGGGTCCAAGTCCAAACTCTCATAGTGCTCCGCTGCCCAAAGCTCTCGGTATGACACCGACTGACGCCAAAAGCTGGGCACCAGATCCTTGGCTTTGGGAAATAAAGATCTCAAGAGATTCGCATCTGGAAGAAATCGATGAACTGTACAGTAACACTTTATTATATAATTATATATATATAATTATATATATATATTATATATATATGTAACAAACAATAACTGATGGACGTGAGAATCTGAGCCAAAGACCACCTCGATTGCCTCAATTCCTTTCTCTTGAGCCCAGGAAGTGAGTATAAACTCCGCATCCACCGGCTTCAAATTGCTCCAGGACAGCAAGGAATAGTCTCTCCTGAGCAAAATTAGTCAGATGTTGACTTGAACCGCTGAAAATGGCAGTCACATTCTCAATCACATTTATATAATACATATCATATATTGACACATTTATGCATTCATCGTGTTCCCTTACAAGTAATGAATCTCCATGAATCTTGATCGCCCGAAGAAGGGGTACAACAGCAACCACAGAACCGGAGAAAATAACTCAGATTTCTCAGAGCATGTCAGTTCCATTGACCTCCCATGTTATGTGAAATCCCAATTCTTCAGCATATCTTTTCTTTTTTTTTAATGGGCGATATCAACAAATAGATGGTAAAATCACCATTTGCCATCATTTTCCCATCATTTTCCCAAGATTTCTTATCCACCAGCCCCTGCCCTCTCCTGAGGCGGAGAATCACCGCCCCCAGGGAGCAGCCCACGGAGGGCCAGGCACTGATGTCCATGTCAAAGTTCCACAGGGACCAGTCCTTTCCCGGAAATTTCATGAAAGCTTGGCTTATTGAGAAAAATCCATGAAGATATAGGAAAAGGATGGACAAGGATCTATGGAATTAAAATGAATTAAATATGCTTGCTTTTTTTGAAAAAAAAAACATTACGGGAAAACTGGAAGATTAGGACAACTCTCCTGCAGATTTCCCTTCAACCAATTCTGGGGGAAGTTTGTGACGAGAAACTGCTATGGCAAAAAGTGACCGCCCTTGTCGCACTTCGCACTGGATTGATTCAAGATGCTTCAAAGTGCTTCAAATTTCAAATTGGAAACGTCCATGTTTGAGGGGCAGCAAAGGTCTGCTGAAGTTGTTTCCTTCGACCAATCCAGTGATGAATTCAATGTCCAGTAGTAGTTCCACCCGAGAAATATCCAAACTTAATATGGAATCCAACAAGGATTCCAAATCCAGTAGTAAAATGGTCCGGGCCCACTTTTTCTGGTTCTGTTTTCATGTTATCGGTTGCAACGGGTCACAAAAATGCCAATATTGGTCCAATTTTTGTCCCAGCGTTGTCCAAGTTTTCCGCGGCATGAATTCCAAATGTTCCCCAAAGCAATCCTTGCTGAAGGGCACATTGAAGGCCAAATCTGCAGCCACATACGAGTGGATGATCTCAATATGAATCACCAAGGGTCTATACCTGGAAGCATGGCATCGCATGGCCACTGGGATGTTACCTGGAGGTCGCAAATGGATAGCGTTGGGATACACTGGATCATATTGGGTGATATATGATGATATATGATATACCATGATATGCCGCTATTGCTTACAATTTCTATCAATTTCTCATTCTTTAGGGATCATCCTCCCAGTTATTTGTTTGGTGAAAATGCTGCAACTGTCGATGTCACTATGCAGCTCTTTCCTGCAAAGGTCTGAGGTTCAAACCCAGCAGTGAGCCAGTAATCCAAGTAGTCACAATCCCCGTTGTCCTCAGCTGGTAATGGGAACAGGAATCCAGGAAGCAACACTTTCACTCTTTCAACCTGTTCAATCAAACGATGCCAGAAAATCACGAACACTGTCGTAAGAGAATATGGCTGTTCTCGCTCATGGTCGCGCGTATCAAACATGGGCAATCCCAAATGGCAGGCATCCTACTCCAAAGAATGCAAAAGATTTGATTCTGAAGTGGTCAAGTTTCCACATCGATCTTCAGCAAGGATGGGAAATTTCGAGGCGGCGGCCATCTGCCCTGCAGAAACTCCTTGGCAGCCTCCGACCTTGATGGCACCCCATGGGGGGGAATGGAAAACAAACACAGAAGCCCTGCTTGAGCCTTGCCTTGCTTTTAATCATGCCTAAGGGGCAGAATGATCAACCCCCAAATGGATGGTTTGATGGTTTGATCATGTTTGATAGTCAAAATCAACCAATAGTGCGCGTCCATTGACACTCTTTTGTGCCACACGCTCATCACCTGCTATGATCTAACCACCAAAGTTTGGGAAAGCTGAGCAAGGAGAAGACGTTGCCAAGCAACGCTTTGGCCGGGAATTCGTGAGGTTCCAGGAAATCAGTGACAACTTTCACCTGCAGAAGATCCAAAGATCTGATGCCACGAGTACCAGCGTGATCCCTAGTTTAAGCTTGAAATGCAGTCCTTGAAAGGCTGATGACGTTCCACTCTCGTCTCTCTCTCTCTCTCTCCCCCTCTTTCACGTACATACAGCCGTATACTGTCTACTGGTGCATCGAGGCACATCGTGGCCTTTTTGGGAGCGGGTAAGATTGAAACTCAATGGAATGACCCCGTTGACTGCTAGCTGCCAGATGGTCAATGTGAGGCTTGTGCTTCGAACTCTACGAAAACATCTCATGTCTTCATGGAACGTTTGAATGGACGCAGGGGTTTTGAGATAAAAGGAAGTGTGTTTGTCTGTGGTCAGGGCAGGGTTTTGGACAGGTGTCTGGTTCCTTTCATCATATTGCAGTTGTTTCTTTGATCTGTATCAGTTTAGCAGAGTTGATATATGATAGTGATCTTTGAATAAATTGAGAAACATGTTTTTAACGGTTTTCTTTTTGGCACAACCAAAAAACCGCTTATGTAAAGAGGCTGAAGGTATATGTGCTATATTGTTTTAAAGGAATATATTATTTCATATACATAGTTATGAATAGACTACAATATACTATATATGTTGTATAATATTATTTTATATCATTTTATATTATGTTACATTATGATTATGATATATTGTGGTATACATTATAGAGGATACTATAACATATAACTATAACATATTTAACATCATCTAACACTACTTAGCTATCGATTAGTTGGATGGGTGATCCTCGCTCCAGTGAGTCCTTTCTCGCACCTTGCTCCAAAGCGCATAGCGTTCCTCCAGGCGTTTTGCATGAGCAGCATCTGCCTGAGTGAACGGTCCAAAAGAATTCCCGGGACTTCTTTAGATTTGTTTAGTAAATATATATATATATTTAAATAGATAAACTAATAAACAAATATGTATATATATATAGTAAAGAAATGTAAAGAATAATCAATATACATCAATATACTATACACTTGTCGGGTGCCGTTGATGACTAGCAAGAAACGGAAAAGTGACACCTGGCCCGTGACCCCAGTTTCCTAAGGTCTTTGCCTCAAAGAGCAAGGCAAAGAACGGTCCTGACAATTGCTTGGGCTTGCCCCAAATCTGTTATGCCACAATTTATGGCCATCTAAAAAGTTGGAAAATGAATGAAAATGATGAGAAATCATGTGAATTGGAGGCATTCCGTGTTTTCACCTATTTTCTGACACACCGAAGTCTGTGAGGTCATGCGTCTCTGCAGCTTGTGGCCGTGTCGATCTTCCACTAGAACTCTGTCCTTCTCGTTCGAGAAGGCAAGTCGCAACGTCTGGACCACTTCCAGCACCCAAGTTGATGATGAACGGCAACTCCAGGTCCTTCCTTCCAAGGACCTACAGGGCATCCTTCAATGCATTTAAATGCATTTAAGATCATTTACATATATCATTTAATAAAGGAAACAAAACATCCACAGTTTCTATCATCAAATACGGTATAGGAGGTTTGGAGGTCCTTGTAAATGTTCCAAGAATGATGTTTGCTGCAGCCAGGAGCTTTGGTCAAAATCTGATGCGCACCTCGTAGACTCTGGAGCTGAAAAACTTCGCCTACTGAGATTGACAGCTGTGCGCAAAGGTGGTTCCACCATATTCTCAGTGTGTTTTGCTGCAGCAATGTGAGCAGCATGTGAATCCTGTTCAATCGACTATACTATACTATCTGCTGTTCAGGCATGTTCCCTAACCCAACCTCTTCTGGCAAAAGAGGCACAATTCCACCATCCAGACTAAGCATTCGATAAGGCGTCGATGATGGACGGCATGGATCCAAGTCCCTTGGCATCGGAAAGCTCCCAGCTGTCAAACTTTGCCAATGAATCGTTCGATGGCAAACTGCAAACCACAAAGAGCCACAAAGTGCCACACTCATATAATATATATCCAAAGTCACGCAACAAAACAGTTTTATGTATTTTTATGTTGTCAAGTTTTCGACAACTTTGGCTTTGAACACCCTCAGCCAAGGGTCACATAGGAAAATCCGTGAAACCAGGAAGCTGATTCTCGCAAAACAAAGGCCAACCTCGCCGAGCGCAACTCAAGGGAGTCACGAACACAAAACTGATGGTAGCTGCCTGGTAGCTGAAGATAATTCCCGATCTTTGCCAGTGACATTTGAATCTCAGGGTCTTGACTGTCGACATGTCCTGACCTTTTGATGCTCTTGAAATCATTTTTTGAGTTCTTTCCTCTGCCTGGTTATCTCTAGGATCAGAAGCAACAGTGATGGAATTTGGGCTTGTTTCCAAATAGGGGGCACCCTAAAATTGTACTCTCTTGAGTCTTAAGAAATGGAGCACGTTGGAACACGGGAATTGGGGGAGAACATGGGAGAACCAGGTTTGGGGCCAGCTTTTTTCTGAGGCCGAGGCGATGGCATTGAAATGCCACGCTGGGTCTTCCAGAGAAGGGTGGCAGCCGCCGCCGCCATCCTACTCTTCCATGATGTTCCATGACGTTCCATGACGTTCCATGCGCAGGATAGGCCAAGACTGGCCATGTTTGCTAACTTTGGGTTGAAGAGTGAGGTTTCACGAAGGGTCACTGTGACAAAAATCGGCAGCACTCTTGCCAATGTAAAATATCTAAAGGATTCTAAAGGAGAAAAGGCTGCACGACCGCATGTCACACAAGAGACCTCAAACATGTGATATGAATCATGACTCTTGATGACTGTTGATTTCGCCCAATCCAAAGGGTAAAATGAGTAAGTAAGTGGCATCTTGCGGGCAAGTCCTTTCCAAAGCATCGCCCAGGGTTGGCGTGCTCTTGCAGAGCGTGACAGAAGCAAACGCCTGGTTTTCTCGGCAAAATTCATCTGGATCACCATGGATTACCCCCACAGATTCTAAGCGCAGTAACCTGGTCTGGTTATGTGCGGTAATTACTAGTTGTTGGACCACATAAGGTTTCACTCCCGCCATTTTTTAACAAAGCTCATTTCGGCCTACATTGCCTCCTCGAAACCAAATTTCAGCATCAACTGCTATCAGTTGCTTCCGCAAGCACCTTTGGTTTTCAATTTCTGCGACGTGTGTTTTGCGCACCTGGTTCTGATTAACACCGCTGCAACACACACCATGTGAAACCATTCAGCATGTGCTCCCATGTGCTCCCCCCATCCCACCTTGCAGCTGTCGACTCTTTCGCAAGAAGACTGCAACTTTCTGCACTGGTCTTGCAGTTTCGACGTAAAATCATCAAATCCATAGCACATCCTGTACCTGCAGCTGATATTGGCTGATTGAGGCAACATACTTGATAATCTCTTATCTTTATACGGCAGGCAAAGTTTGACTTGTGGATTTGACAACTCACCAAACGCGCCTGCTAAAGTCGGGAGAATTTTGCCGAGGGTACGGGAGAACTCACATGCACAGCTACACATCCATGACCATCCGTGACCCGTGAAGGGCTTCTCAAAATTTGTCAAAGGCACTTGGAAAAGCATATGAAGTCTCTCAGCTCGTTCAGAAATGACAGCATCAGGAAAAGATCTCTCGATGGCTCCTGGCAAAGTCATCTCGCTGAGGGGCTTTCAAACGGTGCACCAACTGACGCAGTGCTGGTGATCAATTTTACAAATCTAGCAGCCTAGGGCAGCATAGTCTCAGATTCGAGACTTTTGTAAGTGTGGTTGCGTACAAGCTGATGTGCCTTATTAGCAAGGCTGCCTTCTTCCAAAACACTGGTGCAAGCTTGAACTTAAGCCAAGTGACGCTTGCCTACTCAAAGCAGCTTCAATGTGGGTTTGCCATGGTCTGTGAAAAAATCCGGCATCCCCAAATCCCGTGGAATTTTTCATAACGCTCCATGGATCTCCATGGTTTATTCATCCAGCCTTCGCCATCTCGATACCATCTGCCACCAAGCTGTACACGTGACTGGCGTGAGCGAAGAAAGCACGGTTCAGGTCCTCCATAGGATCCTCAGCTGCAAAGGTGCAGCTTTTCCTGTAGCGAACTAGTGAATTGTTGGCGAATTACTGGTGAATTACTGGTGAAATGATTCTCATTACCCACTAGAACTGCAGCATTCACCTTCTCAAACCAAACCATGACTGCAGCACATAGCCTAGCCACTTCCGGATTTACACTTGAATCGTCACAACCAGGTATGTATGTCAATTATGTATAATAGATCTGGATAAAGTATCATGACTCACCTGAAATAACTTGAAATTGCCCTCGTTTTTGACTCTTTCGAGAGGTACTTCAACCATCTTCAACCGGTAATACCCTCTGGTAAATAAACATAGACCCTGAAAATCACCAATTGTTAATGGAAACTAGTCTTCCAACCCCTATCTGCCAGGGTCTATGTTTATTTACCAGAGGGTATCTTCCAAAAAAAATGGGAGTTGATGGAAGTTGAGTATCCTCCCGTGGAGGCCAACAGCCAACAACTCGATCCACATAGTTTGGAGGGCAGGTGATGGCCGCAACCACACCAAGGCTGACGCCGACATGGCCAATGCCCATGGGAGTTGACCAAAATGAAGCAATCCGATTGATCATGTGAAGCCTTGATAAGCCTTTTGGTTCCGTAGAAATGGCCAAATCACATCAAATCACCATAAACATCCATAAACTACCTATCTTCAGCAACTTTTGGCAGGTTTTGGCCTGCAGTTGCTAAACAGAACATTCTCACATGTTTTTGCACAACCTGCCGTCCGGTTTCCTTCAGCGGAGTATTTTGTCTGTGTCTGTGTTTAGTGTGAGCTGGCATCAGCCAGTAGCTGTGCTGTGCTAGGCTAAAAAAATGTTGTGTATCTTCTATGAGGTGGCTCATGTGCTAGCGTCAGTCATTGCCCTCGCATCCGTTTCACCCATCTTTCAATGAGACTAAATGACTTGCTGGCTGTGTCTAGATTCTGTGTGCTGACAAAGCCTCATCCAAGCGAAATACAACTTTGAACCCAGGTTTTCTCTATCAGTATCACGCGGCTGCATGGTTCCTCATCAGTATAGTGACCGCACTGACTACATGAAAAAAACATGAAAAAACTGCACCAAATCACAAGTTCGTCTGCACTGTTGAATTTGACCGTCGGGTCAGGAACACAGGGGCAGCGCCTTAACATTGCCGCGGGAGTCAAAGCCGTCCAACTGGTTGACAATCTCAAGCATTGTCCGCTGCACCTGGTTCATCAGTCAATGGCATTCAATTGCGACTCAGTTACAGCGCTACAACACTCCGTGGCTCCGTAGTGTAAAGGGTGAATACCAAGGGCATCAAATCATCAAATAGAATTATCCTCTCCTTTCCTCAGTATCAGTATCAGGCTCTCAAAGATCTCAAAGGAGTTTCACTCTTGCTCCTGCCACCCCACGGCCTCACTGTCGCTATTGCCCTCATCACCACCGCGAGACCCACCAATGGCATCCACTTCGTCAATGAAAAGAATGCATGCCTTTTTGGTCCTGTGGTGCAAGCAGCTACAAGCGCAGCTGCACACACATCACCGTCGAAATATCATGTGGCTGTAAAGGCCAAAAAACGGAGTAGCACAGTAGTGCTGTTATTGTTCTTGTTCTTGATATTGTTTTTCTTCTTCTTGTTGTTGTTGCTGGTGTTGTTGTTGTTGTTGTTGCAATGCGTTACAACTCACTACAACTTGGGTCAATCATATGCCATTCCAATACGACGGGTTAAGCCGTGGGCGCCCATGGGCGCCATGGGCTGGGCGGCGGTGGCCTGGCCAACTGGAAGAGCTCTCGGACCATTCGTGCGCCCTCGCCCACATAGCGCTGGACCAGCTCCGAGCCGATGACGCAAATGAAGCAGGCGTCCGTACCTCTGAGCATTGCATCTCGGTGGAAATACTTGGAGAAGGTCGCCGCGGCTACGCGGCTACTGTTTACCCTGGTTTGCTGAGCTTTGCAAAACTTCGAATCATCCTTGATGTTGGTTAAATCAACGGCATGGTTGGTTGTCAAAACCCGATTATTGGTTGAATACGCCAAAACCAAACATATTGAGAATGTGGGCAACATACTGTAATTCATAGGCATAGTTTGGAGTATTTTCCTTTACTCCTATGGTGAGGTCGGTCAGTGTTGCCAGTATAATTTCACTGAAGGAATGCACTTGAATTTCCCAAGACTCCAGTTTGTGTCTGATCACATAATTCTAGCAAGCTCCATGAAGAACCCAGTTGAATGGTTTATTATACAGTACATGAATGGTTTATTATACGGTACATACTATTACATACTGTATAATACCCCATATAAACAAAACTCAAATGAATATCCTGCGCACAACAGCCCCTTGCTCAGGAGCCGACGATTGGCCACAGCTCGTGCAGTGAGAGTCTTCCCAGTGCCCGGAGGGCCGTAGAGCAACACGCCCTGACACAGCGGCTCGACTGTGGGCCCCTTACCATTGTAGCTGAGATTCGAATCAACTACCCCACTCCTCGGGGGTGAAAAAAATGAAACACTGGCTTCATATTATGTTATGGTATTGAATAAATTTCACTATGACTCAAATGGCAGCGAACCATGCATGACTGTTGATATGCTTTACAACTTTACAGTGTGTACTGCTAACAGGGTTTGAATTCTTGCTGCCAAAATTAAATCTCTTCCTATATCTGTCTTGAAACAAATGTGACAAGCAACATATACTGCAAACGGTTGGCAACAACTCGTAGCACCTTGGGAGGATCGATTCCTAGCGCCACAAAGCGCTCCGGTTGCAACAAAGGCATTTCCACCACCTGGCACAAAGCTAGGGGTGATGCTTCTGCTGCTGCATTTCTTACAGTAGTTGAAACAGAACCACCTCTCTGACTCTCCACACCCGCGCACATGATGTGTAAAGTGCGAAGCTATTTCAGGCTATTTCTAGAACCATGCTGCGATGGACACAGAATCAAAAAAAAACTGTTCAAAACATCTTTTTACACCAACGAGCTGAGGTATGTCGTGCACATCGCTCGACATCGCCGAGAAGGCGGATGCTGATTGATGCGGCTTGGGATTTTGGGCCGTTGGTGAGGCGAGGTATACCGAGAGTGAGACATGTCCGAGGAGCTACTGCAGCTATCTGCAGCTCCTATTTCAGCTATCTGTCGGCTTCATCCTCATTTTTCGACTCCTTGGTCTCATCTGTCTCATCAGTTTCATCTTTTTCATCTGTTTCATCTTTTCCCTCACCATCGGTCTCCTTGGAGCTCTTCCCATCATCACCATCATCCTTCTCAGATTTGGTCTCTGTGGACTCATCACCGGTGACCTCATCGTCGCCTTTTTTGCTCTTCTTTTCCTTCTTTTCCTTTTTCTCCTAGCTGAACTCGGCTGAACTAGACATATGATTATATATTAGTAGATATTAGATTTAATTATTGTAATATTTCGACCAGCTCAAACAACTCATAAACCCCAGGAATGGATGGTTCAATTGGTTCAATACTAAATATCCAGAATCTAGGTCCATTGCTGCCTCATTTTTGAGCCATAGCCGTAGCCATATTAAGAAATAGATAGAACTAGCCTAAACTCAGAAAGAAACCCTGCACTGCTGCACTCCAAAACCAACAATCCGGCTACATACAACGCTTTCTTGGATTGGAATTTGTGGAAGAAGCCCGGCAATTCTTTGGACAGGGAAAAACATGCAAAAAAAAATGTCGGCCTTCTTTTCCTTTTTCTCTTTCTTTTCTTTGTCCTTCTTTGTGCCGAAAAACTTCTCCCAGACTAATTTCACTCCATCACTGCCGATGCCAAAGACGCAAATCGCCAGCAGTGAGATCAAGATTGCCTGCACAGAATTTGAATGCATAGACTGCATAATATGAATGCATAATATGGATGCATAATATGACCGCAGCACTGTCTGTGCAGCTGCTTGGCATTGTGCCGGCTTAATTGTCCACAACACAGAGCTGCCTTCATCTTTGGGTTGGCCGCTTGCTCGCAGCCACAACCTCTAGCCCAGCATTCCTTGATGACTTCGTAGTTTTCTGGAGTAATTGGCACAGAGACGTTGCCATCTTCGAATTCAATCTCTACTGGCTCGCCATCACTTTTGGGCCACTCCTCGCACTACACATGTACCGAACGTCGGCTAGGTAACCAATGACATGTCTGGGTAACAACTTGTCATCAATTGGAATCCTACAAATAAAAGTGTGTCTGAAAATCAGGCCCATAACTCCAAATTCAATGGTTCATTTTCCCTCTCAGAATGGCAATAAATGGGGAATAATGACAATATCCATTTTACACCATTTTACACACACAGACACACACACACATACATCTAAACAGTATATATCTGTCTGGGTTGAAGCATGTGAAATTCCATATTCAAACTATGTAACCATATCTTGAATCAACATTCAAACAATATCTGGATTCGGATCGGGCTATCGGGCCCGAAATCCATCGAAATCCCATGGTGCCATCACCATCCCATCACCCAGCTGCCTCCCATCCACCCACGAAGTACACAGCACTGAGCTCTTCCGCCACCCGTCGCTTCCATTCGCCCACCGCGCCGCAGGTTCGGGAGGCCTCGAAGAGCGCCGAGGCGTTGGCGCCGCCTGACCGTCAGCTGACCGCAGTTGTCCGTGAACGGGCTTTTTAAAGGTGCCAAAATGATACGACAATGGTGATGTAATATATATATATATATTATATTTATTTATTTATTTATTTAACTTTCAACCTTTTTTCAACCAACAATATATAACTGGGATGATATAAAATATCGCGCAATAGTGATTTGAGCCAAAATGGGACTTGAGCAAAGGTAAAGGAATTTACCATCATTTCACACGATGTAGTCATAGAATACTGGATTTGGGTATGACTCAACATCAAAGATACCCTGTTCAATGGCCAATTTGAACATTGAATAGTGAAAAATCATCATAAAACATTGGGGGTGATAGGGGTCTCAATGATTTTGGGGTCGTCAATTTGGAGACAATCACCATCATGGAGCACAGAGGTAAAGGAAACGGCATCCAGAACTCAGCTATCCACTATATATATCCATCTCAATTCCCTACGTATACAGGCATGTTCATGCATTTTAGATCTATTTGACTCTCTTTCCATACACTCAAGTATTCGGTACACTCGATGTTTATCTGGTATCTCCCCCATGGGCCCGTAGGAATAGTAAAATCAGCCCTGCCTATGCTGACAATCCTTCTGCACTTCTCCTCTGTGTCATTGATCTTGACCTCAAGGGGGTAATTATATGTAATTATTAATTACGCCACTGTCTCGCTTGCGCTGCACTATGAGGGGATACAGTATGGGGGGACGAAACTGTGGGTGTACAACGCCTGCAAAATCCTGCAACGAAACCACCCACCAAACAGTTACATTGAGCAGGTTGGCAAGGACATCTGCAGCACTGTTGCAAGAACATCAACTATAACTACGCTGTTGCGTTTTCTTGGGTGGAAAAGTCATGGACAACATGCAGTCTCGCTTCTCGACCCTAGACATACACCCAAAATGTGACTTTTGAATCTGTGTCATCTTTTTACCAGACCAAGTGATCCAAGTCCAAGTGGCATAAATCTGACCTTGGACAATGCAAAAGGCTCTGAAGGGTGAAAGCTGATCGCTCTTCGGGCATTCAGGCCGCTTCGCTGTCTGCCCAGTTGGTCCTGATCGGCTCGGCATTTGGAAGAACATGCTGCAAACCCTGTGATTTGGTGGTTACTGGCCTGTTCATTTTGGGCTCCGATATGGGGTGGTGATTTTTCTCTCTTATTCCATAGCCATAGCCTTTTTGAGACACCCATGCCATCAGCAATGGGGGATGGGCTCTGATCTTCGGCATTTCGACGGCGGTCCTTTGTTCTTGGCATCTTTCATCTGGTCAAAAATGTCCTTCCTCATTCCGGGAAGCTCTCCACGTCCCCCATCTGTGGTTTGGGCTGCACAAATCGCCACCAAAAGGAGGCTCAGAAGGTACCACATGCCGGGCTCCTTCCGCACCAAGAAAACTCAGCGCTAGAGTGCCCAAAGGCAACTGGGGATCAAAACTGCTGCACAGCTCTGACTGTCGCTTGGGCCGAAAGCAGAGCGGACAATGCAACCCTCCTGACTGTCCTGACTAAAATTCCAAAGTCTCTTATATCTTTTTTGGTCGTTCCCTTCCCTGCAGGAGGTCATCCCAGGTCCTCCCTACATCAAGATCAACCAAAACTCCAAACTCAAAAAGATTCCATAGGAAACTTCGGACATGCCTCGCGCAAGCGCTCCAGCTGTTCCTTGGCGCCACCCACGTCATTGTAAGTGACATCTGGCTTCTCCTGCAATAGGGCTGCAGGCATGATCAGCCCCATGGTTTCACGCTGAAGAAACTGGCTGTGTCGTTGAGTTCACCCTAGCGTGAAAAATACAACTGCCTCCACAGTCATCATCGTCACGCTGGGGTCAATCTTTGGGGGCAGCGGGATCTGGATCCGATACCTGGAAAATCAGCAGCAAAACAGAGACCTGGAAGCCATCTCTATGAGCGCGTGAACACCTGTACTACGTGTACAAAAGGCGCAACTTCCCTTCGCATGGGAAAACAACTACAGCTCAATGACACCATATGACAACCTTATTCTCCTCCGGTGCATAGCCCCAAAGGCCAAGCTGCTTCCCGCCATGTGATGTGTCCACACCAACCCGCATGCTCTCTTCAATGTCGGTGGCAGAAACCTTCTCACCCAAGCCGACCACAAACTTTGCAAACTCACGAATTTTGATGACATACCTCGGAAGCAGGGACGTGTTGACAGCTGGTGGAGAACCGGCACAAGCAGCAAACATCAGCGAATAAAAAATAATGGTGCTTACACTCGCGCCATTCTCCCTCGCAAGTGTGGTCAGCAGGGCTGCTATATTATATGTCCCTACCATGCATCGTTTGACCTACTCTCTACAGCTGATTTGATCGATGTGTTCAACCAATTGGCCCGTGGCAACCATCAGTCTCGAGAATCTTTTGCCACACCTTCACCCATAGTATTTTTTGCAGCCGTCTTCATCTGGGTTTCACCTTGAACCGAAACCCAATTCGGGACTAACATTGTTTCGAAACCAACAAGAACATACAAGAACACTCATCAAGGCTGGGGATATCTATGTTCATCTACCCTCTGGTTATTTAACATAGCCATGGAAAATCACCATTTTAAATAGGTAAACCATCTATAAATGGGCCATTTTCCATGGTTATGTTAAATAACCAGAGGGTATTTTCTCCCACCACACGCAGTATGTTGCTTGGTTGCTTGGTATCATCAGTTCCTGGGTCGATGATCTTGGTGACGCGTGCAACCTGCAAGGCCTGCTCCTGCACTTGGAAAATACAATGCCAGGAGGACCCATTGGTCCATGGATGACACTTGGGGGTTGCACGGACCATCACAGACCAAACAAGTTCATCCAACTTTGCCCGTTTTGGCTTCCAACCATCCCAGCTATTCCAAGTTTGGAGTGATAGGACATAGGCCGACTAAAAAGAATGCAACAAAGTCACTTGTTCTTTCCATAGTCTATGGTCGTTGCAGTGACCGGCATCTGAAATGCTTGCAGTGCGATGATGCATCACATTCTCTTCGCCCTGAGAATCTGAAAAGATCTTGCCTTGGATCCCCCAAAATGAAACAGCTCTGGTCTTTGAAAATATATAATTAATTACTGGTATTCAAGAGGATAAGGGATCCGGCAACGATTACTCTCTTGGGCCGTCCTGCTTCATCATCTGTTTGTCACCTTCCAGATCCCACTGGCTCGGGGGTGCCAGCCCTGTGTCCGACTCCTGCCGAGAGCGCAGCATGGCAGCTTGTGAGATATCAGGGCACCAATCAGTCTTGCACCCTGGCTCCTTCACGCCAATGAGCTTGTTGATCTTGCTGATGTACTCCTTTGCCTCTTTCCTCAATATGATGCAACGTGTCTGAATCAAACAATGTCCAGCAGTAGCTCAACCACTAGCCTCTGTTGCCAAGAAGCTCTGCTACTTTAATAGGCTCCACATACGGACCAACGCCTCAAACAGCGCTGCGCCATTTCTAGATTCATCTTGTTGATGCATGGTCAAGCAAAGGTCAAGCCATTGAAAACCCAGGTCCATGGCCATAAGTTCGCATGATGACGACATCATCTTCGTCCAAGGCTTGTGTTGCAGGTTCATCTTCGTCCTGTATTTGCATTGTTTTTTGCAATCAGGGCAAGGAATGTATAGTGTGGCAGCTCAAATCAAAGGCACTGACCAAAGCCAGGGAACAAACAACACTTCCACTAAATAGGTGCCATGTATCTGATTTGTGCCCGCAGGGTCCTCGATTCCTTTGCCCTGCTTATTGGCCATCTGTGAGTCCTTCCATGAGATGTCGGAAAGCGGGGAAGTGCAGTCACTATAGTCAAAAAAAGTCACAAATGAACGTACATCAATGCTTCGATCATCAATGGCTCAACATGGCCCAACAAAGGAAAGTCATTCTCACCACAACTGCAGCGTCAGCGAACTTAGGATAAAATGGCAGCTTCCAGTCCAGAGAATCTTGCGGCATGATTCCGAATTTTGGCCGCAACTAGCAGCGGTACCCAGCGGTTCCCAGTGTTCAACTACTCGCTGGCAGGTTCACTCCCTGCTCTCGAGACAGGAAAGGTCTCAGCCAATTGGCTAGCATGATGACAGTAGCCTTTTACAATGTTACAAGCTCGCAGAACCTGCAACCAATATGCAATAAGCAACACGCATTTAGACGCGTTTCCAGAAACTTAGACTAGAAACTCCAATGCATGGTGCAGCCACTACAAAAAAAAAACGACTTACAGCAAATGAACAGCGGAACGATAGCATGTCTCTACAAACCAAGTCAAAGCACGCAACCGAAGTTCCGGTCTGATAGACTGACCCTCAAGGCTCCACGCCCAACGTGCACAGCACGTTCTTGACGCCTTTCTTTTGAAGGGTCCTGATGAACTATACCTCTCTCTCTATCTCCCTGTCACTCATGGGGAATAGCTGATATGGATTGATATGGCTGAAATGGCACCCCTGCATCCCCTTCTTGGCCCTTGCCGGGAAAAAACAATTACCTTCTTCGAGTGATCCCCACCCTGAACACTACATTCTGACATAGTTTCCGACATACCATCTGGAAGTATATATAGCATACTACGGGATATAGATTCTGACATTCTCTCCAACATTCTTTCTGGCATCTACTTCATGACATTCTATCTGACATTTTTTCTGGCATTCTATCTGGCATCTATTCTGACATACTTTCTGGCATACATGCTGACGGTCTTTCTAGCATCTATCCTGGCAGTGCCCACTGAGAGCTGGCGCTGGCAGTTGAGGTCTGGCAGTGCCCACTGAGATCTGGCACTGGTTGAGGTCCGTGCCGGAGGAGGAGAAGGACGAGGAGGAGAAGGCAACTCTGATAAAATCTAGAGACCCTCACCTGGCAGGTAGGGAACAACAGGTGTCACACGTCCACCCACGCGACCCATCTCCGACTCTCCTGGCTGCAGCCACCTCAAGCATGGATCAACCCATAGATGTTCTGTTCAAAGAAAAGGCTGACCAAAGTGCAGCCGGACAGGACCTCCAATTGCCCTCCCATTGCCACAAGTCCAAGTCTTAGGCCACTTTCTCCTTCGAATCCTTGGTGCTGCGCATGCTCTCTGATTGAAAGACGAAGGTCTTGCAATGGTTTGGTTCCAAGTGGAGCTGGCCTGAAACCTAGAAACTCCAAGATGAATATGCCCTCCAGCATACTTCAGCGAAGGTGATGATGAGGATCCTGATGCTTACTTTGTTTTTTTCTGAGTTCAAGGCTGTTGGCATCCCTGTTAGCCGCTCCAATTCAGTCCTAGGCGTCTTGGAAGATGAATTCGTGATGTGATAGGTGTAGCATGGTGTATCCAAAAAGCTCAAAACAGAAAAGTCAAAGGCACTGCAGTCTTGCCTTGCACATCTCCGCATTTATGAGATTGCTCCGGGTTCGATGATCAAAGGATTTCATATTATAATTTATTATATTATATATATATATACACATATGTCTGGCAAGATTCATTGGATTAGATTGCTAGGACATACAGTAGTCTCTCGCTGACTCCAAGGCAGCAACTCATTCGGACAAATGTAGGTAAGCCTGGCAACAGGCATTGAATACTATGGCCCTGTCGCTCGCATCTTTATCCAGTCTATGACTGAATGTCCATGACGTACAAAGGGGCTGCATGTAGCTGCCACGTGCTTTCCTGTTTGCAGCCAAGCCTTCGAAGTTGCCTCAGCCCATTGGCGCAAGTTTTCTGTTGGTGTCCTGTGAGAATCTTTCGCCATCAAAATGCTCCATCCATCTCCATCCATAGATGATCTTCCTGTAGTCTTCCTGTAATCATAAATATCATAAACGATTTTAAACCTATGATATATTTTTTATGTGGGTTTTAAGCCTATGATATTTGCACTGCCTGCGGCCGTGCATTGCAGTCAACTGAAGTCGTCCGCGATAAACCTATGATATTAAACCCTATGATATTTTTTTTCCAAAGCCTGGGAGCCCAGCGCATCGGAGAAGGAACGCTCCTCACCACCCACGTCCTGGATGACGGGCACCTCGGTGAGACTTGTTGGCTCGTTGGCTCCACCAGCAACAACTGAAAGACTCAGTTGTTGGAAATGGTGTTTAAATATGTTTAATCATGGTTAATCATGGTTAATCATGGTTAATCATGGTTAATCATGGTTGTTCATGGTTATTCATGGTTATTCATGGTTATTCATGTTTAAAATCCTGAATGTATATGACATACAAATAATCATGGTTATTCATGTTATTCATTGTATATGTCGCTTACTATGCTGAGAGAGCGTGGATCAGTTGGCTGCGTTTGTGCCCTGGTCCAAGAACAATTAAGGATCACTGATGTTGTGCACATAGACCTTTTCCACCCCTTACAAGGGGCTTGACCCTTCCTTAGCATGAGCACTCAAACCATCAAAAACCTCAAGAATAGTCTCAATCACCCATCTCAAACCACCATAACCCATCATCAATCCATCATAAAGCAATCACAAACCCATCAGGAATTGCCAGGTTCCAATACGAAAATGGACATCTCCAAGTACCTCACACCTGCCTCGAAAGCCACCTGGGCCACCGCCTGCCAAACATCGCTGGTTTTCATGGCTGGTTGCTGGGGGGGGCTGTTGGCCCCACCCCCGGAAGCCATGCTTTATAAATTGTCAAATAGTGTTTCAAAACGTGTCAAACATCCTTCCGTTAAACATCTGGGAAATGTGCTTGGTGGTTTGCTGCTCCCCTACTACAAGTTGACAAGTTGACCTATGCATTAGTGGTACATGTGGTAAATCCCTCAAATCCCCACATAGTATGACTGACGAGATGATTAGACTATTTGATCAGCGAGAATCATCATTCCGTGTTGTTATTTGAAGGGATGGAAATTCACATAGTCGTGAAATCCAGCCAGTTTGAGTGGGTTGAAGACCATTGAAATCATGCCTCCAACATCATATCAAATTCATTCAAATTCAAGCTTTGTTGCATGATGATTGAATCATCCTGAAATCATTAGTAAATCCTCTATTTTCATCTATTTTCTGCCTGTTAACATTGTAGTTGGTCAATACTTCCCCCCCAATGTTGCCATAAAACCCTGCAACACGCAGCAAGCACGAAAGCCACCGAACCACCTCGTTGATGTACTCCGGGATCTCACGCTGCAAGAGCACGGCACTGGCACTCCGAATCTGCCTGCGTAGAGGACTTTCCAGAGAGCACGGCACTGGGCTTTTACTATGTTACTGACCTACTGGAGCATTGTAATCAAGCAAAAAAGGTGGTTCAATCTACAGTAATAGGAAACATGATTATAATTATAATTATAATAATTTAATGAACTACCAAAAGAGAGGTATATAACCTACAAGAATGGCGATTCATGAGACACCCAAATCAACAAGCCATAACATCATCAAAAAGTAGTATGATGTAATTAATCCCATTCTGTGGTGGTCTAAAAAATTAAGGATTAGCATAGCAATACAGGTCTATATGCAAATATACAAGCCGCAAAACTGGGTTTGAACATGTAGCAAACGTAAATCGGTTTCTTACAGCCGTGCTTCGGAAAAACTATGAAAAAGGATGTCACACATACGACTCACATACACATGATGGTTGGTTGATGTCAGAAGGGGATTGATGCTGAAAATGGGATGCCGACTAATATGCTCCCTTGATAATGGAACCCCCATACATGAACAGATTCCGGGATTTCCGGGTGTTTTTGCAGTTTCGCTTTGGAAGGGGAAGAAATTAGCTTTTCAGTACCTGCTGTAGTCGAAGCATCTGAGTCAAAGCTGTGGCATCAGCAGGTGCTCCTCTAAATCCAACGTGTGAAACCACTGTCCACATCTAGCCAATTAGGCCCATTTTGGGTCATTCGATGGTGGTTAGTTAAATGTCGATTTGAATTTTGATACATGTTTAATATATGTGCATGCCGCTGCATGCCAATTATTTACCACATTGTCATATTATATAATTATGTGTATGACAATATATGTGTAATACTATTATCCACAGTATATTTTCATATGAGCCACAAAATATAAACGTGGATAATATTATGTTTGACATACACACTATATTTTCATACTATTTTCCTCCCAGCTTCCACAAAATTTCCAGGGCCTGGCAAAGCTTGTGACCTCTTTTGGCCAGGCCACGTTGGAGCCACCCACGATGAGGATGGAGTTGGAACCTGGAGCTACGGAGCTAGTTACCCATAGGATCCATGGTGCTGCTATATATGGTAACATTTACCATCAATATACCCCCAATGTTAGCATATATACCATACATGGATCCCATGGGTTATAGTATATAATACCTATGGTGATGGTATGTTTGCAGTACTAACATAAGTAACACCTATATAAGATCTATGAATCTATAAGCTAAACATACCTAAACCATCCTTCAAACCATCCAACTGTTGTGGGGAGTTGATCATTTTGGGAAGATGAGGATCCTGATCTGTACCCATGGGATATTTTGCGAGACGACCGGAGACAGCTCTGCGCAGTAATGGCATTGAGCTCCTCTGCAAAACCCTGAATTGAGGCTGAAACCATCCTCTTCCAAGAAAATAAACGCTTGCCCTGACCTCAGTATCTCACACCATATGTGTCAAAGCTTCAAAAGTCAGTGCAACGTTCCTACACAGAAACTGTGGTGCTCATATTAAATGCAATGGGGAATCCACAATAAACCATCACCAACTTGTGGTTTATTCTTGGTATATTCTTGGCTATACCCTACCTGGGATGATTCTGAATCTCTCCCAAACGGTTGACCATTGTCGATGGTTTGAGAGGCCCCGCGGCTTGTCGGCTCGTCCGGAACCTTTGATTTCCACGCCATTGTCCTGGGCTGGGCTGGAGCGTGGACAAAGCTGGTGCGAAAATCAAAATCAGTGTCCAAACTTTGGAAACGTAAATCATCATCAAAAATCAAAACAGTAGGGAACCACTATTTTCTATCCGGCTGAGACCCTTGTGCAGTTGATTGCACCCCCTGAGAATAGAACATCCTAAGCATGAACAACTCAAATAAAAGATGAATGCTGGTTGCTATTTCTGAGAAGTGTTCTACATAAATCCATAAACATATAAATATTTATAATATATATATATATGTGTGTGTGTGTCATGGAAGGGTGGAAGGATCAAGCTATGAGGCTACGATTTCACCACATAAAATCCACCAACACCGGGTGCCAAGTCTCCACTAGGACCTTTTCCAGCTTCCCGGCATGTGAATCCTCAGATGGCATCGGATCGCACAGCAAGGTGGACCATTTTGGACCATCCCTGGCTGAGCTTCAGGCATTGCCAAACTGGCACACAAATTCTGCCTACCAGGCAAGTGACCAATGCATCATAAATATTCATAAATGCTTCCATTCTGGAGAAACATACCACCACCAATATGTCATAGTACACCTCATAATCCCATCCTCATATCAAATTCACCCCAGAAACCCTGGTTTAGTACTCTCTCTCTCTCTCTCTATTCATTTGGAATTGGATGGCGGCAAGATGCGGCAATGGGATATGATCACGGGATCGGCCAACTCGGACGACCAAATCCATGCGCCTTGCGGCTGCTACCGCTGAGTCGGGCTGCTGCAACAGCTTGGTTGGCACCTTTGCCGCCGGGAACCATGATGCCAGTGTCTGGACCTTGCGAAGCAAAAGATGATCAAAGCGATTCAGGGGACAAAGATGGACAAGCCAAAGTCAATTCCACAAAATGCAGAAAAGTAATCGAACATCATGTCATCTGTGGAGGAACAGGGAACGCACTGCGTTCTTACATGAATACTTGCAGCGCATGAACCCTGTTTTTCAATATTGCCCTGACGTGGCACAAGGGCATGTGTGTCTGGCAAGCCGCTAGCCTGAAAGCTTTGTGACGCAACTGTGGGACCCCACTTCTGGTGCCCAACGTTTCTCCCTTCTTCGGGAATCTTGAGATCCTTACTTTCGGCATACCGAACTTGCAACAAGAGAATGTGATATAATTATTGAGTCCTGTGGAGCAAGAAGTCCCGCTCGAGAAAACAGGAAGACCGGAACGCTCTAGCACTGTAGGCAATGTAGCCCGCATCTACTGCGCCATTCGGTGGCTGAGTCTTTAACTCGATGATGATATCTGCGTTCAACGAGCCACACACCTTCAGCAGGTTCCGGCTCGCTGTGAGAGTTTGCAGTGCAAGGAGATCCTCTGATATCCTCTGATCATGAAAGTGCCACATTTTTCATTTTTGAAGCAGACCAGTCAAAACATGTCACATATATAACATCAATCCTAGTCAACTTGAATTCAACGTTATACTGTACATCGCATCAAGTTGACCTTCGCAAACAGCTGGCGGTCCATTTTTCTCTTTTTTCTCGTCGGTGCCAGGGGTCTGCTGGGTCGCATCAGGGGGCCTCCAGTTCAGGCTTCCAAGCTTCAGTTGGTTTTCCGAGACAGCCCGCGCCATTGCGGAAGCCTGCGGGGTCACTTGATGAGGATATATGAGGATGACGTAGGAAAAATCATGCAAAGTGATGAAGAGTCAGGTCATGAAGAGGGGCTGGTCAATTGTCAGAAGTGTTTTTCCCAACCGCTGCAGCAATAAGAAGTGCCAGGACCAGTTGACGCTTCCACGTGCATTTGCTGATTCGGCTGAGGAAGTGCCTTCAGGCAGTTTGAAGAGATACTTCAAACGAAAGGCCTGAGCCATGCAGTTGAGCCCGGCCCCTTCCATTGCTTTTCCACATTTTCCCATGGTCACAATGTTCGAACTGGTGTAGACTGCAAAGAAGCGGCATGCGTGCTGAGTCTATATATCTTTTAAACCAATATTTAATTGTTTATAACACTGCACAACAATCTAATCGTGGTATAAATGGTATAAATAATTTCGAGCCTTTTGAACTGTTGATGCTTCAAGGTTACATCATTGCCATTGAGGTAGTACTTGTGAAGCCGCTTCTCCTTCACAAAGCCCATGCTTCCTGAGAGCGCAACGCTTTGGTGGGAGCAACTCCTACAAAGTTCCATGGTCAAGTTACATTGGACTAATGATGATTAATGGGCTATGGTCATCCCATCAATCCTGGGAAACCTCATCTTGGCCTGTTGGCCAATAAACTCCTTTCAAATGGTGGTATTGTCACATGTTATTATCCCTGACTTTTCCTGACATGGCACACAAGTTTCCCCGTATGCTGCCGAATCGCTGTACAGCCCCAAGGCCCCAAGATTTGTCACCTCTGTCTCGAGAACGCACTCGTCGGCGTTCAACTCCCTCATTTCTTGATCAAACTCCGGGCTACGGCCATGGATGGTCAGAGTGTCTGAAAATGTCTGAAAACAACGTGAAACTTGAAACCAGGCCAACCAAATCATGCTTTACACATTCATCTTACATGTTCTCTGTATTCATTTGTTTTCTCTTCAGAGCCGAGACATGCTGGAACATCTGCTCTGAATAATTAACCATATCCTCTGCAGGATCTGAAGCATCTCCAGCCAAGACTCCTCATCCTGTCCAAACAGAGCTGGACCAATTTTGATCCAATGCGTTTGCCACGAAGCTCTTTCTCAACAGCCAGCATGGCGATGTAACCTCCCACATCAGCAAAACATCCTTCCCCTACACCGCCACCCGTGGATCCCAGTGTAAAGAAAGATCTTGTCATATCCGCAGGCAACCAATTTTGGAGGGCCTCGATATGTCTTCCGACACCGGTGCGTGTCCAACTTGCAAATGATAGCCTGGGGACACCCCAATGCCCCTGAAACTGCAGGTCATGAAGAACAAGGCTCTTTTGAACTAATTCGAAAATGCAGATTTTGTAAATGCATGAGCGAGATGCTCCCACACAGCGGTCGCCCTGCATTGTCATGAAGCAAAGATCTGGCCAGTTGTTGATGAAATACCTCATGGCTCGGAATGAGCTGGGCGGGGTTGGGCCAATGTCGGAAAGATGGAGAAACAGCCATCTCTCACATGGTGAGGTTTTGGTGAGGTCTTCTGTGAGCGTTTGGTACCAAATCTCATCCTTTCAATGAAACATATTCAAAGTGCGTTCAAGATCTTTCAAGGCTTCCAAGGTGCCTGTAGGTGAACACAGAGTAAGGCTCTGAGAGGTCTTTGTCGATAAGGCTGACAATGCCTCCAGAGGCGGTTAAGTCCCAGTTAGGAATATCAACAGATTCAGCAGTAGCCTGGTTGATTCAGAACCCTGGTTTTGATCATGGATAACCTACTCACTGCCATCCACATTCAAGGCCTGGCATGTCCCGTTCATCCCGGTACTGCTCGAAGCGAATGTCTGGCACTTCTGCGCTGCCGCCAGCAATTTCTGAAGCCATAGGGTACGCCATAGCTGCTATAGCTGATCAGTCCAGGAGTCCAAGCGCAACAGCCAATCAGCTGCTCAATGTCTGGAAGGTTTCCCAACGCCTTTCCCTTTGGGGGTGACAAACCTTAACAGTTCGGTGTGTTGTCCTCGACATTTCAATTGCTAGGTATATGGAGGCCTGTTTCGGACCGCGATTGCGGAACCCTTATATGATTTTATAAGTGCTCTGCATCACAAATTAGCATGTCACCATACTCTGTAAGAATTGCAAATTGCTATTCCTTTTGCTGCTGCCGTTGTCTGCCTTCGTGTTGCCTTTTGGGTACTATCAGTAACTATCATGAATTCTGAGCCATTGCCTTCACCTAAGCGGCCAAAGGTCAACTGTGAAATGGCCAGTTCGGCCCAAAATGAGGCACCAATGACCAACTGTGGGCCCAATTGTTTCACTGAAACCAACACAAACCATTATTGCCGATTTCTTGACAACCATGTTAAGATGTTCAGTCATCGTCAATTCCTTTGATAATTTTGATGGTTCCGTCCGAAACACCGGTAGAATCCAGTATAGATCAGCTAGTAGCTTGGTAGATCCATAACCCATAGGATCCATGTATGGTATATATGCTAACATTTGGGGTATATTGATGGTAAATGTTACCATATATAGCATACATGGATCCTATGGGTAATTAGCTCCCACAAAAAGAGCTGGGTGCACTGGGTACCATACCAGCAGTGGCTTCGCCTCGCAATCCAGGCTCTTTCGACTACCTGGCGAAAAGAGGTGCACCGTGGTGCACCATGGCAACTGCCGCGAAGCGGAGGCTTTTGCATTTTATTGCACCATGAACTCATAAGTATGAAGTTGTCAGAATTTGACTCTTTAGGAACTCTGGATATAGCATGATACTCAATGATACCTGATAAATCCTGATAAGATATTTCTATATATTTCTTATTTATCACTATTTATCTAACACATGTGCAGCATCTTGCAGCAATGTTTTCATATGTTTCCATCAATGAATCACCGGTCAAATCCTGGTAGCATCTACCAGGCACCTGCTTGGCTCGCCAGCACCTGCGGGTTGACCCAGTTGAGTATTTCAGATCGTCTCAGGTATGATGGGAAAAACAAAAAAAAACGGAAAAAGGGACACACAAACATATAATACAGTATAAATCAATATTAAATATACACTGTCAAAATATCAAAGCTATTCGAAACTCACAAAAAAATACACCAGCCCATCACCAAATTGCAGAACTGTCAGCATTGTCTAAACAAAAACACCGCTTTCTTTCGAGGCAAGGACAGCGACTCCTGCCGCAGCTAGTCCAGCGGCCCACCATCTGTGGCCTTGTGGCGATCATGGACAAGTGCCATGAGGTTTGGATAGTTTTATGGTAATTACTGGAATCTTAGATAAACGGATTTCCACTTCATGGATTATGATCATCCTCAATGTATTGTGGCATAATATCATAATGATGGATAATGCGGGTAGTATAACTTCTGCTGTCACCAAGGCCAAACTATCTCTTTTCTCCCTATTCCGGCCAACATTGCGTTTCTGCGAGTCACAGGATGACAAACATCATATCTGATGGCATTTGAATGTCAGGGTCGACACTTGCCGTCCGTAGAATCCGTAGCATTGGGCATACATGCTGGTCTGCTTGAAAAACTCTGCATTATATAATCCAACTCATGCCAGGACATGGCACCAACATGCACATCACAAAGAAACTAGGACGACCTTGGAGCTTTCGTTTGAAAGATGTCTTCCACTGCTGCACAACTGCATCAATGAATGAACCACATGGTTTTTGCCAGTGTGATTCCTGAAAAATCAATGGACTAACTGGTTGATAGCCGCGTCTTGCAGCGGGCACTAGCTGTTGAAGGCCAGTTGGCAACACAATTGCCTGACATGGATGTGGAAACATTTTTTTTTATCGGCAAACCCGAAGGTGTTCAATAATTTTATCATCTTCATTTTTCTTCAATTGTCCGGATGGTGTGGTTGATATTGTTCGATAACTTTGCAATCGAAAGCAGTTTGTTCCCATCAGTTTACCCGGTTTTGCAAGACTCTTTAACGGGTTTATCGTATGAAACCCCGGAGTGGCGTGCAAGGTCGTGATCCGCCGCACCACATCTCTGGAGTTTTGTTCCCTGAAAATCTGCTACAAACTTGCTTTGCAAGTTGCAACAACTGCAGCAACTGTAGTCCCAAAAACCCAGAAGTCTTCTAACCAGGATGCAAAAAAACCATGAGTTCTGCAATCATATTTGACAATGACTGCTATTTTGCACTGACTTTGGGACCGAAAAATCCGCTTGACTCAGCAAGAACGTTTTTCTTCAGTCACTGTCAGCCCTGACAGGCAAAAGGACAATAAGAGGGCCAGACCAAAAGTTTGTTTCAACAACAAAAGGGTTTGGTCGAGATCATCAACTCTGCAAAATATGGATGGGTCATGCTGGGTCAATACAAACAACAACCAATTTGGTGTGCTATCCCAAATTTGACCCACACCGACCACATGATGACCTTTGGAATCGATGGCATCTATCCAACCTATTCATCATTTCATCAAAAATCAGGCCATCTGGAAGCTCCATTTGCTCTCGCATCCCACTGCTCTTCACGGAACTCATGGGATACTGACCACAAATATAGTGGTTTACATATAAATATAAAATATCTAATGTAAAAATATATATCACATGTATATATATATAAATTATAAAATTCAGTTAAACAAATACATAAAATACATGTTATAAACTGTACATTAATATAAATGAAAAAAATAATTATATATATATATTTGTATGTAGTGTAAAATGTGTGTCTATAAATATAAATAATATATATATATATAATATGACCCCGTCTCCGCCCACGAGACCCCCCCCCCGAAAGGGTTGGGTCCCCCAGGAATACCCCTCTACCTCGTATTGTGCTGGTATTTGGTACCTCTTGGCATATCTACCCATGCATTGCACATACTAAAGTCAAACTCCCTACCTACGACCTGTTCCTACATATATATGATCCCTTATACCCCTGGTAAACCATCTTGCTATATCTTATGCCTGTATACCACCTATATACTTTCTACATGCCATATAATTACTATCTATGCACTATCTACATAATACCTATATACTACCTAGAAGCCATCTATAGGATCTATGTACTATCTATATGCTACCTATATGCTACCTAAATTCTATTCTATTATTCTATTCTATTCTATTCTATTCTATTATATTCTATTATTCTATTCTATTCTATTCTATTCTATCTATATATCTAATCTATCTAATCTATCTATCTATCTATCTATCTATCTATCTATCTATCTATTACGTATCTGTACTTGGTCATGATTTGTGCATATCCTACACGTACCTAGTATCTTATACTATCTTGTGTCAATATAGCCCTCACGCACCGGACCGCACCCACCCAGAAGGAGCGAGGGAGGGGGAGGGAGAGAGAATATACCCACTTATATACCAACTGTATATGTAATCAGGTGCGTATATATATATATATATAATATGTATATCTATCCTTTACTTACATACCTACCCCACAGGGGGGAGGGGGAGATCACCGGTACCTATATACCTACATGAGCTCATACATATCTATATATTCCTTGACCCCCCATATGGGGATCATCACCACCTTTGTACCTATATATTGTCACATATCCCTATAGACCACATGGATCTGTAGACGTACAGTATCCCCCCATGACCATACTTGATCACCTATTTAGAGGGGACGGGATCCCATATACTTACATACCCCCCGTAGTTACATACCCACCCCCACCCACCCACAAGGGGAAGGGGGCGGCGGGGATCATCACTACCTTTTTACATGCACATAATGTATCCTCAAATATTGACATAGCCATCCCCACCCACCCACAGGGGGGGTGCGGGGATCATCTCTTCCCCTGGACCTGTAGACGGATACCCTTTGAGGGGGATGGGGGAGACAGGGAGGGCTGCATCATATATATATATATATAAAATAATTATATGTATATGTATATATGTATATATATATGTGTGTGTAAATAGTGTATGTTTGCAAACATACTGTACACCGTGTAGTGCACCAAACATATTCAAATATAATATCTTGATGACATCTTCTAGCATCTCTGCCTTTATCTGCTCTTGCTGCTCCACTCACCAGCTTTGGCGCACCTTGAAGAGGAAAAGGAAGCCCTCCGAGAATGCTCAGCTCCTGACATGAAAATCCACAGCTTTTTCGGACCCTGACATGACATAACTTTATGACTGACTCTATATATGTATATATATATATATACGTAGATATAGAGATTCAGTAATATTTCGCCGGGTGGTATTTGAAATTAGGGGGATGGGCCCGTGGGTGGGATTTCCTACCCTCCATGGTCCTAGTCACGTTTATCCTTTTTGGGTGCACAAAATGGCGCATATGGCAGTTACCAAAGAAACAAAATCAAACAAAACTCTTTCCCTGATGATTTGCTGCCATTGGTGGCCCACAACCAGGGCATCATGTCCAGCCTGCATCATGCGGCCGATTGAGGGCCAGCTGCTGATTTACAACCTGAGCAAGTAGATTTTGAAACGTTCATTTCCCGCCGTCTCTCCAGTTTCCTACCAGTTGCACGGTTCCCAGGGCCTCGCGATCAACGCCAAATTTGCCGCACTCTTTGAAATCGATGCAGCCAAGAAACCTCTAACACCTCTTGCAGGTGACTGAACTCATCCGCGGTGAACTTCCGAAGGTCTACAATGTCCTCCAAGTCAAGGAATGGGATCGGGGGAAATTAAAGAACTAAGAACTTGATGATGCAGCGTGCGTCCTTGACAGTTGTCTGATTCGAACCACGCAAAGTCAATATTCCCTTCATAAAGTCGCCAAAAGTGAGAGGTTCACCATCTTCAAAAAGCAACTTACCTGAAATTCGTTTCAAGCGGGTGTTCAAAACCCTGCGTTGGTAAGACGAGGGGCATACGATCATTGTGTTTGCAAATGCGAATTCGTGCTGCCAAACGCTTTCCCACAAATATCTGATCGTTTGCAAACACCCATAATAAACATATTGAATAATTTGAATGTGTTTCACTGTTCCAATTTGAAACTGTGGGTTTAAATCCTTGAGAGGCTGCAGTTCACACCAACATAGTTGGTAGTTCCGGCTATTTGCCCCGGATTTTTTCTCACCTTTCAAATGCCCGCATCCCATTAATAATACATAGTTACATAACTGACTGTACATCATGATCATCATGGCATCCATTGTGACCTCACTGATACCATTACGTGATGATCAGCCAAGTTGAGGTGTGACCAACAAACAATGGGATATATACTGTCCACAACTAAATACCACACCATATTCATTAGCAATCAACCCCGTTGTCAGTAAAGCTTTATCATCCCATCAGAATAGTATCTACATGTACAATCATTTACATGCACACATAAAAAAATAAAAGTATATATATATATATAGATACAGAATAGATATATTCGATCCCTAAAGGTCGGCGACTGCGGCCATAGTTGCCATAGTCCAGGGCAGCATCTACGTCTACACCAAGGCTGGTCAAAGCCGTCATGGCCTGTCTGTGACGTGTTTCGTTCATACCAGTAGTACGGCGCAAGGCGGTGGCGGAAGTTTGAAAGATAGGAAACCTAGAGGAAATGTGGTTTGAAGTGAAGCATTGGTGGCAGAGCGAACCCACTGCTGGACTGAAAGGTGGTTGAGGCTCCGAATCTCTCTGTCTCTCTCCCTCTCTCTCTCTCTCTTTCTCTCTCTCTCTTTTTCTCTCTCTCTCCCTCTCTCTATATATATATATATCTCTCTCTCTCTCTCCTTCTCTCTGTGTCTCTCAATCTCCCTCTATCTCTATCTATGTCTATCTCCCTCTACCTCTCTATTTGGCTCTCTATCTATCTACCTGTCTATCTACCCGTCTATCTACCCGTCTATCTACCTATCTATCTGTCTGCCTGTCTATCTACCTCCCTCGCTCTCTCACACTCCCTCTCTATCCATCGATGAACCTATCTATCTATCTGTCTGTCTGTCTGTCTGTCTGTCTCTCTGTCTCTCTGTCTCACGCAAGGCTCCATCTAGCAACAGCTATCTCCTTCTCTCTCACTATCTTTGCAGTTCTCCATCCGTTTCTCTGTGTCTCTGTCCACCTCTCCCGTCGCAATATCTCTCTATTTCTCTGCCCACCATCTTTCTCAGCCTCTTTGCCTATCTATCTATCTATCTACCTATCTATCTACCTATCGATCTATCTATCTATCTATCTATCTGTCTGTCTATCTATCGATCTATCTATCTATCTGTCTATCTATCTGTCTATCGATCTGTCTGTCTATCTATCGATCTATCTGTCTATCTTTCTTTCTATCTAGCTGCTTATCTATCTATCTACCTACCTATCTACCTACCTACCTATCTATCTGTCTATCTACCTACCTATCTCTCTCTCTCTCTCTCTCTCTCTTTCTCTCTCTCTCTCTCTTTCTCTCTCTCTCTCTCTCTATATATATATATATATCTCTCTCTCTCTCTCTCTGTCTCCCTGTCTATCTGTAAATCTGTCTTTCTATCCATCTATCTATGAAACTATCTCTCTGTCTGTCTTTGTGTCTACCTGTCTGTCTGTATACTTATCAGAAGGGAAGCAATGATGCCAGACTTCCTTCAAAAGCGGAAGTTGTCAGATCCAAAACGAAGTAATTCTGCAAGGCTTCCCTCAAAAGTAGAAGTTGGAAGATCCAAAACGAAGCACTTCTGCGAGACTTCCTTTAAAAAAAAAGTAAGTTGACAGCTGCAAAACGGAGCAGTTCTGCGAGGCTTCTTCAACTTTTGACACTTGCACCGTCAAAAACGAAGCACTTCTGCCAGACTTCCTTCAGAAACAGAAGTTGAGCGTAGAGCTGACAGCCTCGTACCAATGCGTTTTTCCATTTTCCACATCTGTCTAAAGTATTGACTGCGGCTGCCATGAAAAAGTGAGGCCAGGACACACGAAGTGCTGCACCTGTCACGCAAAATCATCTTGGGAAACCTGAAGGTCCAAAATGCAACCCTTCTCAGGAAATCTGCGCCTTGACCTCCAAAACTGATGGAAGTGTCTCTTGTACTGCGCCTGCCACGCGAAATGCATCTTGGCAGGTCCCCTGCAAACGTCCCACGCCTGCCATCGGTTGAGAAACTGTTGCGAAACCCACAAGTTGGGCTCACTTTTACAAGGTGCAGCGTCCATTGCGCCTGCCACTTAAAACGCGCTTGAACCTCCAAAAGTGGTCCGGACATGTGGCGCTTTTAACATTTTGTCTTCGAAACGCGCTTCGCGGCAGAACCGCGCGCACTTTTTCAACAACTCAACTTCCAAAGGTAAGCGCTCCAAACCTGGTGTGCTTTTAACATGTTGATTTCCAAATTTGCTTCGCGCCACAGCCGCGTGCGATTTTTGAGTAGCTCGACTTCCAAAAGCGTTCCGAACCTGAGACGTTCTTGATATTTGCACTTTTTGAGTAGCTCTGTCAGCTTCCAAAAGCATTCCGAACCTCTTCGCGCCACAGCCGCGTGCACTTTTTTCAACAGCTCAACTGCCGAAAGTGCTCCGGACATGAAACGTTAGCAATTTTTAACCTCTCATCCGGCCAGATGGCTCCGCACCTGCCGCTTTAGCGAGCCTACTGTTCGATCCTCCAGAGCCACAAGACATTGCAAACAGACAATGTCGCGACTTTTCTACCTTTTCGTGCGCTCCAATCTTCTTCTACTGATTGTCTCTTCTGTGACTCTTTCTCTTCTCTGACTCTCCTCACCACTGTTGCTGCATCTGTCCATAAGTCGGAAGTTTGACTTCTAAACTTCCTTCGGTAATTATATTGCACCAAGAATATAGAATTATCACAACTTTTTGGCTATGTACTGTACATATATATTTAAAAAATGCATGTGCGCGTGTGCCATACACATGGGGTACCAGCAGTATCGCACAAAGCGGTGGAGGAAGTTTCAAAGATAGGAAACTATAGGGGACGTGGGTTGTTGTGATGCATGGATGGCACAGCGATGCACTGATGGGCCGAAAGGTGGTTGGAGTTGTGCTTTTTGGAGTGGATGCAGTGGTCACCTCACCCACAACTGCTGGATGTAGCGTGGTGTAGCGACACGTAAATGTAGTTGTATTATACCCTCAGCGACTTGGGGGGGGCCTTGGTGGTTACATTGTAGGCCCTAAAACGGTGGTCTAAAATGGATTACCTATTCTAAAAACGAAGATTCTCAGCACACTTTAGACCAGGGGGGCTATGCTGAAGCTGAAGGTCTAACATTGAGTACTTGTGAAGCTACATACTGATGTATTTTGATGCAAGAGCACAGATATTTGGGGACATGTAATGAAATGTATGAATAACAACTGTTGAGTTAAAAAGTATTAAGGCATAACTAAGGGGTGACTGAAATCTCAGATATTTGGGGACATGCAATGAAATGTATGAATAATAACTGTTGAGTTAAAACGTATTAAGACATAACTAAGCGGTGACTAAAATCTAATATTAAGCATCATATGCGGGTAACTAACCCAAGTGTCTGAAGTAAATGTCCGATGATATAAGATATTGATAGTTATTGGGCCATACAAAAGCCCAAGCAGATGCATGCTAGACATTTTCAACCCCACTCTTTAGTCTGAACTCAGCCGCCTCCAATTATTTCGCCGGATCTCCCTAAACATGTCAAAGCTTGGTCTTTGAGCAAGGTGGTGGTGTTTATTTTTTTTTCTTCACCCTACTGGCTGGTTGTTATATTTTTCTTTTTGACCAACGTATATAATGTATTCTTGGATGGGTATGAGTGTGGTATAGTGGTTTTGGGGAGGTCTGGAGTGGTTTGCCTCTAGTCCCATTGAGGTTTATCACGGCTCTGTATGGGGGAAATCACCTTAGACCCCCTACCCATTGATCACGAATCAAATGTTGTTTGTTGGGTGGATATGCTGGTTGACTTCATTTCCTGTAACAGCAGCGGGGTCACGCCAAAACATGTCAAAGCTTGGCCTTTGAGCAAAAAGGTTGTGTTTCATCTTTCTTCACCCTACTGGCTGGTTGTTATATTATTCTTTTTGACAAATGTGTGCATATATATATAGATAGATAGATGGATATATATATATAGAGTGTATTCTTGGATGGGTATCAGCCTGGTATTGTGCTTTAGGGGAGGTCTGGAATGATTTGCCCCTGGTTCCATTGAGACTTATCACGGCTCTGTATGGGGCAAATCACCTTAGACCCCCTGCCCATTGATCACCAAGTCAGTTCATGTTTGCTGTTTGGCTTCATTCTGAAACTTGGTCTTTGTTTTTTTTGTCTTTGGCTATTAGTTTTTTTTCCTTTATTCCGGTGCTGCATGTTTTGTTTTCTTTTTGCGACCAATGCGTTTTTGGATGGTATTGGAACAATGTGGTGGAAAATTCAAGGCTACTACAAGATCTTATTGGGTGAGGAGTGAGGGTGTGGATAGGCTTGTGGTTGATTGATGTTGAGTGGGTGGATTTGCTGGTTTTAGCTCGTTTCCTGAAGCTTGGCTGCGCCTGCCCTGTCCCTGGCGTACTTGCTAGAATGCCACAGAATCAAGAACCTTGACAACTCATCATCATGCACCATCCGCATCTGTGAAATGTTGGGTCAGTTTATGTGAAACTTTTTTGTAAGAGGGCATGCTGCGGACATGCAGGATCCCAACCGGAACGGAATGAAATCATGCAAGCGGGGTTCTGGAAGGGTTCAGTAATCATGCAATCATCTGAATATATAAATCCTGTATGCCATCCAAGAATATGATTGGTTATTGGTTTATACATAATACATTATATTTTCTGATGTTCTTGGCTATTCCAATTATACTACACTTACAGGGGTCTATAATGCTAGCTGGACAAGGGTCTACAATGCGTACAATGCATCATGTATCATCTTAGACCCTTGGCTTGGCATACCTCAAGGTACGCCGGTTTCAGACCTTAAGTATGATGGTATGTTGTAGTTGTATTTGTAGTGTAGTTGTCGTTGTCGTTGTTTGCCATGTAGTGGTAGTGGTAATGGTTTTGGTGGTGGTAGTCGGAGTTGTAAAATTATCAGTAGTAGCAGTAGCAGTAGCAGTAGCAGCAGCAGGAGGAATAGTAGTAGCAATAGCAGTAGCAGCAGCAGCAGTAGTAGTAGTCGTCGTCCTCAGTCGTCGTCGGCGTACGTCGGCGTCAGTCATCGTCAGTAGTAGTCAGTAGTAGTCAGTAGTAGTCAGTAGCAGTAGCAGTAGCAGTGGCAGTAGCAGTAGCAGTAGCAGTGGCAGTAGCAGTAGCAGTAGTAGCAGTAGTAGCAGTAGTAGTAGTAGTAGTAGTGGTAGTGGTAGTGGTAGTGGTAGTGGTAGTGGTGGTGGTGGTGGTGGTAGTAGTAGTAGTAGTAGTCGTCGTTGTCGTCGTCGTCGTCGTCATCGTCGTTGTGGTTGTTTTCCTTGTCCTCGTCGTTGTTGTTGCTGTTGTTGTTGTTGCTGTTGTTGCTGTTGTTGCTGTTGTTGTTGCTGTTGTTGCTGTTGTTGCTGGTGTTGCTGTTGTTGATGTTGTTGTTGCTGTTGTTGCTGTTGTTGCTGTTGTTGCTGTTGTTGCTGGCGTTGCTGGCGTTGCTGTTGTTGATGTTGTTGCTGCTGTTGCTGTTGTTGCTGTTGTTGCTGCTGTTGCTGCTGTTGCTGCTGTTGCTGCTGTTGCTGCTGCTGTTGCTGCTGTTGCAGCTGTTGCTGCTGTTGCAGCTGTTGCTGCTGTTGCAGCTGTTGCTGCTGCTGTTGCTCTTGTTCTTGTTCTTGTTCTTCTTGTTGGTTGTTACTGCTGCTGTTGTTGTAGTATTGTTGTATTGTTGTCATTGCAGTGTAGTGATAGTCAGTGCGGTGGAATGCAGTGTATTGTAGTTGTAGTTGCCGTGTGGTGTAGTGTAACGCAATGTAGTGTAATAAGTGTAGTGAAATGTATACAGCAGTGTATTGTAGCCTTGTGAAGTCTTGTGTAGGTGTAATGTAATCTAACCCGGAGCCACAAAACATTGGATAAACAAAGTGTTTCGCGACTTTGCTACCTTTTTGCGCGCCTTGATCTTTTCTTCTGCCTTTCTCTGAACTTCTTTCTTCTTCCGTTCTCTTCTCTGGTTCTTCCCACCTCTACTGCTTTATCTGTCCATATTGTCGGAAGTTTGACGCCTAAAGTTCCTTCCATGATATGCAAATAACTATAGAATGCGATCTATCGATCTATCTACCTATCTTTCTGCCTATATATTTAATATATGTGTGTATATGTATGTATATATATATATACATATGTATCATCGCTGTTATTGTTGCTATTACTACTCTTATTTACACATGCTCTTCCAGGTCTCTCCAATAAACGCTCTAAATGGACAAACAACTTCAGAATGCATCACACGAGGCCTCTGGCTTCTGGAGGACAGCCATGTACTCCTGTGCGAGAGCGTATATTCTTCAGAGTCCACAGTCAGCTGCTGGTGGTGCTACCTGCTACCTGCCTTTTATTTGAGGGATACTGCTGGGTATTTAATCTCGTGCTCTAGATGGGAAGGGCACAGCTATCACAAGCCTACCAACAAACAAAATGGACGTACAAGACCACCACACCAATATTGTCAACAAGCATGGTAGAGGGACTCCCCACAACCAGCAAGCAGCAGCGCATGTGATGCTTCTGGCAAGTTTCCTAGACCATACCATCAGCTACCTGGCAGGGACCCTGGATATCACACTGTAGACCCTAAAAACGTGGTCTGAAGAAGAGTTACAAAGCTAAATCACGAAAAACAATCTCAATGGTCTAGACCCTTGGACCTTACAGATGCTGAAGGTCTGAAGACGTTTACCCATGCGTCAAAAATACCAAAAAAAATGTTCCAAACAACATGTTTTCTCTCGCTCATTTTTTTCTTCGCTGCTGTCACACGTTTTTCACCAGTGCTCTTGGGCTCTTGCCATGAACATCCACACTTCAGGAATGGTGCAAATCAGAAAAAATCTGAAAATTTCATTCAGATTTTAATTAAATTTAAATTTAAATTAAATTATAATATTTTCAGAAAAAATCTGAAAATTCCAGATTTTCAGAAAAAAATAACAGAAAAATGTGAAAAATTCAGAAAATTTCAAATTTTCAGAAAAAAAGATCGTAAAAAATCTGAAAATTTCAAATTTTAAGAAAAAATCTGACAAAATCAGAAAAAAAAATCCGAAAATTTCAGATTTTCAGAAAAAAATCTGAAAATTTCAGAAAAAAATTAAAATTTCAGAAAAAATCTAAAAATCAGATTTTCAGAAAACATCTGAAAAATTCAGAAAAAATCTGAAAATTTCAGATTTTCAGAAAAAATGAAAAATTCAGAGAATTTCAGATTTTCAGAAAAAAAACTGAAAAATTCAGAAAAAATATGAAAATTTCAAATATAAGAAAAAATATGAAAAAATCAGAAAAAATCCGAAAATTTCAGATTTTCAGAAAAAAAATCTGAAAATTTCAGAAAAAAAATCAGAAAAAAACTGAAAACATCAATAAGAATCTGAAAATCTTACTTTAAAAAAAATATCAGAAACAATGAAAAATCAAAAAAACATATAAATATATAATTTTCATAAATAAATCAAACTTACCCAAAAAATAAAAAAACTATTTTAATGCAAGTGAATATTGAAAATAAACTATGTTTCAAAAATACTACAAATTATATTAAGTTACTGAAAAATGGTGCCGGAGAGGCTATCCAGACCTTTGGGGGTCATTGGAAATCTATGGGTGCAAAAGCCTACAAATAAAATGCATTGGAAATCTAGTTGTGCAAAGGACTAGACCTAACATGGTTGGTCAAAAAAACAGTCTTGATCAGTGCCAGAAAGGCTGTCCAGACCTTTGTACGACCTGGGGAATCTAGCGTGGCGAAGGTCTAGAAACACAATGGCCAGCAAAACCAATCTGTGTTGATCAAGGCCAGAAACGCTGTCCAGACCTTTGGACAAACTTTGGAATCTAGCTTGGCAAAGGTCCAGGGCTACAATGGTCAGCAAACCCAACCTGTCTTGATCAGTGCCAGAAACGCTGTCCAGACCTCTGTAAGAACTGGGGAATCTAGCTTGGCAAAGGTCTAGAGCTACAGTGGTCAGCAAAACCAACCTGTCCTGATGATTGCCAGAAAAGCTGTCCAGACCTTTGAAAAAAAACAAGATCTGCCTTACATCTTCAAAGTTGAAAATTATGGGACATCCATATATCATGTCCAACATAGACACGCTCAAGGGTCTATAGTACCTTAAATGCAGAGGGTCTACAGTGCTCTAGGAAATACTCTAGACCCTGGGCCCCTGAGGCCTGGAGGGTTGGGTACTCTAAACCTTATGTAGTTGAGGGGATCCTAGACCCTAGTTCTCTGCCAGGAAGCAAAGAAACTGAGTGAACAGAAGTTTTTGCGTGGACATGCGTCCCATGTGATTGATATCACACATACATAATCATACGTATCTATGTGTGTATGTGCTTCTCGTAGATGGGATACTGCTCTGCGACTAGAAAAGGGAATAAAGAACAACAAAAATATACCGGCAAGAGACCCCAAACAACGTATAGTTAGGATTCTAAGGGGAAGAAATCATCAATGGCTCCAACCTAGTAGAACGAGAGTGACCCTAGTAGTGAAAGCATTGTGTTCAGTCAAGGTGGTCCCTGGAAGAAGAGATGCCAGGTTAGATTCTGCAAAATCCCTTTGTGAACATCTCTGTAGAAGCTGCTGTGCACGATCCCTTGTAAGGCTATCTGTACAAAGTCTCTACAAGAGATCTCCGCAGAATATCTCTGTAAGAGATCTCAGGCAAGATGCCTGTTCAAGCTCTCTATAAAAAAATGTCTGAGCAAGATCTCGGTTCTCTTCACCGGGTCTCTATACAAGATCTCTGTAAGAGGTCTCCTGGCAAGATCTCTGCACAAGATCTCTATAAAAGGTCTCTTGGCAAGATCTGTAAGAGGTCTCTTGGCTTCACCAAATATTGCACCTGCCACACAAAATGGCCTCCAAACCACCTTTCATTTTGACCCACACCTGCCAACGTTTTAGCAACGCCCGGCAAGTGCCGGGCTTGCCACGCGGATGAAAAATGCCCGATGTCCTGCAATGTCCTGCACCTGTCATGCGAAACGACGCTTTAGACCTCAACATGTCCCGAAAATGCCACGCCTGCCACGAAAAATGCGCCTAGCCCAAAAAACGAGCACGACGCGCTACGGCGCGCTAGTAAAACGAGACCTTCGGAAGAAAGGTCTCCGCGACACTGTTTGTGCTGTAAGGGTCGGCAGAAACCGCAAACCTATGAGTCCACCAGGCCTTTAACTTTTACCGTAGGAACCCCAAGTGTGGCCACACTGTTTGGCGAATAAAGAAGATATCAACCACTAACCAACTGGGATGGACATCCAGGCAATTTTCAGGACGGACTCCTCTTCAGATATGCAATTGTCGCCATCTGTGTCAGCCTCTCCTGGACACTTCCAACTAGCGGCTTTGCTCCGACTTTGGGCAACAGTGAAGCTTGGTCCAAAACACGCGGAATCTGCAAATCCGATAAAAACCATATCCCTGCCATCCTACCACTTTTTTCGATAAACCATGTTCAAAAGGCTCAAGAGACTAAAGCGAAAAAAGGGTAAGGATGTTATCTTGTGCTTAAACAGCTTATCTCACAAGTGTAGGCCCCACTCTCCTCTGCTGATGAGATCCCACAGAACTCGCTTGGCAAAGTCCACTTCCAGCTGCTCCCTCTCAATGGTTGAAACTGTCTTGATGGCCTGGCCCGAGTTGGGATCGCTTCATTTGCTTGTGAATAATTACCCTGCCTGCATGCATATAAAAGCAATCAGGAATCCTCTGAAGCCCTCCAAAAGCCCGGATCTCAACATGTTGGACATTAAAGCGCGCCTCCACTAGCACACCCAAAAGCATATTCATCACCGTCAAAGATCCGAAGAAAATGAAGGTCAACAACAAGAAGCCTGAAGCTATTTAAACAAGCCAAAGCAGTCATAGTAAAAACGACTCCCCGCCACGAATGCCGTGATAATCAAAGCAATTGGGCCGCCAGCCAGTGCCCACCCAACAAAACACGAAGAATCATACGTGTCATTATCATGGCAACGATGTTGGACACAAATGAGCAACAGTGACCTTGGAATCCTTGGACCTTCCGAACATGCCAAACTAAAATAATCCAAGTTGCTCATCAAGAAACTTTCCTGCGCAAGTTGAAAGCCACATAAGTTGCATATCTATTATGGCGAATCTATCCAAAGCCAAGCTTTTGAAACTGTCCGTCATATGATCATGGCGGGATTCACCCACCCACCCTGAAAAGTGACCCCCCAATTATACGTTCCTGTTTCGAACTTACAAGAGCGAATCTTAACCAGATCTATCATTGGGAGGCCGCCGAAAAAGGGGTCAGCAATGGGCGGCAGGTCCTCAGTAACGGAGCGGATCAAATCCTCCTGATCCGTCAGGATACATTTCAAGATCAGCGTGGTGACCGCTTCACCTGGGATAAAAAATGCTGCGAATGGTCAGGGAACAGCCCGGTACCATCTGGTACCTGCGATTGAAACATGAAGATAGTAATCCAACATAGAGTTAATTGATTGTTTGGGTTCATCCAAAACCAACATAGCTGGTATATAATGGTATATACATATTGGGCCTTCCACTCATTCCATTCATTTGATGAAATCATAAGCAACTTGAGCCATACGCTGGAGAGTTGTGCAGGTTCAAAAAGCCAGTAGCCAAGGTGCCCATAGTGCCAAAAGTGCCTCTTTCCAAATTTGTGTCCCTGGCAAATTGGACAAACGCCACCGCGAAGACATAAGTAATCAGCAGGAGCAACAGCAATGTAAAGAACCTCAGTTTTCACTGGCATTTGTTCTTCCAAACGATGGACAGTTAACATCATGCAACCGTCAACCTTGGATTGATAAACCCTCGTGAATTAATTCGACATATTTCATCGGATGCCCAGGGATGCCCCAGGGCTTTTCCGAGGACATCATCCACCAAGGCACACCGAGCGGAATGCCACCATCATTCCTGGAGGAATTGCAGGGTCTTGAGTCTGACTCTCGAAGGCAGCAACTACAGTATGATACAAGTGGAGCAAACACAAACACATTATTTTACCCCAACGCTTTATGCATGGAATATTTATACAATAGTTACACATATAAAAAAAAACGAGATAGTGGCCGGCCGTGCCGGGGCAGAAGTTTCGAAGAAGACCAATAAATATAAGAAACCAGTGGTCTATTGGAATGTTTGCGAGATGCAGAAGCAATGAACATTTTGAGAGGTGCACCAGAGAATGAGCAAATGGATGAAGATGCCAATGGAAAAACATGAAATGAATGAACTGACACAATCATGGCCGAATGAGACACCAAATAAGTAAATGAATAAGTAAATGAGTCAATGAGTGAGTGAGTGACTGAGTGAGTGAATGAATGAATGAACGACTGAATGAACGACATAATGAAAGACTGAAGAGCAATGAATGAATGAATGAATGAATGAAAGGAAGAAAGGAAGGAAAGAATGAACATGGGAAGGCATGAATGAGTGAATCAATGAAGCAATCAAAGAACAAATCATTGAAAGAGTGAATCAACGAACGAGTGACTGAGAGAATGGGTGAATTAATGAATGAGTGAGTGAATGAATGAGTAAATGAAAGAATGAAAGAGTGAAATAATGAAAACAATGACAGGATGAAAGAATGAGAGAATGAACGAATACATCCGCCCAAACATTGACCCAAATGTAGGTTTAAAAAAATGTACAAGGACGAGCATGTGGGTTATTTGAAAGTTATTTGTATCACCGTTTATATTACGGTTGGAGTCGAACATCACAAACATATACAAACATACAAAATCATACAGTAAAATACATACATGACATGTGTGGTCGTATCTTGTTCTCCTTTCTCGTCGTGTGTTTACTTGATCGTCAAGGCCGGACAACTTGATTGCAATTCTGTCGCACGACTTGGGGGATGTCAGCGTTCAGTTGAAGTTGCAACGGCCACAGGTACTCTGCTACTGGTACGTTGCTACACAAACAATGGGCTGGGGAAGGACGGATAATGTTCCTTCTACCTTTCAAGTGAAGTTGCACCAGCTTGATGTTTCATCATGTTGCATCAAGCCCTACGAAGGGTAAGTGAATTCTGCTGTTCATGTTCACAGAGACCTGCAAACTCTAGTGAACAGAGTCTTGTTGTGTTCTTGTTCTTGTGCCTTTTCGTACTAGACCCTGCTTTGGTATGCTTTGGCAATGTCAAGAATGCTGACACTGGTTCAATGCCCGGATGGGAAGGATATTGAACAGGACCTCCCTACATATGATGGCATATAGATAGATAGAAACCATGGCTTGCTGCAGGGTTTCCCATGAACACCAAGTTTTATGGCATTTCTTAAAGTCTTAAACTTACCCTCACTTTCAACCCATCATCCCCATATCATATTCATTGATTCAATTGAGCCATCCATGGCCGTCCTTTGATGAGAATCATCAGCTCCGGCATTAACCGCACCAGGCGCGCCATCCGCGCGGTTCGCAGCACTCGCATGACGCGAGCCACACGTAACACGGATGCACCGGAGGACATACCGCTGCCACTTCCGTTGGTGAAAGCATCGATCACTGGAACCACCCAAGTTTCCAAGATCCTCAGATGACCCCAGCGGTTGTCATGTAGAAAATAATGTGGCAAAAAACACACACAAAAAAAAAAAGTCATCACTGCAACCCTTTTTTCTGATGGGTTTTTAACGCTTAATTACACAACAATCATGAGTCAACTTGCAATAATTCTGGACTTGTTGCTTGCAGGACAGCTTTCGGAATCATGAGCCTTCAACTCTTCAAACGTATTTCAGTGGAAGAAGTGGCAAGGCTCAGCTATAATCGTAGTGGAGAGGAGGCCGACACTGTTCGTAGAAACAACTGGAGGGTAAAAGCGTGGACAAAACATGTCAAAGCGCCTACTTGCAAAGCAAGGATACATTATTTCGAATTGTGTAAATGCCATTCGATACTTTCGAGAAAAACATCAGAACAAATTGACAGAAGGGTGGTACAAATGCCAAGTGTCATCAATGAGACAAGAAAGAAGTCAGCTAGGAACCAAATGACTTTGATCACATAGGAGGTCTTCTTGAAGAGACCAAACCTGTGAGCTGACGCATGCTGAAGCAATGCACAAACCGAATGAATGTTCTATCAATGATTTATGCGATTCTAACCCCAAATAGTTGGAGGGCTTTCCGGATCAACGAATGAAGCTGTCAAATGGGTGGTGGTGTGTCCTGTCGTGCCACTTGGCATTGACACGGTTAGTTGGGCTGTGAGCCCCTCAGGGTAAGTCTTCCAGTAGCATCGCGAAGGATGGCAAAGAAGGCAAATCGGAATGTCACCGTTGATTGATTGTTGATTAATCAGGGTCCGCTTAGTCTGCTACGAAAATGGCACCCACCCACGCGGATGAAAAAATAACCGGGAGGTTATGAATTCAAGGTTGACGTCACTCAATCGCACATCTTACCCAAGCCTGACAATGAGCTCCGCCAGAAAGAATATGCAGAAAAAATTCTCCATGACGATGAAAACAGGATCTGCATTGAAAAGCATATCCTAGGACCCCATGGCGAAAAAATGGATAAACATGGGGCAAAGTTAGGATAAGTATGGATAAGTTGGGTATGGTTTTTACATCCCCAAGTCGTAAGTTAAGTAAACAACCTTAAGCAACGGTACACGGGCTATGCATAGTTCTTGGGCTTACCACAGAAGCATCAAAACTTACTGGTTTCGGCAGTAAGGCGCAGCTTTGTTCAGCTCAATGTCAACACCAATCCAGCCAGCATTTAGAAGAATGACCTGGAGCAGTTCCGGAAACATCAAGTGGTGATTGTACGGCCTTTGTGGCCATATGCAATCCCAAACTATCCCAAACTGTTAGACGTTGTGAAATTATGTGAAATTCAATGATGGAAAGGTCCATTTACCAACCTTGTGAAGCTGGCTTTCGAATAGTATTACTTCCACTAGTTCCTCTAGTTCCACTGCTCATCTTTGGTCTCAGCCCAGCCGCTGCCAACGTGATGCGCTCAAAAAATGGATGAGTTGCAATGGCATAGAGCCTTGGGCCAACATGTGCATCCAAGGAATCCCACAGACCTACGATGCATGATGTTAATCTATGCACGTCAATCTGGGATTGATGAATGATGTTCATTTGGTTCATAAGAAGGCTATTGATTTCAATCGTACTTTCTGAATCTCTGTCCATCTTTTGGGGCCCCTCTAATTAATCAACAAGGTGTACAAATCCGGGATTGACATGAAATGGTTGAATGCCTTGTGTACCTAGCAGGCACGATAAAGCGGGAACGTCATCCTGTGAGAAGCATGTGCGAGCACAAAAACTCGTATCGTCACAATGGAGCTATGGCTGGCTATCCCCGCCCTGCATGTGCAGAAATCCGCCCTGCTGAGTTCGGCAACTTCCGACCACTGCTGAAAACGCCAAGAGACCTTCCCTCTGTCTTCATGATTTCAAGCCGCGGCTTCCCGAATTCCGCAGCTGCACGGTCCCTGACTGCGTCTTTGGCCAAGTCCGGATTGAGCTGCGTGAACCTCAACTGATAAACAAATCATGTAAAGCGTCCTCTGGGTTGTATTCGCTTGAACCCTTCAGGCTAGTATGTGTGTGTGTGTGCTTCTGTGTCTGTGTGTAGTCATGTCTCTGAAAAATTGGACAATGCATGACAATGCCACAAGAGAATACAAGAGACACTGATCTGGCAAGGTGCATACCACCAGTTTTTAATTCTTCTGACTTTGTCTTCGACCCCCTCTTCTCCGAACAGACGGAGGCCTCGCTACCTGAGTCTTTTGAAGACCCTGAAGGTAGCAGCAATGATTGGCTGTGCAACAACTGGAGGCAAGTAGGTCAGCAGGCACCCAAACGAACGCTACACTAGCTGCTTCGTGCCAACACATCTCTATGTACATCAAGTTTGGAGGATGAAACAATGAAATCACAATAAAAGCTTTGAGCAGGCATCTGACAAGCCTGGTCATGAAATCAAACGAAGTATATAAACAAATCAAATAACATATATATATATATTACACACAAATACATGAACAAACAAACTTGATGAAGGACATTCATATAAAGTTAGATGCAACTTCATATCTATGCATCTCCGTGCCGCTTAGTTGCTGTATGTTGTTCTGGCAGTCTTTTTTCGCTGAACCTCTTCCTGGGATTCAGAGCCCGCATCCTGCGTTTTGAGTTCCTCTAAAGCTTTCGCATCCAAAAATCCAGTGCCCTGCTTGGTGATCCAAGACATTCGCCGTTGGCGTTTTGGCAAAGACATCCCAGGCGACGCCGGGGATGTAGGCGGCTGTGGAGACTGTGGAGATGTAGGTTGGGATGAAGTCAAATTTGTAGAAAAGATTGAGCTCTGAAGGCGCTGAGTCAGACTCTGAGTGCCTTCATGGGTGCTCTTTTCGGTTTCTTTGGAGCACTTCGAGGCTGCAGAGTGCCTATTGGCAGGTTCGCTATGGGCACTTGATTTGCTCCTTGCAGATCTTCGCAAACGATCTCCTGGGCAGGTTGGTGGTTCAAGAGGATCATCCGCCCCACGTCCAGCTCCAATTTATCAGGTTTGCTATAGACAGGCTATAGACAGTAGCAGATCGCAGCAAAGGAGTTTGTTGAAGGGAAGTGCCACCAAAGCCATTCCAAAATATTCCAAGTACTGGCTCAAAGCCAAGAAAAAAGCTCATCCCAAAGCTGCAAGTGTCAAAAATTGCATTGATCTCCTGTTTGCTTCAGTGGTCCCCGAAAATGATCTAAAATGGCCCCGATGTTTACATTAGAATTAAAACAGTGCAGATTTCACAGCGCCCAAAACCGTCCGAAGCCTCCTGGCTTCAACAGTCGGTCTTTGTAGCTCATCCGAGCAGTGGCATCCTGACGCGAAGAGCAGCAAACAGTGAGGATTTCGCAAAAACATGCGAACACCTTGAAAGATTTTAAAGCTTCAAGCCTTCCTCCTTCTTGATCTTCAGGCTAGACAAGGCAGCAATTCAAAACCACTGCATCTGAGCATCTGCTGGCAGATTTCTTTTTAGCTTCTCAAGCTCATGGTCGAATAAACGAAGGCATTGTAATTGATTCGTCTCCAAAGCAATCCTGCAAACGAGCCCAGGTGAGCTTCTCAGGAAGCGACCACCAAAAATGGTCGAGCCCCATGAGAGGTGTCTGAAAATGATCCCCTCCAAATGGAAAAATCAGGATTAACCAGTGGCTTGAGGGGTATCCAACTCTCACACAAAGCCATATGCACAAAATCTAACACTGCTCACTGCAGTCGGATAGCGTCCGCCTGAAAGAGTGCAAACTCTCCAAAGTCCGCTGCATCTCGTGAGCAGAATTCTTGGAACCCTTGGGGCAAAAACTGTCTCGGCAGGGGCTGGAAAGGACTTCTCTGCAAGACTTTGCCATCAATTCCAATTCTGCTCAAACAATCCCTCAAGCTCCAGCTGTAGCAAAATTTACACATTTCACCATCAGATCTTTTCAGTGGGTTGTCTTTGTTCACGGGCATGCCATACCACTCAGAAGTGAGATTTGGCGAGCTTCAAAATGCTGGAACCCCAACGTTGGCATCAGCCAACTTTGAATTAATTGAACATACGTTGAGCATACCTGAACTTCCATGTGCTTCCGAGAGACCGGATCGACGTGTTCATGGATGTTTCGAGATGAATACTTCGAGTCAACGGAAACTTGTCGCTTAAAATTGTCCGGTGGTGCGGAAGGCATGCTGGGCTTGTGGATGATCGGAACCTGGCAGAATGAACAGGACGACCCAAGATACTTTAAGGGACAGGTGATTGCAACTGCTGCAAACCAGATTTGCATTGATGGATTACATATCCATACAAGTGTAAAAAAATCTCTCATCTTCTTTCAGCTGAGCAGGAGAGTTTGACATCGTCTCCAGCAATGCAAATCTTTTTCGGCGTCTTGTCAACAACTTGATGTTGCGAAACGTCTGCAACTGGTATATGGGACCTTGATTGAAGCCAACCACTTGATTCTTGCTCGGCCAAATTATATATCAATTATCCAGTTATCCATATGATATTTATCATCTAATTTGAATGTGGATCTATATAACCCAGGCCCAGGACCCAATGTGATTTTTCATGGAAATATCGGAAGCGTCCATGGGAAAATATGGGATAATCATCATAATCATCTCTGAATATAGGTGATAGTAAAAATTATCGGAGGGTCAAATAGAGGATGCTCACCAGCAGAATGTCAAGATCGCCTCTGGAGCGGTCGCTCGATAAGACTCATCATCACTGGTGTCTGTGTTGGCCTGCAGAAGGACAGCCACCAGGGCAGCCAGCATCATGGCAGCAACACAATGGGTGCATAACAATACCAGTACCTCTGTGCACAATAATTGGTAACCACCCTGCGTGTGTGATATGTTAAGTTCAATGAAAACAACGTAATATATATATATACACAATTATATACATATACAGTATATGTGTGTGGGTGCGCGCAAAACACTATATATCATATATATATATATATGATGATGATGATGGTGATGATGGTGATGGTGACGATAGATGATGACAAATGATGATATATGATGATATATGATGATAAATGATGATGATGGTGATGATGATGATGATAGATGATAGATGATAGATGATAGATGATAGATGATAGAATATTGATGATAAATGGTAGATAGAAATTGTTGTTGTTGTTGTTGATGATGATGATGATTATGAATGATGATTATGGATGATGATGGATGATGATGAATGATGATGAATGATGATGAATGATGATGATGATGATGATGATGATGATGGATGATGATGATGATGATTATGATTATGATGATGATGATGATGAATGATGATGCATGATGATGAATGATGATGAATGATGACGAATGATGACGGATGATGACGAATGATGACGAATGATGATGAATGATGATGAATGATGATGAATGATGATGAATAATGATGAATGATGAAGAATGATGACGAATGATGATGAATGATGATGAATGATGATAGTAAATATTCTATGACTGTGGGATACAAATGTACTCAAGCCAGACTTGCCCAAAACCTTGGAGTTTTGAACATCTGCAGCAATCTGTGGCTCCAACTGCCTGCGTCTCGATCTGTCCCGGCAGCTCCATGTTGTCTAGCAATCGTCGGTGGGCAAGTTGGCAGGACCAATGGAAATCAATGAGGTTTCTTGGGAAAATCTTGAACCCATTGAACCCCAAATAATTTGGGAATATTTGGGGTCTCCCCATACTTGTTATGTTCCCCTCCAGCAATTCTGGGAGAAACGCGGGAGAAAAAAACACATTATGACATGTAAAAACATTATGCAATCTTATCACATTATTTATGCAGCGCATGGCCACGACATGCCACTACCAAAGAGTTCCCCTAAGCTCCCGAAATAAAGTGTCGTATCACGGATGCAACCACTTGTGGTAGGTGCACAAAAACTGCAAGCCATGCGACTGATAACATCCTTTATACCGCTTTACTTCCTCACTTCCTCACAATCTGTTTCCATACAATCCCTCCCCCTGATCAGAATGACCTCCCCCTGTGAACCGGAAAAAGGGGCCCAACATATGAGCTACCAGATTCAATAGATTTTCCACCAAGATTTCTGCAGTGTGGTGGGAGGAACACTTGATTATCTTGAATGATCTGACTGCACTGTCCCAAGCCCTCACTCACTCTCAGCGTCTCTCGGCCTGCAATGAGGTCTACCATCAGATCACCATTCATCGGAAAGCAGCTGATCAAGGGCCGAAACAAATACAATGAAAAAAGACATAAGACTCCTGACCAGCGCGCATGAGGTAAGTCATGAACAAATGCAAATCCATTCAAATGCATACCCAAACGTGGTAATGGTGGCAATGAAAATATTGTTTCCAAATGACGATGATGCTGGGGGTGATGATAATGATGACGACGACGATGACGATGAATGATGATGAATGATGATGATGAGGAGGAGGAGGAGGCGGAGGATGATCCTCTCAGAAAGGAGGTTTTGTCTCAGTTGCGTCGCTCTTTAGAGCCCCTTTTCTGCCCGGGCGTGTCCGGAGGAATCGAACAAGAGCGCCGGATGACCTACAGTACACCCGGAAAATGGGATCAATTTGATGGGAAGGAATCTCCTTGGTGACGACTCTCTGGGCGAAACTGGGTGCCCCACCAGCTTACCAATTGCGAACCCCAAAGGAACTTGGCTGTTGTGGACCTACATCATGCCATATCCATCCGGGTTCGAATTTGGGGGAAGGGGTCGCACCCGGCTTCTTGTAAGCATAAACTGGTGGGATTTTGAAAACCTTTATTAAATAGATCGGTTTTTGGGAATTTTGGCCCTTGCAAAAAGCATAGGTTTTTAGCATCCACATTCGACTCTAATTTTCGTCATCATTTTGTAAGGTGACAACTTTCTTCATGATATGAATGTTGTATCCCACTCAAAGGACCTTTTTATAAGAAGTTGTGATTTCAGATAGCATCTTTGGGTATGAGTTTGTAAGGCAACAACTTCTGGTTCCCCGTTTTTTTCCGGTCTAGTTGAAATTGAAACCTTTTTGTAAGGATTCCTTTTCTTTGCCACCTTTTGTATTTTTGTATTTTTGTTTCTTTGGCATCATTGCCTACCAAAACTCCTGTCACGATGTCTTGCGTTTGTGTTATCACATGAGTACCATAAAAAAAAACACATGAAAGTTGAACACGAAAGAAAATGTACAAAATGAAAATATTAAATATGAGATAGTCGTGAGCGTAGCCACACTTACAACTTGCAAAAGAACCTTGGCCGACACAACACCCGGTGAGAAGCAAGTTGGTGCATCCACCAAATCCAAAAAGAAATTGAACTCAAAATGGCTGCCATAAAACTTGGACTGTGCCTTACAAAATGACAAGGTGCTTGTAGCCCCAGGAAGCTGCCATGAAAGGATGTTTTACATTTTGCTGTGTCAGCGCTGTGGTTTCGAAAATAGCCAAAACAGCTATCAGATGATTGAGTAAATTCAAAAACATGTACAGATCTGAACAATGATTTGTATCAATACCTAAAAATCATATATTCTTACAAAATGGTTCTTCTACTCTTGACGACATCTCCTTACAAAATGTCATTGCACACCCCGCTGATTTTTTTAATGTTCAATAACAGCATCTTTTTCTTACAAAAATTATCAAAAAAACTCAATGGTCTTATAGAATGAGTTGGCCCCTCAAAACTCTTACAAAATGAACACTTCAAAATGTACAACTTTGCCTTTTAGGTGTCACGTTACAAAATGCCCCGGTTAGGGGGCTTCTTGTAACTACACAATATATAAACATATATAAACCATTTATAAGATTCCAAATTATAAGGGAAATTCCAACGGGGATCCATATCCTCATTTCATGACACTTGAAGACATGAATTCAAAGTGCTTTCAAAACACTTGCTGCGGCGGTGATTTTTGACTTTCGCGCTTCACTTCACACTTCCTCGATCTCCGTCCCCTACAGTTTCCACGTTTAAAACCCAGCGGGATCCAGTGGTTATCACCGAAGACAAACCTACCTTCTTTCACGGAAGCGCACAGCCAAGCTGTGGCATTGTCTTGTTGACAGTTCAAACAAATTGACGGGACATTCGCCCTCATGCACAGACGCGCAGATTCAAAACTCTAAGGGAGCCAAAAAGCACTCCGTGTTGAGTGGTTGGGCGTCCCAACAGCCATCTGCCTGTGACAAAAATCAAAGGACTCGATGCATGGCAGGGAGTAACAATGGCATCCAGCATGGAGTACCAGGCATTTATCCTCCAAAGCACTCCCCCTGTAAGATCATGAAAGGTCTTTCACCCCCCTAATCCACCACCAAAAATGAGAGAGGCCAACGCTGCCAACAAGATTCAAGAACATAACCACAAGCTGTGATGGTTTGTTGCGTTTGACTGTTCAAACTGCACATCTTACGTCGTAAGCGCTTAGACTTTCCCGTTTGCCAATGTGTGGCCGAATCTATTGGTATACAAATTGCAACAGAGATAGATAATTACAACACTCGTTGACACTCATTGTGTACACGTCACGTCAAGCATGCAAACTAGTGCATCACCTTCATTTGCTGTGATTCCCGTCTAGGTGAAATTTACTTTCTTGGCAATAGCTTGACATGCCAACACTTTGCCGCTGACCTTCATGTGCCATTTCTCGGGCAAATCGAATGCTTAATGGTGCTCAAATTCAGCACAGCAGGTATCATGCCAACATGTAGCGTACAGATTCGAAATGTCAAAGTCACTCCCCTGTAGAACGTGCAAGACATGCAAAGCCCCAGGCGAATTGAGAGATGGAGGAACTCTCCACATGGCGGGAGTGGTTGGCTGAAAATATTGGCAAATCGTCAGCGTCCCGCAAATTCGCGGCAAAGGCCTTCAAATTCAGCACATGTGTCTTCCCTTGGTCACTTTGGATACTTTTTGTTCCCTGTTGTCTTATGTTTACCATCCCTCGGTATAAGCACACTGGCGACCAAAAATCACCATGTTCATCCATTTTCAGCATTTAAGAATATCAATATAAATCATAATCATTCATAATCAAAATAATTCAAAATACATCCAAGATCATCCAAGAAATTCCAAGAACAGCATAGAACATCCATATATGAGTTTTGGATAGTTTCGGACTGCCAGGATGTCATTTTGGGTTTTATGTGCTCCTTTGGCGGCCTACCACCGATCGCGACTAACGCGCACTGGCGAGGTTGCCACAAACAGGTGACCGGGCAACCATCGTCCCCTGCGATTTCTGGGCGTGACCCATTCAGACCCATGACACATACAGATACCACATGATACCACACCGTTGATGAGAAAGGTTTATGCTTCACTGATTTTGAGTTTACATAGTTGAGGATGGGACAATCATGATGTCATGGGCAATCTTGTCACTGCGTTTTAAGTGGTAGGACTGGTAGGAACGCATAGGAATGCTATGAACGTCTCGGGATTTGACCAGGCAATGTGTTTGGATGAGGCTGTTGCTGCTTATTGAAAAGTGCCTTTCCAATCCTTTCCATAGAACGTGCTACGTCCTCCAATGTATCTGTATATCTCGCTATGTTTTGACACACGGCTGCTGGGCCGACTCTGGTTCCCCAGATCAACGAAGAGCTATGAAGAGGTCACACTTCACAGCCATCCAGGACCTCTTTCTTTGCAGCAGCATACTATTTCTAGTGTAACTTTCTCTCATCCTTGAACCGATTCAACCGACTCACAACACCAGGTGGTCGACTCCACAAAGACAAACAAAATGGGAATGAAAGGGTCAGCCACCAGCATGACTGGTTTGGCAGCAACACCGGGCTGCAAAGCGAGCGTGACGTCTTTGCATCGTTTAACGAGCTGACGTGGGTGCAGACCGCTTCTGCCGAGCTGGCTTCTAGGTTGCCAAACACAACGGCAGATGAGATGGCATGCACCATACGCTCAAGCGAACTCAAGCCACCAATCAGTTTGCTGGCATTTCAAGCTGTGAGAGACATGCGGCCCTCTGCCACTCTGGAATCTATCATCATATAATTATTGGTGGTTGTCCCTTGGCACGCTCCTGATCTTTTGAAGTGGCCGATTAAACGATGCTGTCTGCAAAATGGTGCCAGTAATTTGCGGTGCTGCAAATATGCGTGCCGTAATCATTCCACATCCAAGCACATGTGTGTTCCATTCTGTTCCCCATGATGACACTGCTCAATTGTCAATGGAGTGATTTAAAGGAAAATCATGGAAAATCGACCATCTACAGGAAGGTTTTTACCCCCATTGGGGGGGTTCCGGTTAAACATGTTCAAGCCGAACCATTGAACTGTTGGATCCTCCCCATCAGACTTCACTATCTTCACCTATGCTTCAGGGTCTTGGCGAGCACTATTGGGCTCGTCTGTGACTGTCAGCGATGTCACAGACGCAAAGGATGACCGAGCACGACCTTGGCATCGGTTGGATTGCATCATTTCTGCATCAAAACAATAAAAATTACTTTACTTCGTGTGATCCCCACCATGACATTTATATATTTTCTTACTGGCAAATCTTCTGGCATTCTATCTGACATATCTTCTGACATTCTATTTGGCATTCTATCTGGCATATCTTCTGGCATATGATCTGGCATATCTTCTGGCATATCTTCTGGCATTCTATCTGGCAAATCTTCTGGCATTCTATCTGGCATATCTTCTGGCACTCTATCTGACATATCTTCTGGCATTCTCTGGCATTCTATCTGGCATATCTTCTGGCATATATTCTGATCTTCTGGCATTCTATCTGGCATCTGGCATCTATCTGACATATCTTCTGGCATATATATCTTCTGGCATATATTCTGACATATCTTCTGGCATATCTTCTGGCATATCTTCTGGCATATCTTCTGACATATCTATCTGGCATATCTTCTGGCATATTTTCTGGCATTCTATCTGGCAAATCTTCTGGCATTCTATCTGGCATTCTATCTGGCATATCTTCTGGCATATTATCTGGCATTCTATCTGGCATATCTTCTGGCATATCTTCTGGCATTTCTTCTGACATTCTTTCTGACATTCTTTCTAACTTTCTTCTGCACATTCTTTGTCCCATATCTTCCTACATGAGGTCCGGCAGGGAACACTTGGCGTGGATACTCGCGGTTGAGGTCCGGCAGGGAACACTGGGCGTGGATGGTCGTGGTTGAGGTCCGGCAGGGAACACTGGGCGTGGATGGTCGTGGTTGAGGTCCGGCAGGGAACACTGGGCGTGGATGGTCGTGGTTGAGGTCCGGCAGCGAACACTGTGGATCGCGAGTCGCAGTTGAGCAGGAGGATGAGGAGGACAACGAGGACGACGAGGACAACGAGAGGACGACAAGGATGACAAGGAGGACGAGGAGGAGAGAGGAGAGGAGGAGGAGGAGGAGAGGAGGACGAGAGGAGGACGAGGCAGGAGGAGGAGGAGGCAACTGACATAAAATCTAACAACCCTCACCTGGCAGGTGGGGAAAAAAACACTCTTTCTCTGGTACTTTCAGCCCATCCCGAAAAAGATCATCTGAACTAGATTCTTGCTAAATCCAAGTGAAGTTCAACCAGTTCTCATAACAGCAGCCCAGTTGCGATAGCGTGCGTTGCCTGCGTTGCCCGCGTTGCTGGGCGGTGCCGCGACCGTTGGCGCCGCAGTGGCTGGGGCCACAGCTGGGGCCACAGCTGGGGCCGTTGGAGCCGGATGGCCATGTCCTGGGAGTCCTGACAGGCTTGGATGATCCTGGAAGCTGGTGGATGGCTTGTAGCCAAGCCAATATAATAACAATGTTAAGAATAGTAAAAAATAACAATAAGACATGATTATCACCTGCTCTTACCATTATATTGTATAATATCTAAATATGTATTTACTTTCAATTTACAATAAAATGTAATGTAATTAGTAATTAGTAATTACCAGTAATTCAATATGTTCATGGTCATTCTTGAATCAGCGTTACCATGTTTTATTATGAGTAGAGTTTACCAATCCCAAAAATAAAATAATTATGTGAAGTGATTGGATGTAAATAGTTAGCAACTGGGCTGGAACCCAATTGGCGCGTGTCTTAACAGAAGAAGGTGTTTCTTGGTACCCGAATGTGGGGACATGTGGGGACGAACCCCACATGTACCATTTCTCAAGATCATCCAAGTGTAAATTTTCAGCTCCCGAGGCAGGTGAAATCCACATCTCTTTTTTTCATACTTCTTGGGATATTATGATGAATCAATGATGCTGTTTCCATTGCCTGGCTTGACTGCCTGAGGGTAGACATAGATTTTGTATCTTCTAAAGCAATCAGGCACTATATCTATAATATTCTATAATTCAAGGAATCAACCGTAATATGCATGTACAATATTCTACAATGGTATTGCGAGCCGCAACATGTCTGCACTGCCCGTTTCACTGCCATGTTCTCCTGGGATGGCCACCAGGAACTTGCAGATCCCATTGAGAACCTCGTGGATGTGTGAAAACTCGTCTGCGGTGAACTTGCGGAGGTCCACAATGTCCTGCACAAAACGCTGGGGACCATCTGTTCAGAAATGGTACCACCTTGGACTTGACACAAAAGGAAACAAAAGGAAGATGTTCTTGTGACACCTTAAGATCAAGAGATGATCATTTACTCCGCACATGTTTGGGTCAAGTTCAAGGCGCAAAACCTTGAGACAGCTGTCATGTAGCAAACGTAGCAATGACCAAAAAAAAAAGGAAAGATTAGGAAAGTAGAATCGTACCAAATTCAGAGGCAATTGTTGGCAAATGTTACCCTCTGGTAATTTAACATAGCTATTGAAAATTGCAATTTATAGTGAGTTTTCCCATTAAAAATGGTGATTTTCCATAGCTATGTTAGTTTACCAAAGGGTATCCTTTCGTTTGGCTCAATCAATTCAGGTCCAGATGAAACCTGCGTTGACTTCACACAACCCGCCCTCCTTCACGGTGGTCTGATTGGAGCCGCGCAGGGTCAAAATGCCCCGCATGAAGTCGCCGAAGGTCAAGGGTTCACCATCTTCAAACAGCAAGCGGCCTCGGTGGTGACATATGAGCCATTTAAAAATAAAAAATGTGAAAATAGACCCTATTCTATCTCACGAAATGCTGGTTGGTCAGGTATCGATATAATGTGAAGATTTATGAAGATATATACATATATACATATATATATATTATATATTATAATTTTTATTTATTGGTCTATGGGATATAACTATGTATAACTATGTTTATCAGTAGCAATTTCATCAGACCATGATCACACAGTACAGGTATTTTCTATTGCTTATGAGCAGTCATACAAGCTGAAGATCTTTGAAGTGAATTTCAGTAGAAAGGACGGGACGTCAGTCATTTGGGCAAAATCCGCAATAAAGAATACATGCCAGCACTATATATATATATATATACATTATAGTTGCAAACAAAATCACAAGATCAGTAGACGACACAATTAGGGCCTACATGAAGAAAACCAAGCAGTGCGGAGACAAGACAAGATAGCAACAATGTTTGAAACCACCAACCACTTAGATCCACTTAGTAGATTAATTGATTATGTGCAGTATGATTAGGTTTATGTATGAATTTTGGGGTGGTTACATCCAATTGGTTTAGCTATGCCATTGGGGGCACACGATTCCAAGATCCATTTAGCACTGTGAATCTCAACTTTGATGGTTACATTATATTCCCCAATATTCCCCATAATTGTAATATATACTATCCAATTAATATCCCCCAAAATGGTTGGATTGTATGGATTTGTGATGATTGCTACCCCATTGCTTGGAACAAAATCGCCCCAAGGCACCATAGTCCAAGGCAGCCTCTACATCCACACCAAGGCTGGTCAATGCGGCCATGGCCTTCGGCCACTTTTGGCCACGGGGGGGTGATCTGGGCCTGGCTATCATAGTTACGACGTTACGAGAACTTGCGATAGAAAGAAGCAAATCTGTTCTATGCCCTATGCAGTGTTGTGGAGGGAAAAACAAGTCAGAATGCTTGAGGAGGCTTCAACAATCTACAGTAATGAATCCAATGTTTGAACCGATTTTGACAAGTTGATCCCATTTCCAAGCTGCCTGAGGAGTCCTCAACACATTTCGATACTCCTCTTCGGAGATGCGGTTGTCACCATCCTGATCTGCATGTCCTGCTAAGAAGCACGCACGAGACTTTCCCTTGCACGAAAGGACTGAGTGGCATGATCTGTCTGGAAATTAGGGTATATGGCTTCACACTGTTGACGTGACGTTGTGAGAACGTTGCTTCAAGTGATGAACCGAAAGGGCCCTACCGGCCCTACCAACATCCAGTTCCCCATTCATTGTCACCGCCCCTCTGGCCATCTGCCGCCTTTATCGATCATTTCCCACAGGCACTTTTTGGCAAAGTCCACTTCCAACTGTTCACGTTCGATCGTGGACACTGTCTTGATTGCCTGCGATCGTCAGGATTGGCCCATCCGAGAAAGGGGGTAACAAACTAACAAACTTCACCGGAAAAAAGTGTACATGTCCAAACAAAACTGGAGCTGTCCACATTCTTTCAGCCTCAGAAAAGTCTGAACATGGTCCCAGAAATGACGCAAAATGGATTGAGTTGTTCAATGTTGTTCCCTGGTTCCTTTCACGAACATCTCCCCATGACAGCCTCCAACAGCCCAGGTTGGTGAGAGGACCCCCCTGTGAGCCAAGGTGGCGCCTCCACCAACACACCCAGGAGCATGTTCATGACGGTCAGGGATCCGAAAAGAATGAAGAACAACATCAGGATGGCCATGACCCAACTCTCCTCCCAGTGCCAGAAATTCTGAGCTGGTTGACGGTGGGAATCCTTTCTTCAACACCTTTTCGCATCTTTTGGCCGGGTAATGCTGCACAAAAGGCTAGGATGTTGTTCAACAACATTTCAAAAGAACCCCCTTCAGCATAATAGGATTTAGATGGATTTAGAAAGGCTCTGAGAAGCTTGGGTGGTCATGGTGAGTCCTCCGCCACAGCTTCGATGATGACCTGCTGGTCTGTGAGGATGCACTTCAGGATCCTCAGTGCTCCCACCGCAGTGCAGGTTGGGAGCATCGTTGGAGTGAACGTCTCAACTTGACCGTGAAACTTGCAACTCAGAGTAGCAGTACCCGAACAAGACACCGGAAGACAAGACTCAACGCGACCACAACTTCAAAGAAACAGAAAGGATTTTGACAAGAATAACAACTAACAGTTCGCCTCATTTGAGAGCTGGTCAACACCCCATTAAATTAATTATCTTGGCTGGACCTACCTCATTTTGGCACATGTTGCCCAAACCATCGCAACTTTGGGATATATACTATATAAACTATATACTTAATAAATAAATAAATTATTACTTTACTTCGAGTGATCCCCACCATGACAATTATCGATTTGTTACTGGCAAATCTTCTGGCATTCTATCTGACATATCTTCTGGCATTCGATCCGGCATTCTATCTGGCATATCTTCTGGCATATATTCTGGTATATCTTCTGGCATGTCTTCTGGCATTCTATCTGGCATATCTTCTGGCCGATGTTCTGGCATATCTTCTGGCCGATGTTCTGGCATATCTTCTGGCATTCTATCTGGCAAATCTTCTGGCATATTATCTGGCAAATCTTCTGGGATTCTATCTGGCATATCTTGTGGCCGTCTATCTGATATTTTATCTGGCATTCTATTTGGCATATATACCTTCTCGTATTCTCTCTGGCATATCTTCTGGCATTCTATCTGGTATATCTTCTGGCATTCTATCTGGCATACCTTCTGGCATTCTATTTGGCATATCTCATGGAATTTTATCTGGCATATCTTCTGGCATTCCATCTGACATTCTATCTGGCATATCTTCTGGCATTCTATCTGCCCGTTGAGGTCCAGCAGTGCACACTGAGATGGGGAGGTCCCCGGTTGAGGTCCAGGGGTGCACACTGCGCTGGGCAGTGCACACTGGGCTGGGCAGGTCCCAGGTTGAGGTCCAGCGGTGCACACTGAGCTGAGACGGTCCCTGGTTGAGGTCCAGCGGTGCACACTGAGCTTGAGGTCCAGCGGTGCACACTGAGCTGGGCAGGTCCCAGGTTGAGGTCCCAGTTCACACTGAGCTGGGAAGTTGGCAAAGAGCTTGGCGAAGAGAGTTGGCAAAGAGCTTGGCGAAGAGTTGGCAAGGCGGAAGTGGAGGTGGAAGTTGATGCAGACATGGTCGAGGAGAAACTAGAGGGGGAGGAGGAGGAGGAGGACGAGGAGGAGGACAGCTAGCCGAGGAGGAGGAGGAGGAGGAGGAGAACAGCTCTGATAAAATCTAACAACCCTCACCTGGCAGGTGGGGAATAAATAAATAAATAAATATATATATATACACAGTACTTCAAGTTTGGACAGGTCAACCATGTATTCATCTAAGAATCATTGCTTTACCTTGTAATTATGCTGTAGGGCTTACATCCCAACAACCCAATATATGTTCTAGGGGCTGCGATACACTAGCTATGGCCAGAAAAAGTAACCCCAACGTGAGCCCATGATATTCCCTTGGTGAAATCCCTGATATGTTGGATGCTTTAGTCCCCATTCTTGTATAGGTGGGGTAAAGTCCAAATTTTTCATGGTTAAGTCATGTTAAGTCCATATGTTTCCAGCAAGGGACAAGGTCCAAATGGCCGTGCCCATCGAGCTGAAGAACTTCTGCTCCAGCACCGTGCCACGACTGAACTGCATAAAGGCCACACTGAAGACGTAGGTGAAGAGCAACAGCAACACCAAGGTGAAGAATCTGAGGGCCCGGAGCCACCAGACATCATGGGATCTCATGTAAGAAGATGTAAGAGGCACACACACACAGACATATATATATATAAAGTATGTATATATATAAAGTATGTATATATATAGTATATAACCATATATATAATATCATTAAATTTACTGTACAATAATTTATATTCAAATATACGGTATACCGTCTACGTATGATTTGATCAGGTTCATCATGGTTCGTCATGGTTCAGTATGGTCCATCGTAGTTCGTCAAGGCATTCGAACCAGGAAACCTTCATGAGAAAACATGAGACAAAGGTGCATGAAAAATGAAAGGCTGACCAAACATTGAAACGAGTATTTCGCAGCACCTATCCTTCTTGTGCTTGCACCTTTCTGTGCTCTCAAGGCATTTTAACCACCCATTCCAAAACTACCCAAGTTCCAATAAACATGTTCAACCTCCGCCAAGAAGCACAGATCGACAGGCCACCATCATTCCTGTCACTAGTCATGGAAATGACATTCAAGAGATTGTGTATGGGATGGTATGGGTGGATGCTTGGATCGTGAAGCTGACATGGAGTATGAACTGTCCAAGAATCATCAGAATTCACTCAGTGTAGAAATCCTCTCGTAAGGTCACAAATGGAAAGGACTGCTTTCTATTGCTCTGTCCGAAAAAGAACCTAAAATAAGCGCAAATAATTAAGCCAGTTTATCGTAGTTTGTCATAGTTCATCCAGTTTTGCACATGTTTCAAATCCCCCCACGAAGCATCACGGCATCGATGGATATCGATGGTGTCCTTTGATGAGGATCATCAACTCTGGCAGCAAACGCACCAAGCGGGCCATCCGTGCCGTGCGCAACACGCGCAACACCCGTGCCACGCGCAAAACAGAGGCCCCACCGGTAATACCTGGGAAGCAGCGCAGCATGCCAAGACCCAACAGGCACAAATTTGTGGACCACATTTCCAAAGTGTTTCCGTTTAAAATGTTGAACCACAAGTTTGGGAAGTTCTCCTAGTTGGCAGTTTTGGGAACGCTATACACTTTGAGAGACTGAAGGACAAACTCGCACCGCAAGAGTCAACAATGTTATCTGTTCACCCTTTCATGCAGTGATCCAATAGGACAGGTCACGACCAGCAGTTCATCAGCATGTCAAATGATTTGAACTGTTTTGAATTGATTTTATCTTATGATCGGGACATACTGTATTTGTTCACCAGCCTTTCAAGTGATGTCACCTACACTTTATCCATTTTTTGGGTGAGAATTCGTTGTGCCCAGCTGCTGTTGCCACTGTTCTGAGTCATGAGATGAGCGATTGGAACCAGCCAGGTCTCAAAGATCATTAAGGTGAGCAGGAAAACATCGAACCTCAGGCTTTGGCACCAATTTTGGACCAAATGCGGGGATTCACCCCCAAGTTCCGTTCAAACAAAGTGTGAACATGATGACTTTCCATCGGAATTGTCTTCGTCCTACAGTCATCCTACAGTCATCCCCAAATGGATGATGTTCCCGTTGGAAACGCTTCGGGGGACTGTGGGGGGGTTGGGGAATTCAGTTGCGCACTGAGATAGCTCCAAACACTTATGACCTGGGCCTGAAGCAACCCCCAACTATCCCCAACTTATCCAAGTTGTAGTTACAATGGGAAATTCCCCTGCAAACTGGTACAGTAGGAGTTTTAATGGCAAACTTCAATTCTCTACATGGGGATTTCCCAATGCCATGTTTGATTATTGAATTGGAGGGCAGCCGTTGCCTGTGAGTTTTATCCCATTTGTAGAGATGTGGAGTGAGTAAAGAGACTTTATGCCACCAGCCAAGCTAGCTTTGTAAGAGAAAAACATGAGGCCCAACCTCTAAACCCAACTGAGTCAAAAATTTCTTTCAAAAGAAGTCCTCTACTAGTAGTGGCAAGAAACATGAACCACGGATCCTGCAGAGCGTACCATGTCCTCAAGAACATCATGTAGCGAAGAATGAGCTCGATGGTGAAGAAGGTGCAAAAGATGTTCTCGACAATGATGAATCCAACGTCGGCCTGGCCGCGAAGGATCTGATGTCCTTTGGATACATCCTTTAAGGCATTCTTTGGCATCCGTGACGAGCCAAAATTGAAGAGCCTTTGGTCAAACAGTATGTGCAGAGCCAGAGTTTCCTGATCACTAGGAGAAGATCAGGCAATCCAATGAAAACACGGATTTTGGGAATATTTACTAGCTGTATTTACAGGTGCCTGCTGTTGCAAACATCGACATTATGTAGTGGCAACAACATGGAGTGCCATTCCCTCAAACGCCTCTGCTAGAATGTCAGCATCATTGAACTCGATGTCCACAGAAATCCTTTGCCAGTCTTTGCCCATGGCGTGCGCTTTTCCAGCTATAAAAAAAGCATAAGCCCTCACAGTAATCCTTTCACATCAAAGCAGCCAAGGCTCCAGACTGCATTGAGGAAAATCACAGCCATTGTAATCCGCTCAAAGTAAGGGTGCATTCCCATCCTGACCAAAACGCCATCATTTTGCCGCACCGGTGGGCTATCCACTGCAAGATTGTTGAGGTCCTTGGATATCTTCAGCATGTCCGCTTCTCCGGGCAGCCGGCAAAGAAAAATCCACCATTGAAATAGCCACTTATATGCGATATATAGGTGATATATATATATGATATATGATATATGATATATGTGATATGATGGTCCCAGTCAAACACACGAAACATGATGATGTTTCATGATTCATGTTTGATCAACAAAGAGTGCCACTGCAACGAAAAAGCCATCGCGACCGTGTCTTGAAAATAAAGAGCAAACCCCCAAAACCGATCCTATCACTGTACGCAGGCTGAGTCCCATAGGACGTTGTGAAATAAGAATATCCATGCTTGCCTGCCTGAGGAAGAAAAAAAAGCAACCTATACAACCTCAAGAATATAGGTGCAAAATGCATCAAAATGCTGCAAATAGCAAAGTGCAAAAAAGAGTGAGAGAGCGATGTAACGAGGCAAGTAAAGGAGTCCTACAGTAAGGGTTCAGAGTGGTTCAGTTCAGTTTAGGAACGTCAGCCGCCCGCTTTTGAACCGTGTTCTTCACAAGATCTTCGTTGAGCTGGGAAAGCCTTGCGCAGCGGCAGGCATGACACTAGACTCCCAGTAGTAGTGTGAAGTAAGGCATTTGAGAACAGAAACACCTAATTAGTTGGTGGTTTCTACCCTCTCACTATCTCTCACTCATATTGGATGATCGTCCCAAATTTCTGCCAAGCCGCATCCCGCCCTTTTGGTAGTCTTCTGCTTCTTTGCGGGCTTTGGCTCTGTCTTCTTTCGTCCAGTTGACATCCTTAGTCTTTGAAATTTCAACTCTAGATTCTAGATTCTACCAGTTGATTAAAGCTTCTGGCAGAACACCAACACCTTGCCCATTGGGTTTGCACACAATTGTCAATTGTACATGTCCCGCTTCATACACCGTGCAAGCTCCAGCCCAACCCTCACCTATCTCCCGTGACCAGCGCTGAAGTGTTCCGTGATTGCCGAGCTTCATCCTCATCTCCCTCATCTCCCTCCTCCCGAGGAGTTGGAGAGTTGTCTTCACCCAAAGGGTTGGTCTTTTGAATCCAGGACATGCGCCTGCGTCGCCAGGTGCAATGGTGCAATCACCCTGAACAAACATATATATATATATATATGTGAACTATGAACTATATCGAGCAATCATACTTCTATAATCTTCTATATACTTCTGCAGGTAACAACGCTTGGATGAGATTCGCAATGACATCTTCATACATCTTCTTCGGAGCATCTTCCCGCCTCTTTCGTGCTTTCATCACGGATGGCAAGGAAGGGAAGGTGGAGTTGAATGAATAGCGCTTTGCTTCCACTTTTTCCTGAACACCTGCCACGGCACGTGTCAACCACTGTGATTGCGCCTCCCAAGTAGAATGTACGAGTTCCATGGATAGATACTCTAACCTCTCGGATCCCACGTGTTTGATCGTGTAATTTACAGATTGGATCATAGTGTCAGATTTTGTCAGATTGCTCGATACTTCTCCCTCTCTCTCTCTCTCTTTCTCTACATCGTATGCAGAAAAAGTGCGCCTCAGTCTCCATCTTACAGAGACACCCCCACACACACACATGCACACATAGCAAGAACCACATCTATATGGATAATATATATATATACCTTATAGTTCGCAAATGATGCAGGCAAAAAGGTTCAAAATGATCCACTACCATCCCCCAGAGGCCATTGACCATGCTGTACAGGACCTTGATGTCCACTGGCCCCACGCATCAGCGAGACTGGAGCCATACCTGCAAACATGATCCCACATTCTCCCACATGATCAGATATGCAAATTCTGAAAGGTGTATCATGGCATTATCATGGTGTATTTGTATGATTTTGCATGTATACGTTCCATTCTTTTCCTGAGGCATCCGTTCATATCTGTCCATTACGCTGTCCATTATGCTGTCCATGGGCACTGTCAAGCAAATCCACTGGATCTCATTGGATGCTGGACACAGCGCCTTGAGGGTCCAGGGCGTTGTTTGTGGATCCCCGAACCAAGGCAGCGGCACCCATTCCTGCATTGAACAATTTTGAAGCTATTCGGAGTCTGAGACCTGGAGAGATCATCTGCATAAAAACTCAGACTCACCACTATGAAAATCTATGAAAACATGTCTCTCGCTCTCTCTCTCTCTCTTTATGAAAACACGTGCGGGCATGTGTTTGTTTGACTTGCAGATAGGATTGTCTAAGACCACCGTCACTTCTAGCGACCAACTCCTAGTCCTAGTAAATCCGTGGGATTATCATACTGTCCCAAACGGCGCATCATATAGCTCTGTTGGTTTAAATATGTTAAAATCATGCCTACATTATATATATATATGCATAAATCACGATGTTTGATGGTAGCTTATATAAGTTAAATCATCATGTTTAAAATTGTTTAAATATGTTATAACTTAATGCTTATAGTAAATCACCAAATATCTCACAGATCCACCTTGAAATCGTTCCGCATCACCCACCTGGTGAACGCTTCACCTTGTCGAGCTCCTCATCCAGGAGATTCAACATGGCCTTGAGCTGAGCAACCCTTTGAAAGGGCCATTTTCTGCCACCCGTTCCCAGCCGGGAAAAAACCCATGGAAAACCCCGGGCCGGGTATTGGATCCTGTTGGATCCGTAAGGATGGCCTTTTGGTTGGCCATGAGCTGCGTCCGGAAGACTGAGAGGCTGTTGAAGACACGCTGAAAGTCTTGTGTGGATGGTCCAGTAGTTGATGACACAGACAAACCTCAGCACGTCTCAGTATTCTCAGTACCAAACAGGCTAGACCTTTTTTCTTGAGCAAACCTCTCCTTTTCTCATCTTTCCTCCAGGGAATTTCTGGCAACACCTTACATCACCTCATCAATCCTCGTCGAGCAACGCTGGCGCAAAGGATTGGGTGGAAGAACCCCCGGCTGACCGGGGAGACTTCCACTGCCAGGAATGCTGCCGCTGTTGTCCGGCTTCACTGGGACTTCGTCTTCTTCTTCAGATGGTGATGATGAATTTGAACTCTGCGCATCCTACAAGCCCGGGTGGGGAAGCAACACATGAATAGCGCATAGACAACACTACTACCAACATTGTAAATATATATATAAGTATCGTAACATCTGCCAACCCTTGGGTAATTTTGTTTTGCAAATTTCTGGAAAGTTCCAGCGAAAGGTTCCAAATAGTATCCTTTTGTTTGTACAAACTGACACAAGCTCCTGCATATCCTTGCGGCCCGTCCCGCTTGAACGCCCTAAGAAAAACTTCAACATCAAAGTGGCGCATGTCAAACGCATAGATGAGCAACACAGCAGTGAATTCACCCCCAATTTGACTGGAAATCATGCCATCATCAGCTGCACCGGCTGCACCCTCAAAATCGAGGCAATGAAGAGGTCAAAAGTATCAAATCATGCGATTGTTGCCCATGGGACAACGCCCGAAATACAATGAAATCCATAATTATATTAATTATATAGGAATATTTAGGATAATATAGGATACCATTCGACAATATTCGATACCTATATAGAATCCATTAGAATCCTATATAGATAATTATAAATACACCTCAGAGTCCGGGTCCTTCACAGCCGGCGGGACAACCCAGCCCTCTTGTCGGCTGAGGCCAGGTAAGAGCGGTGGACGTGACCCGTGTCCGCCGGGTCCACTGCCCTGGCTGCCTTCTGAGAGCGACTGAGGGAAGTGCGGCATGGCCCCAAGGAGAAGTTCACCTTTAAATGGCACAGTTCCGTGACCTGAATCTGACCATTGAATACCACTGATATGTATTAAGTATTATATAAGTAAGATATTGGATATCTCCTGTCTTTATTCTTTGGGTCTCAATCTTCCTGACAAGTATTCATATAGGCCGAGACCTTGAGTGGCTGCAAGTTGACGTGCATCAGATCAGTGCGTGAAATGCAGTTTCTCATTCCTAGTCACCCTGGTCTTAGAAAAGGGACCGGCAGTGTGTAGCACCTACGCAGCGCACTTGAAAGGGCCGTAAGGGAGGCAGGTTTGTTCAACAGACCTTTTCATCTTGCTTCCGCCTCAACTTTGGGCTGCCGCGCAGCCTGAAAATCATAGGGAAGTGTGGCGCAAGCATCGCAGCACCAAGGCATCTGACTATCGAATCAAAATGATCCCAAAAAACAATGCGCATGCCTGACGGGTTCAAAGACATGCTATGGCATGCAACTAAATATCACTGTCATTGCCCGAGTAGGCCCTTATCTTGAGCAAAGATAATCAAAGGGTAAAAGATGGTAAAAGAAAGTTGCCGTTTTTGGGTCGGAAACTGTGGTATTGGCAAATTGGCCGCGGTAACCTGTCAGTACAATCGCCTATACATCCTTAATCATCTTTGGTCTTAGATTTTGTAAGAAAAGCAACCGGTTGACTTCGAAATGGTACCTCTATTGCAAGGTAGGGCCATGATTCTGGCTGCCAGCAGCCCTACTTCCTTTGGTCAGCACTTAGGTATGCCAGCAGCATGGAAGACCACGTGGTCTCAACCACCCAATCCGCTGAGGTTTACGATGGCCTGATCTTGGAAGTTTAAGTTTAGTGAGACAAATGGAAAGCAATATTAGTAATCCATGTATATAAACCCATCTCCCAAAAGGGCCGAAACCATTAGAATTTATCAGATGGACACTGCTACAACACAGTGATGCACAGTTTCTCTGACATAACTGACATAAGTGACCCACAAATCTGCCGGCTCCCTACGGGGCTCAACTCTCTCAGGTGAAGCCCAAGTTCATATCCCGTTCAAATGGAATTGGCCCAGAAAAGGCTGGGCGAATCAATTGGAAGAGAAGCTGAATATCAAATGGCCAGCTGGTCATAGCTGGTGCTGGTCTCGATGGACCCCAGTCTGGGATGATAACAAGTCCTAATATGTCCTACCCTCTGGTGAACTAACATAGCAATGGAAAATGGCTATTTATAGTGGATTTTCCCATTAAGAATGGTGATTTTCCATTGCTATGTTAGTTCACCAGAGGGTAATCATCTTAATCATAAATAAAATTCAGGCGTTCAAGGTCTCAATGGGCTGGGAAAGCATATCTCTGAGTCTCTGTGATGTGGTGACAATTGGGCACAGGATGTTTGTTGTCCAATCGCTGTCGGTTGCAACACCGAGTGTGAACCCATAAGCAAATCATTCAACATACGTAAGACACGTTGAGGATCATTGAGATGCATTCGCTTCCTTAATTTGCCAAGTGATAAGCAGTTGCAACTCTTCTCCGGAGCTTCACTACACCCAAGCACTGGTGCTCAAGCGTCCGCCGACGAACAGACCACACTTCGCGTACATAAAAAGCGTCTTGGACGTCAATGATGGTCTGATGATGAAGAAGGGCAAAAACTTGCCATGAACAAGAACATATGTTTGGGCCAATATCGATTCATGTTTGGTTTTTGATCGCATCATTCCCTCATTTTGCCAAGAGCCAAATTCAAACAATACATTGTAGTAGTCTTCTGGCCTGACTGGCTTGCTTTGAGCATCTGCACCTGAAAGTTTTGAGAGGCAAACTCCAATCGAAGCATCCTTCGTATGCGCCAGAGCATCCTTGGAACTGCGTGAGAAGTTGAAGGATTGGAAAGTGGGAGCGCCTCTAAAAACTTGGAACCCAAAAGTACCTATCATGGTCGATCGTCATTTTGTTGCCATGATCTAATGGCCACAAATTTGGGAAACCCTCCATGTCAACAGAAAAACACATGATTTTTTGTCTTATATTATATATAAATATATATATATAATTTCTTTGGGAATGGAGATGGGGCAGGTGCTGAACTCTGCGAGAAAAACGGTTTCTTAGGAAAATTATGTTGCGAGTATGTCCAACTGCACATTTGGCTGCCCACCAACCCTCTGCTCTCTTTTTCCGATTGCGTGGGGTAAAAAACGCCACATCAAAAAAAAACAGTCTCTCCGCTCTCCCTATCAAACCTATATAATGTTATGTGTATTTTTGTGCAATTGTATACACACTATATATATATATATACACAATATCCATCTGTGTGCATCAATGCCCTTTGAGTGATGAATCTTGACTGAAAGGGCCTCAAAACTCCGACAAGTTCACTTAGCCTCACTAAATAATTACGAAGGTCTCACTATCAGAGCTTAATAAGTCACTGAGCATGCATCAGGCATCAAAACACCCGACTCTTAGCCGCTCCCCTTGACCCATCTAACAAATCCAATTTGCTACAGCCTCCTACAGCCATGCTGCAGAATCCTATGCCGGTAATGCAACGCCAAGTCAAACTTCTAGAATGCCCATGCTCGTGCAAATCGTTTCAATATGTAGGTAGGATCGCCAATGAAGACTAGCCATCCTCCAACTATCATTTACCCATCATCTTGATCATGTGGGTGTCTGAAACCCCAATTCGTGTCCCCTCAATACGGAAAACTATGGAAAACTATGATAAACCATAGGACTTTGGGGGAACAGTCATTACACATAATTTCCAGAAAAACTCAGATGTCACCCCATCATGCTACGCTATGGGGATCTCCTCTTGCACTTGCACACCCACACACACACGTCATGGTACGCTATGGGGATCTTTTCTTGCACTTGCACACACACGTCATGGTACGCTATGGAGATCTTCTCTGGTACGCTGTTTGCAGTAAGTCTTTCTGACGGTTTTTTTCGTGTAAGCTTTCCTAGCTTTCTCTTTGGTGTACCCATTCTTTCTACATTGCCTTCCAGGAAAGGCATTTGCGAGTCATGAAGGTTTTCCTATATATAGATCTTGCCAATGCAACATGATCAACTGCATCTATCTATGCAACATCTCATAATTTGCAACCTGGATTGTTTGTTTTTCCGACCCTGAAACATACTTCAATTGAGTTGGAATAATTCATGAAAAAAAGGAAAAAACATGATTTCTCTCCTTCATGGAAATGAATGCGGCACATATATCTGAGAAAACAATTTCCACGTTCCAAATCACCTGATGCAGAAAACGAAAAGCGGGTCTAAAATGGTGCGTTTTTAGCCCTTAAAATGGTACGCACCTCCCATTCAGCAGGTCAGCTTGGTTTAGCCATTTTCCGGACTTGACAGCCAGCTGAAATCATGGTTCCCCTAATTTGATCTCCATTGTTGATTGTTAAGTCACCATTTTTCATCATAAAATCCCAATGTTTTCCATTAAAAAAAACGACTTAGGAGTAGGATAGTTCTGACTATGATGATTGAAAACGACTTATTATGTAGAATCATGGGGGGATAATAACTTATGTGTATATATATATACTAACAATAGCCATTGACAATCCTAAGCCATTTAAAGCAAGATTGTCCCTTTAGGAAACATTGAGGGACCGGCTTCGTATGTCATTTCTTCTCATCTATCTACATATTAGTTCTTGAACTGGCGTATTTTTACTGCCTTTTACAGTATATAATCAACCAAGAAGTGGAAAAACAACACTGGTTGGTGGTTTTAACCATCTTGAAAAATATTAGTCAATGGGAAGGATTATCCCATATATTATGGACAATAAAAAATGTTTGAAACCACCAACCAGACATCTATGATCCGAAGCATCTATCGGAAGCAAAAACTGAAGCCATGCATCTGGAGTGTCATAGGCATAGCAAGCGACCGCAGCCTCTGCTATCTCCGACCCTCGCCCTAAGCCTCATCCGACAATACTTCCTTGGCGGACTTCGAGACGCGACATGTCAATGGATGAATCATCGGCATGTTATTAGAGAATACGCAACTTAAATAGTGGACACTCTGACTGATGAATCTATTTGTCGATTTTAGATATTGATGTATATGACAGTTTGTGCGTTGATTTTCTCATCTTTAATTTGTCAATCAGTGCAATTGTATGCAGTTGTCAAATCTGTAGGTGCCACAGGACTAGCTTTGAACATTTTGGAGAATGGTACTACCCCTTCCACACCACAGCGTATCTATATAAATAAATTGGCAAAAAAAAAAGTTGCAAAATGTATCTCTCTCTGTCCATAAGTTGGAGCTCTCATTTTTCAGGGATTGTATTTCATATTTTGCGATTAAACCAAGATTCCAGTGGTGGCCAATAATGGACATACATCCCATTTCAGATCTTTGGGGTGCTGGAAATATCTGGAAATTACACCATTTCAACCCATTTTTATGGATAAAGCATTGATAAAAATGTAAAGCAATAGTAACATAAGAATCCCCAACATCATCATAAATGCATATAAATGCATTTAAACCATCCCCAGATGGTAGGTTTATTTGTTGTTATTGCTTTAGCAACATGAAAGCCAATGGAAAAACCATGGCCAGACGCCCAGGCGCCACGTTTCTCATTGCATCCATCCGGGCCACCTTTGGAGGTGGTCATCTAAAAATGGCAGGCTTTTCTAGGAAACATATGGATACATATGGAACAATATGTGTAAGGAGACAGTGTTTTCAGACAATCCCATTCTGAATCATTCTGAAATACCCAACGTTGGAGCCCAATTCATCAATATATCCGATACTGAACAAGTTGTTTTTTCTAATGGAGAGCGTGTTGCAATATTACGTCATATTAGATTATTAGATCGATGGAAGGAACTACACATAACTACACACGTGCAGCTTCAGAGCAGCTTGGCATCACATCAACGTGCATCAACTAAGCCGCGGACAGACTCCATAGATGAAGCAACAAT